TCTCAGGTATGATGGTTGGGAAGTGGTGAGTAAGAATGACTAAAATAATGACAGTGCTAACTGGCTTGGAGGGGCATCAGCTAGAAGCAGTATAAGAAATTGGAGATTCTTGTTCTTCCACAGAAACACTGGAAAAACAAACAAACAAAAACAACCAAGCTAGCAGAAAACTGAATCTGCTTTGTAGAAACTCTCAAAAAACAGTCAAATGCCCAGTCAAGGAAAAGTAGTCCTTAAAATAGGAGGAAACTTTTGAGATATTTTTACTTATCTTTCCCTCGCATAGCACACCTCAAATTGGAGGGTGCAAAGAAGACGATTGCAAATTACTGTGTTGCCAGATGTAGCCTTTCTGGACATACCTGAAGGACTGACACAAAGTGCTTGTCTTTTGTCTCACATAACCTGGAAGACAGTGGGAGAAGCAGCAGGCCCCATTTGCTGAAGCTACAAGGTGAAGGCAAACCCACAACTATTTGAAGAGATTTTGGAAGGAGACATGCAGCAAGTCACTAAGATCCAGGGGAGAAACTGTGGGGAGGCTCAGAAGTTAGGACATACCTGCCATCTCAGGGTAATCCTGTTCTCAGAGCAAGCCTGGCTGAGGCGTGAGGGAGAGCCCTGCCCACAGCCAGTCAGCAGAGACTTGGAGAGGGGCCTGTTCTCCTTGTTTGTTTTCTGTTTGGGGGCAAGGGTGGTGTTTCAGTTCTTGGTGTTGAAGGACATCTCTTTCATTATTATTAGCTATTAAAGACGTGAAGGAACTTCAAGTTTGAAAGAAGCTCAAAACACTAAATAATCAATGAAATGCAAGAAGCACACAGGCCACTGCAAAACTTGTAATGGCCACATAGGTATTCTCATTGGATTTGTTTGTGAATGCATTTGACTTTGGTGTATATGGTTTCATGTACTGTTGTACTTTTCTAGAACCAGTGGAAGCTGAGTGAGGACTTACTGTATTGTTTACACAATTTGGATAGCTATACCAGGGCTTCAGGCTGAATGATAAAAGCCCATCTCTAAAGGTCTCCTACTGTAGATTTCCATATCTATAACAGTCTGCAAATGACAAAATCATGGAAATGGAAACCAGACGAATGGTTGCCAGAGGCTGGGGTTGGTGAGAGTCAGACAGACAGTTGGATAGAACAGTTCTGTATGTAGATTCAGTGGTGATTACAGGCATCTTCACATGTGACAAGTCTTCACAATGTGATAAAAAAATTAGTTTACAGATGTCCCTTTCTGGTTTTGACGTGTCACAGTTATGAAAATACATCATTGTGTGAAACTGGGTAATAGGTTACTGAAATAATCACTGTTGAAGCTTTATTATAGTTGGAACTTACTATCCCTGCCTCTGCAGGGGGGAGTCTTAAACTTGGCTGAGGTTTTGAATAGAAATAGACAGCTGCACATATCTTCTAAGACCAAGATTCAGTAACCTAACCTGGGCAGGATGAAGAAAACATAGCTCTGTGAGCAAACTGAATTCAAACAAATGATTTTCTGGAAAACAAAAGTTGAAGTCCAATCTGGAATATAAAAATATACATTCATTTATTCAGTAAGCTCTTTTCAAGTACCTACTAAATATCAATCATTGCTAAACTTGAAACTATAAACATGAATAAATGATCCTTGTTTTTTTTTTTTAAGATTTATTTATTTATGCATACAGAACTGGGATACAGGCCAGAGGTGCAGGCAGGGGTGGTGAGAGGATTCAGGGACAGAGTGGGGAACAGGACAGGCAGATGGACAAAGTACACTGCTGAAGGGAACAGCAGGCAGGTCAGGAGAGGTCTGCCATGCCATGTGGGTCACTTTGGCGGGGATCATACTTGTGAGGTAGGTGTGGCTAGCTTTGTAGAGATGTGCTTTACCCTGTTGCACCACCAGGGAGGGCCCTGATCCTTGTCTTTTAGGCTAGAATTTAAGCTCCATGAGAGCATGGTATATTCATATACCGTCCCCTAGTATTTAGACCAGTATCTGTAACATAATAGGTGCTAAATAAAAATTGCTGAGTGAATGGATTCTTCCAAAGAGCTTAGTCTGAAAGACATTTCAAAATGGAAGTGAGCTTAAATAGGACAGCTACATGTGATAGATGCTATAGCAGTTTACTTTTGCTCCTTTCAAAAAATCCTTTGTTCCATCTTAAAATAAGAATATAAGTTTAAGCATGGTTTATGAAGAATTCCTAACCTCGACCTTATCGGGCTAGGGCTCAGCCATCGTGGATGGCCACTTAAGCTAGAATTTTACTTGCTGGAGGTTGTCCTCTACTCTTGAACCTTCTTGGGACATATTGTCTTCTCCGACTGGCACTAGCAGCTGCCTGTGAAACTTACCTAGCATAGTTGGTCAGGCCAGAGTTTCACTACGAACGGGTGAAAGTGGCCAAAGATATACTTCCAGTTATAAGTCAGTCATAGGATGGAACGTACAGCATGGTGGGTATAGTTAATACCACTGCATTCCGTATTTGAAAATTGCTGAATCGATTTAAAAAGTTTTTACTACACACACAAATTATAACCACATATATGGTGACATGCTAATTAGACTTATTGTGGGAATCATTTCTCAGTATATTCTGATTTGAACCATTGCTATACATTTGAAACTGTTAAATGTCAACTGTACTTAAAAATATGGAACATTTATCTCTGCCACTGTGTTGAGGAATAGAAGAAAAACAACTTCCATTATCTGGGTCTATGTACCTTAACTGCTTTGAGGTTTTAAGAAGCAAATCGGATAGGTTAATATCATGTTGACAACACTGCACTGACCAGTGGAGCAGACCACACTATGTAGGGTGCTGTTGAAAGGGTGAGCTCCTGGCCTTTATTGATATAAGAATGAAGCGCCAGTTATGCAGGAGTAGAACAAAGAAAAAGGGATAGGAGAAACTGAGCAAATGTGCATATTTATCTGGGGCTCCCAGGGGGAAGATGAGTCTGCTGACATCCACTTGATGACTCACTGTTGAGATGGAAGCCAGACCCCAGACCCTCTACTCAGGGCTCCAGTCTTAGAGACAAGGCTTTCTGCAGTGATCAGCAGTCTCTGGGAGACAAAGTCATGCTTCAGCACTGTGTGCCCCCTCCCCGCATTGTTCATGGTCATACCTTGGGGTGCATATCCACTGTTCCAAGAGATAAAGCATCCTGTTCTTGTAAAATTTGAAAGGGGCCTTGTAACTAATTGATTGCTCTGGACTGACCTTGTGTTTGAATGCAGAATTGCACGTAACCAAGATGGTAGCCAAGCCGGCTATTTAAGTCTAGAAACCCCACAGGTTAAGTTTACCTTCAGAAGTCCCTTGTAAAGAACAAATCTCAGCCTTCCGGGAAGTGAAACATTGCTGCAGGTGCTACAGCAACTTTAGTGTTACCTTTTTGTTCTCTGGTTCATCTGTTACCAACTACAGTGTTTCCCTTTTTGATGAGACAACTTATCATTCTCTTGTGACTGTAAACTAATTTGTTTGTTATTTTGCTTTGCTTCATACTTATTAAGAGAAGTATCAGATTAGACTGTCCAGTCATTATCCTCCTGGGCGAAGCTCTCATGTTTTTCCTCTAAAGCACCTTAGCCAGTCTTTGGGTGGGAATCTGATCCCTGGCTATCATCATTTGTAACCAGGCCCCGGTGTCTCATCATCTGAATCATAGTGATCCTGTCCTACTGATAGAACCTTCTGCAGTTACTTTTCCTAGAAGGAGCACATGTGACCTTGGCAGATATTCTGAGCATCATACATTACTATTAGTTGACCACTGTGAGCTTTCAAATTGAAGAAGTACAAACTCTCCATATCTCCACAGAATGTATTTCTGGTCTCCAAAAGGAATAGCCATGACTAACCAGAACAATCAAATTATCTCCACTTGTTCTGGTTCCACAGCCTTTTGTAGGCTTGAGAAAATAATAGCAAGTCAGGTATATTTATGATGTTCAACCCTTTCATTAGATACTTTACAGCATTTACTATAATTAATGAAGTGTTACTGAAGGAGAAATAATCAAAATACTTACCTGGAATGTATACATGTAGCTGAACCATTAAGATTAGGAAAAATAAAATAATGGCTGGCGAACTGCGGTCTCATCTCAAATACAGCTTGGATGCAGCTAGGAGTATGGGTCTTTCTGCAGCTATTGGAGGTTCCGCTGAGAAACCAAGATTCAGAGCCCTTAGGGTTTTATGTGTAAAGGTCTTTGGGGATTGCATAATTTTCCCAGAGGTGGTCGTAAAAAGAGAGGTGATCCTCCCTTCAGAAATATTGGTTGAGAAGGTGTCTAGTATTTGTGAAACACAGAGAATCAAATGCTAGTTCTGCAAGGGATTCTGTGCAAATAGCACACCTTGGTTTCATCAGTAGCTCCATTCAGCTTAGCATCATGAGAATGATCATGTTATTACTTTCGTCATTTTAACAAAGACTGGTGGAAACTTTTCCTATGGTTGGGAATCACTAGGCTAGGTACATGGGTAATGCAGCAAGGTGTACACGTCGAGCTAGCTGACAGAGGTCCCCACACAGTGCTGACGCTCTCCTGAGGGAAGTACCAGGGGCTGTGCCATGTGGCACTTTCAGGGCCTTTCCTGGATTGGAAGCCTAGAAGAGGGGAGAGGCGGGTGGAAGAATGACAAGCACGTCCTTGTGGGGCTGGGTCATGCTGAAAGGAGTGACAATGACTCGTAAGAACGAAGGAACTCTTAGAGCTCTAAAGTCTTTTTGTGTAGGTGGCTTTGTTCTGGGAAAGTGAATTCTCAGATCTTTCCCTTTGATTCTTTCCAGTGAAGGCCACATTGAGACACAAAGCAGCTGACTTGCTAAATCTCCGGCTGTTTTGGAATATGTTTTCTCATTCTCTGTGGTTAGTGATTGTAGCTCACAGAGAAGGGAAAAAGCCAACCTCTGTCCTAGGGTTCGTTGCTGTTTAAAGTTGCCTTGTTTCTCATTTTTTTCTCCTCTCAGGCTGCTTGATAGGGGCTGTGAATCTCAAATCCAGCAACCGAACCCCAGTGGTACAGGAATTTGAAAGTAAGTACAGTGGAGGCTGTGAGGGGAACGGGCACCGTCTCATGGGCATTTGTTAGTCTCGCAGCCACCTCGGGCCGAGTGGTTGCTTGCGGGCGGGCGTGCCCCCATCGTGGGCGCTGCAGGTGCTGCTGCAGACGCGCATGTCTAACATCCAGGATTTGTGGCAGGTCTGATGGTGCCATTTTCCAGCAGCAGCTGTTCACTTGTGTCTGTCACATCTCATTAAGGTGTGCAAATGGTTTTCCACACAGATTGCTGTTGCACACTTCATAGACTACATAGTTCAGTGTAACCATAATTTCATATGTACTGTGAACCCCAGAAGTCCCTATGACTTGCTTTATTGTGACACATGCTTTATCGTGGCGGTTTGGAGCTGACCCAGCTGTCTGAGGTGTGTGTGTTCACACCATGCCAGGAGCTTGCCGGGCATGCTCACTCACGGCGCACTGATGCGCAGGCTGGGGCGCCCCTGTATTCCTGCTGGCCTTGTGTTCACACAAGAAAGACATTTGGGTCGGAGCAGAGCGTTAAGGGGGCATTTGTAAAAGTCCTTGTTAGTCATCATTATTGTTTTTTGGGTAAAAAATAACCTTAAAGTCTCTTTGAGCCTGGTAATAGGTACACTTTTAATCTGCATTAAGGCCAAAAATGTAAAGCAGGGTTTGGGTTAATAAGTGAACCTAAAATTATTACACATTGATTGTAATTTTTTTCCCTTTGCTGTTTAGGTGTGGAATTGTCCTGTATCATTACGGATTCACAGACAAATGACCCAAGGATTGAGTGGAAGAAGATTCAAGATGACCAAACCACTTACGTGTTTTTTGACAACAAGATTCAGGGTATGACCCTGTGGTCCTCTCTCGTACACAAGGTCCCAGCTTGCACTTGTGGTCAGACTGTCTCTGACTGGCCTAATCTAATCAGGGGCGCTGTTTTCTTTTGCTTACGGGAAAGTCAGACAGTCTTATGCTGAACCTCCCTGTACCAGTCACCTACCTTCCAACAAATGGCATTTCATTAATTAGGATCTTAATTTATCTACTTCCCCCATCTTTTTGAGTTATCAGAGTAAACATTTTTCTTGATCATCATTTTACCATAATCCGTGACATTAATGACACAAATGAGTTCATCAGAAGGATCATATGGAGCAGCAAGACGCCAACCAGTAATTACTGGGCATCTAATATTGTGAGGCATAACACCTAGAGAAGGCACTTGCTGGACACATTAGCAGGATCTAGTGCCCAGGCTACAACAGGGGTAAACACAGGCTGCTCTCGGATTACATGAAGTAGGAGCAGGATGGTGGTCTGGGAAGGCATTTCCTAAGAGACATGTGAAGGAAGGGTGGAAGAAAGCCAGGTGAGACAGTGAGAGGTGGGATGGGGCAAGATGTTGGGTAAGGAAGAACACTGTGTGTAACGATGTGGAAGCCAGAAGCAGCTTGGCCTGTTGGAGAGACTGCATGCTCACCACCACAGCTGGGACCCGAGAGGGAGAGGGACGTGAAAGGAGGATGGAGAAGTGAAAGGCCGGAGCACTGAAAGCCAGGCAGGAATGGACAATATTTCGAGACTTCACTGAAAGTCGACGGTCATGACTACATTTAGCAACTGAGTTAGCTGCTTTGTAGAGAAGAGGTTGTAAGTGGGCAAAACAAAGATCAAAGGTGGCACTTAACTACAAAACCCAGGAATACTGGTGGGCTGAGCTAAGGCCAAGATAGTACAGAGAGGTTGGAGTGACTAGGAATTTCTGTGACGAGGGAGGAAGAGGATGGGGTGACAGGTGGCAGGACATGGGATATGGATGATCGTCATCTTGACAGGAAGGAAGGCATAAACATGAGTTACAGGTGCTGGTAGGTTATCAGTGGTGTGCTTAGAGTCCCCGGAGAAGTGGAAAGTCAAGGTTTCAGGGAAGGAAAGAGATTTTGTGGAAATCTAAACTTGGAGTCTTTCTGCTCTGGGTTCTCTACAATCAGGAATCACAGGCTCTTAAGAATGGCTTAGTTGTCCCACCAGCATCCTCCCTCACCTCTTATCTGGTAAGAGCATTTCCTTCCCTTTAAAATAACAAATTCACTTTTTCTGGCAATTTAATGCTGCTCCCAGTCAATCCTATATATGCAGTTTTGGTCATCAGAGAAACCAAGTGGGAATTTTCCTTAAAGAACATTCTATTTCTGGGAGTTGAATCCCTTACTCTTAGCTACTCTACTGAGGGTCGGGAGAGTACTTACCACACAGGAACTGAGGGCTGGAGGACAGTGCCTGTCTACTCAGTCACTTCTCCTGCCTCAGCACACAGCTATTCCAAAAGCGCCCTAGCAGACTTTTGCTTACTCTTTTCTTACATGGTAGAAATTCTCATCTGCTCACGACTGAGTAGCAAATTTCCCTATTAGAAAATGCCTTTGGGAATATTTATCCTCTGCCATAAGTGTTTTGCTGTTTCTGGTAAATTATGCTAAGTTCTTCTTACCCTAACACTAATTGACAGATTTAATGGTAGTTTCTGTGTTTTGTGGAATTTTTTTCTTATTCCTCCCTTTGTCATTCTCTAGGTACTTTTTATGCTTCTTTGAAAGAGCTACTATGTCTTTTGATCCTTAAAACATTTCACCAAGTTATAATTCAATTAGTATAAAACTCTTTCATGTTAAGTAGATGTGACTTGGTGGTTGTTAATAGATTCCAAAAAGGGTACAGCCATCACCCCTATCAAATCCCAGAACATTTTCATCAGCTGAAAAAGAAGCCTGTGTCCACCAGCAGTCACTCCCCAACCCCTGGCCTGCTGAAGTGCTTGCCCTCTCTGTGGACTTGCCTGACCTGGGCACTTTGTATAAACAAAATCAGGACTTTTTATATGAATGACTAATACTCTGTTGCAGATAATGCCATTTTTAAAATTTGTTAAGCAGTTGGTGTACATTTGGATGTTTTCACTCTATTAGTAATAATGATCCTCTGAATATTATAAGCTTTTGTGTGAACATAAGCTTTCACAAATTCTTGGGGATAAAGTGCTCACTCATGTGGTACTTGTGTTTTTCTTAAGAAACGGTCCATCTATTTCCCAAAGTGACTTCAGCACTTTACGTTCCTGTGGGGCTTTTTTATCCCTGTCCTTGCTGGCATTTGAAATTGTGTGTTTGATTTTAGCCATTCTAGTGGGTGTGAGGGGGTCTCACGGTGGCCCTGACTTGCCTTGGCCTGTTGTCTGATGTTGAGCATCTTATCACGTGATTGTACGCCATTTGTTAATTTTCTTCAGAGAAATGTCTACTCCAATCCTTCAGGACTTAGGTTGTCTACTGCGGAGTGGCTTTTGGAGACTAGTACTTGGCCAGATACATGATTTCCAAATATGTTAGTGGATGGTCTGTTCACTTGCTGCCTCCTTGAAGCACAAAAATTCATGATGTCTGATGAAAGTCTAACAAAAGCCAGTAAACTATTTGGTTCTGTGCTTGTGCTTTTGGTGTCACAGCTAAGAAATCATTGCCTAGTCAGTCCAACGTGATCATTTCTATGTTTTTTCCTAAGAGTTTCACAGTCGCAGCCCCATTTTGCCGGGTCCTTATTGCCTGACATTGTGCTGCATGGCAATACTAGTGTCCTTGCACCGTTTGTGGGAATGCTGGTTGCGTTTTATGGCTGGCTTCTTTCTCTTTAATGGGGAATCCCTGCTGGCAGTGATGAAAAGGAAAGCAGTACCTGCTTTAAAAACAGGGACACTTGTCAAGAGTCCTCTTATATACGGGTATTATTTTGGTGCTGGGTGTCCTTAGAGAGGACTAAGATAGAAGAGGTCAGAAATAAAAGTCAGTCTAACCAGGCATCAAATACTGGCCCCAGGAGCCAATTTAAGTAGTAACTATCTTTAAAGGGCCTAAAGAGTCTTTAAGCACTCGTGTCTTCTTTTCTATAGGAGACTTGGCAGGTCGTGCAGAAATATTGGGGAAAACCTCTCTGAAGATCTGGAATGTGACCCGAAAAGACTCAGCCCTTTATCGCTGTGAGGTGGTTGCTCGAAATGACCGCAAAGAAATTGATGAGATAGTCATTGAATTAACTGTGCAAGGTAGGAGCTCATTTGATGTTAAAACATGGTGCATTCCTTTCAGGCCTCAAGAGTCTGTCTATAGAATAAAGAAAATCAACCCTCCTTTTGGTTCCTTTTAGAGCTACATCTGAGAGGGTGTCACATGAGTTAGGGAGGGGAGAGCTTTCCAGAGCTGGGACCGCCGAGTCTGGGTCCACCAGCTGTGGGAGTGATGCTCAGGAAGGTGGAGGCATTGTAGGATTTGAGGGGGTGCTGCAGGTGGGTCACGGTGACAGTGGGGTAAGACATCCTCTTCCTCAAGCTGGCTTCCTGTTTGGGCATGAACTTCTTCTTATACTTACTGTAGTAGAACCACAGAGCCATTTTAAACTCCAGCATGTTTCTCCTGCAGTGAAGCCAGTGCCTCCCCTGTGCAGAGTGCCGAAGGCTGTTCCCGTAGGCAAGGCGGCGACGCTGCACTGCCAAGAGGGTGAAGGCCGCCCCCGGCCACACTACAGCTGGTACCGCAACAACATACCACTGCCAACAGATTCCAGAGCCAATCCCAGATTTCGGAATTCCTCATTCCTCTTAAACTCTCAAACAGGCACTCTGGTAAGATCTCCTCAGAGGTGGGGGTGGAAGTGCCTTTGTTGGGGCAAAGGGTATTATTGTGGAAAGAGCATTGATTAGGAGACTCCGTGAAACTTGAGATGGGAGCTCCAAGTCAGTGCCAGAGGTTCTATAAAAGGGCCGTCATCACCTAAATGAAGGAAGGGAACCTGTACAGTAAAAGCAACTGAAGGAGGGATGGAATCGGTGCATGTCTTTAGGGCCTTGATTTCAATAACCAACTGTGAAAGTCACAAGACAGGGAAATTTGGTTACTGACTTGGATGTTGGATTTAAGGAATTATTAATTGCTATAACATGGCAAGGATATTATAGTAAGAGGTTTTCTTTTTTGAAAGTAAAATCTTTTCTGGAAATACCCTCTGAAGTATTTACAGATAATATGTGCCTGGAGTTTGCTATAGAGGGACCCTGTAGTGTGGGAAATGGGGATCGGGGGGAAAAAATGAGAGGTCACACGCAGGGGACAGCTAGCACCTGCGCCCTCCCCCCAGCTCCCCCGTGTCCTGATCAGTGGAGTATCTAATGGCAGGACTGAGCCAGTTGTCAAGGTGTCTGTGTTTCTGTTGCTGGGGAGAGTCTTTACCACAGTCCCTTTTTCTGCATAAAGTAAAACTCAGCATCTCCTTCTGCACATTGCTTTGCTTTGACAACCCTCAACAGTGAGATCCCCCTTTATGGAGACATCAGGCAGGAGTATCCAGAGTTAGAAGAATGCTGGGTAGTGACCAGAATGCTGAAAAGAAACCAAGAGCAAATGAGCATTTACCATGTTCTGGGCAGCGTGGGGCAGAGGGACAGCCCGGCCTGTTGTCATGATTGTGGTTTCCCGAGACAGGTCTTCAGTGCTGTTCACAAGGATGACTCCGGGCAGTACTACTGTATCGCCTCCAACGACGCTGGCTCCGCCAGGTGTGAAGAGCAGCAGATGGAAGTCTGTGAGTCACTTTTGGAAACAGTTGCATCTGGCAGTAGTGCCTAGCATGTGAATTTACTGTCACACCATCAGTTTAGACAGCTGTTCTGCCAAGGGTCAGCTTTCTTCGAGGGCAGGCTAGATTCACCACATCCATTTGGGTACATTGAAAGGAAAGATGAAAAAAAAATTGAGTAAAAGCTAATGACTAAAATGGACTTTCTGGAGATGATTGCTGTTGGAAACTGCTAATCAGTATCTTTTGAATAGGTTTAATAATCATAATGTAATTATTTATATTGTAATATAAGGTCACGGGAAGTCTCTAGAAATTCTTCCAGTTCTAGCCATTTTGCATTAAGCTAAAACAAGTTTTAGCCCCAACAATTTTCCTGTGCTGTGATGCTGTTTTGGGGCTAAAGGGAGGTGTTGAGGGCAAGGTGGCCAGATGGTACGGGTCAGGCTCCCTGAGGGAAGCGAAGTCGTTCCCTCCCTGTGTGCGGCCCTACTGGAGCAGAGCTTCCCACACGTACTTGAGCCGAGACCCCTCTGGGCCCATTGTTTCACATCCAGGTCCCAGGCACCAGGCCATATGTATGAACTCAACCCTCTGGGTGGTCTGGGAGCCCGATGGATAAAACAACATTCCTGTGACCTGTCAAATTTCGGTAACTCTGCTGTAGGGTAGGAGGGAGGTTCTTGGGTTTTGCCTCAGACCTATCGATTCTTAAGATAGAACTTGGGAATTGGCATTTTAAAATCAAACCTTCAATTTTTAAACATATACTCATATTTGAGAGCCACTGTAAGAAAAGGAAAAATATGAATACAAGTTTTTTGATTTGTATTTGTATAAAGGAAGTAAGTCCCCACACTGAAGGTGACCACTACTTCTGCCCAGTGTCCCAAAAGGAGAACTAGGTTTGTCAAGGGGGTCTCTTGAGAAGGACCTTCAGAGCCAAGACTAGAAAGCTGACAGGGTGAAAGGTCATTTTCACTTTATATTTAAATATGCTTGAAACTAGCTCTCCTTTCCAAATAATCTGCAGCAAACGGAAGCCCTGGAAATAAGGATTACTTTTCCCCCTGGCATCTAAATTCTATCATGTAACCATTTCATCTACTAATAATATTCTCAGAGATTTAGCCAGAAGGTTTTTAAGGCTTTTATACAATACCAGCCCGGCTTTTACTAAAGTGTGAAGCAGAAGCTTTTCAAGTATGTAGACATCGCAATACTTTTTACAATCTGGGATCTGAATGTTTAAGCCAGAGTTTGCATTCTCATCTTGCTCTCGGACTGAGGTAGGCATGAGGGAGCAGTGGGAGGATAGAGTAAGACAGGAGACCCTACAGGGTCAGGGTGTTGTATGAAATTAGGTGGTATCTTCTCCCTCAAATCTCCTTTTCTCCAGATGACCTGAACATTGGTGGGATTATTGGGGGAGTCCTGGTTGTCGTTGTCGTCCTGGCACTGATAACAGTGGGCATCTGCTGTGCCTACCGGCGTGGTTACTTCATCAACAACAAACAGAATGGGGAAAGGTGAGCCTGTCTTCAGGGGAAACTGCAAAGTTCAGGTTGGAATTGATGTGGTGACAAGTTCCTGAACCATTCTTTCCTTGTTTCAGTTACAAGAACCCAGGGAAGCCAGATGGAGTTAACTACATCAGGACAGATGAGGAGGTAAGGTATGAGAGACCAGAGCAGACAGCATTTAGGAAACCTAGATTTAAAATTCCCAGCGGGGGACACGACATTCCTACTTGGAAACCCTGGGGTGCCCTCTGAAAATTAAGATGTCTGCATTATCTTCCAGACCCCGAATTCTTTAATCCTTCATAGTAGTATGTGTGCATACGTGGCATTCAGCTTGCAAGTTGTGTTTTGTGCTGTATGTGTCTTCTTCAGGGACTTGCCCTCCACTTTCCCTTTCTACTGTGCCTGGATGATAGGGAATGGCCGAGTTTAACTTGTGTTGGCCTTGCAGGGTGACTTCAGACACAAGTCCTCATTTGTGATCTGATACTGGATGGTGTGACCAAGAGAGCACATGCAAATACCTCTACAGAAACTGCCACAAGAGCAGCGGGAGCAAAGTGCACTTGGACGGAGCTAGACACTCATGCAAAAGCTTTTTGTTTTGGCCAAAGTTGACTGCTACTCCTTTCTTACTTTTTAACAAGCCACATAAATAAAAATTTTCCTCAAGATGGACATGGTCTTCACGACACGAAACGGAATGAGTTCCTAGGTTCTCTCTGGCCCGACTTGCCGCCGGTGTTGGGGATTGTGCAGCTCCTGCTCAGCTGTGGGGCTGGGTAGTGCGAGGCCAGGGCTCTTGGCACTCGCCGGCAGCAGCCGCACGAGCCCCTGTGGGGAGTCGGGGTAGCTGTGCAGGGCTGGGAAACGCGTCACAGCGTGGAACCCTGCAGGTCCAGTCTGTTGAACCACCAAGTGATCCGGAAAAGGCTTGTTGTGCCGTGGCCTTGTGTGGTGGCCCAGAGAGCACTGTGTCCTTTTCTCCTGAAAAACTCTGTAGGGTCCATCTTGGAAAATATTTTTGGATCAGTATTTTATAAAAGCAACCAAAATCAGTAAGGTAAATTGCTTGTTTGAAGAAGGGATCTTCTTACCTGTAGGAATCCTTCTTGTCTAGTGGAAGGTTCCACTATTTAAAGCTAACTCTGAAATGGTACTGAAATAATGTTCTGATTTTTCTATGGGTGTTTATTTTATAAAATTTTACATTCTAAATTTTTGCTAAAGATGTATTTTGATTATTGAAAAGGAATTTCTATTTAAACTGTAAATATGTTGTCATACAATGTTAAATAACCTATTTTTTTTAAAGTTCAGCTTACAGTACGAGTCCAAGTTATTTGTGCTAATTGGAAAATACCAATAATTAACCCAAGGAATTGTCTCAAGAAGGCTTATTGGAACATTCCTTTTTCCCCACATGAGAACTTATGTTATCTGTACATCAACCATTATTCCTGAGGAAACTTTAAAAATACTCTACTTGAGTCATGTTGAAGTATGTGCCATCTCTCCAAAAGAAACAGAAGCTCTTAGGTTAGACAAAACAAACTACACATGTCCAAGGTGACCCAGAAGTTTAGACACGTGACTGTATACCTGGTCATCAGCTCCTCCGTAGGGCCGTCTCCACCGGTCCCAAATGATGCTGAGGCTAAATTCTGAGGCTGCTCGCACATCCACCTTGGGCGCTTCCATGCAGGGCTGCGTGCCGGTTTGCTTTAAGTAAGCGTTGTTACCCACATGCGACAAGGGCTCAGCTCAGCCTGTCCAGCTCTAACGTGGGCACTTCAGGTGAGGCAGGGATGCTCTGTGTGGCGTCTCCCAGGCCAGAGCTTTTTCAGGTGGATGGCTTGTCGAACAGCGCAGCTACTGCTCTTTGGTTTTTAAATTCATTTTACTTATTACATCTGTGTAGTTTGTAAGACTGTCATGAGCCAAAGGCAGTTTTGAAATATTGCCAATTCCAGTAATATTTTTTAAGGAAAATGATTTCTTTATTCTTCTGCGCTACGAAGAAAGCTCTGAGACACTGCAGGTCTTGTCTCTTTCGGCAGTAAGCCATTTTGTGGGGCAGCGAGACCAGCCTTTTGAAGACTATCAGTGCAGCCAGGGCAGAAAGCCTGACGGCGAGGAAAGTAAAACATTCAAATCAAAGATACTTTCCTAATTTTTTGTTTTTAACATTTTTACCTTCTCAAGACATTGCTCCCTTTGTGGGAGACATTAGAAACGTTATCCAAAAGCCTTTGTTCTTTAGAGCAGATGCTCTTTGCCTCAGATACAAGGCTGTGTGGAACTCATGATGTGAGGCCAGAAGCATCTGAAAGGAGCACCTTCAGCCCCACTGTGTGCTTAAGGATGGTTTTTAAGTAGAATGTAGTCATCTCGGAATTACACTTTCAGTGTCTTAATTTTTTATATTTTGAGTTTTTTTAAATTGGATACTTGACTTATGTTGACTTTTTTTTTCATGTTATGTGAAATACGCTGCCATGGGGTATTTGGGAGAAACAGCGGGCAACTCTTTGTAATTGCTTAGTGTGCCCAGCTGTCTGCCTCTGTGTCAAGAATGCTCAGAATTAAGACTGTCCTTTCATCTTTAACTACCCTGAGTAGAAGGGGTAGCTCCCACCCCTCCTTTAGTTGTCGGGGAACATCACCGTAGGTTCCCTTGGTTGTCTTAGTGGTAGAGTGGCCTTAACCACTTCCCTCTTACACCGGAAAACCTTCCACCCTCGTGCTCTGTGAACTGGGTCTGATGGTAGAGAAGTGGGCAGGGGGACTGGGAAGTAGTCGCCTATCACTGTAAAATGTAGAGCATTTGTGTGTTTCAAGATGTGAATGTGACTGAAGACTCGAGACCTACACAAGGCTGCAGTGGCCTTAGGTGTGGCTGTGCTGTACATAGATGTTACTCGTTTGTACTAACACTTGTAAGTTGGTATTCGTTAAACCTCATTTATAAAAAGCTTTAACAAAAAAAAATCAGCTTTGCCTCATTTTTCTCATTTGTGTTTACGTTATGTTTAGCGGCTTCTTCTAGCATTTCATTAGGCAAATGGCCCTGCCACTGCCCAGGTTTAAAGAGACTGCTGTCGTCATTTACCAGCACTGCGGAGCAGTCTGGGAGTCTGCTGGCAAGGCCAGGGCCTGGTTCCTAGTGGGAGAGCTGTGGGGGTGGGTCATGATACACTCCCCCTTCCCTACTTCAGCCCACATGATATATTAAGAACTTTAATGTCTGTAGAACAGTGATTAAGAATGGACCAGTAGAGTTTCTGGTCATTATTGGACAGAACATAAAACACAAGTGTTTAAAGGTTACCTGTTGGTGCCAGAGCAGAGCCAGAGGTCACCCCCCTTAAATGTCAGCGTTAGGGCACGCTGGGTAAGTGGCACGAAGCACCTTCTCTGTAAGCAGCATTACGTTATGTATGAAGATGAAGGCCTGTTAGGAAACCAACAGTCCTTAAAGACAAACAATCATTTTTTTTCCTAATAGGAAAGATCTGATTGTATTAAATGCTTGTTTAACTAAAATTACTACCAATAAAGGCACTGTTCTGAAAATAGAGAAATTCTATTGACTATCAGAAGGCTGTATTTATGCTTAACCTTTATTATTACATTTTAGAAAGCTGTACATTTTTTTAAAAAATCTGCAATTTATAAATAATAGAAAAAATATTACAATCAAATCTTATTATTATATATGAGAAACTGTACTAACAGGAACTCAAGCCAGCAAACACACTTGGTTTATAGAAAAGAAAGCCGATGCACTGTCTTCCTTAAGGATTCAGCTCACAGGTGGATTCAGCATTTTCAGAGGGGTAAAGTTAGATTATTAAATAGCTAAGGCATTTCTCTATTATTTTACAATGCTTTACCATATAGTTCATTAAAGACATTTAAAGGGCTGGCCAGCTACACAGGTGAGTCAGTGAGAGTGCTGGAATCCAGGAAAGTGCTGGTATAATGAAAGCACCCCAACCTAGGGATGTGAGGGAAGTGAACCCTGCCTTTCCACATACAGGCAACAAGGTGGTTTCTTACGGCTCCTGCCTTCCAGACACTCCCTGGAATGGACTGTTTTAGTTGGCTGTTTTCAGGGGAGTCTTTCGGAGCGATCTCCTGCTGGAGGCTGGGTTGTCTTTATTCCTGGCTGGAGACTTCACATTCCACTGCTGTGGCTGTGGAGGCCTAGGGGAAAGAAAAGATACGCTTGTTCTGGAGCTAAAAGAAAAAAACCTGATGCAAACATCTACCTCAAAAAGAACTCAGTAAACTTACTGTTTATCAGGCAGTGATAAGCATAAAATGTCATTCCCTTGATTCTGGGCTTCCATTTTTTCTGAAAGGGAATCAAACACAAATTCAGGCATTCCAGAGCTCCAATGGTGGTGGATATGTGTGATGGGTAGGGGACTGAGAACTTGCCTTTGCCAGCAAAAGGAGTTGGTGGAGTGGCGATGTAGCTGACCCCTGCTCCAAATGTGACATCATTGATGGTCTCTGGCAAGGGGACACAACATGGTTAATGAAAAGCTGGCAGAAGAAAGCACTGCACCCATCACCCAGGTGAGGTCAGCTATAGGCCTTCAGTCTCCACATGAGATGCAGTGTCTCTCTGGCCTCAGGTTCAATAAGCTCCTCTGAAATGCTTAACATTCCTTTCTGCTGGAACTTTCTCCTTCCCATCCATGGTCCCAGCTCCTGACTTCAGGGCAGCAGACTGGTTGGGACACTGTTGGCCCCCACTAGCCTCACGCACCTGCTGCCTTCAGACACTGCCTGGATGTCATTTCTTCACACCTGGTACCTTCACACCTGGCCAGTTTCAGCCCAGTGCGCCCCCTTGAGTCATGCAGCTCTGGCAGGATCACGCCTGACTCCCTGGTGCCTCACCACTCAACCTCTGCTCTTCAACATGTGTCTTCTCTTTCCCTGTCCAGTCTATGGTCTGTGCCAGCTGGAAGCACAGGCACCATTAGCTGCTTCTTCCAGCCTCAGCACATCTTCCAAGTCTCCTCGTCTGCTTGCTTCGACCCCACCTCATGGGGACGCTAGCCTTGACCTGTCAGAATGATAGGCTTCCCTTTCCAAACTTCCCTCAAGAGGCAGGAGAGTGCAGAGTAAGGGCAGACATTCTGAATCACACTTGGCTTGAATTCTAACTTTGCATCTTACTATACATGTGAGCCTCTCTGGAAAGGGGGATTCAAATGTCCCTTCCTCATAGGGAAGTCATCAGGATTCACAAGATGATTTATGTTAAGTCCTTAACACTATCTGCTACAGGTAGGTGCTTAAAAGACATTAGCAATTTAAATGCACTGTCTGTCACTGAAGTCCAGAGAGACAGACTGCCCTGCACAAGCAGTGTGAAGGCGCAGTGTTGAAAGGGAGACCTGGAGTCCAGCCTCGGGGCCAACAGCCTGGTGTGACCAGTCCGGCCCTCCAATACCCACTGACTGTCCACAGACATCCGCACAGTAGGTGCTGCCCTGTGGCCCTGGCTGCACCTGCGTTCCTCTGCTCCCAGTGTCGCCCCAACCTGTGCCCCCCGTCTGTCCCTCCTATTTCACATGAGCTGCAGTCACCACAGAGCTCAGCCCCAAGCAGCGGCTGTGGTCTGTGCTGTCCCTCCTACAACAATGCCTGTGGAGTGGGGGCTCCGCTCCTGCCCTTGCTTCTATGACACTGCCGTGGGGTTACCGCCTGTACTTTGCTCCTCGGCGTCACCAGAGCTGGGAGGTACTCAAGAGACTACTTTCAACACTGCCTTTCAGACAGCTCAGTTCAGCTCAGCCCTGCTTCTGGGAGTGCTCCTTGGATGGCAGTGAAATTCCCTGGTTTCACACATTCCTTTTTCTGTCTGGAAGCCTGTGCACATCCAGGTAAAATGTCTTCAACCTTCACAGAAGCGTCTGAGCACTTACAGCGAAAGGCACTGCCTTGTTGCTGCTTGCATTCCAGTGAGAAGGTCCCGCTTAGAGACCTCACTTAAAATGTAGCTCTGCAAAGTACCCATTTCCACTTAGCAAGGCTACTCTGCTCATACTCAGTATCACTGCGGTGCCCAACGAGTGGGGCATTTTTCTTCCTGGCTTTGTAGAATTGAGACCATTCTTCGACAGTCACCTACCTAAACATAGCGTGGTCAACAGAATGTGTTTATAAACCATCGAGAAAAAGAGCTGAGTGTTTTTAAATTCTCTAATATTTTTCCCAGAAGCAGAGCTAACAGGAAACCCTTCCTCAATTACTTCCTCTTGGTTCAGAATAAGGAGAGCTCCCCAGGAATTTTACATTCAAGAGCCTACAGAAAGAAAAAATACACTGTTGATCGGTGGGCATATGCAGCCTTATTTTCACTGCAAAGACAGCTCCCCACAAGCAGATTCAGGCAGCGCAGGGCGGGGCCAGGGCTCACCCTGGGGAGCGCATGCTGCTGGGAAACAAACTGGGCTCAAGAGGACACATGAAACAGACACAATGCAGCCTCCCCATTTCTTCACACGGGGTACCTAAAACTCTGTCGTAGCCCCGAGCCATGAACACAATGTGGAAAATGTGAGAGGTTGAATTTTTTGACATACGTGACGTTACATCTGTTCAACAGAAACCCCAAGTTATCCACTGCTTTTAATGGCAAAAGGTCAGGATTCAGATGTCATCTGAGGAGAGGTGAAGTCAGGTTCATCCACTCACCTCCCTTACAAGGGGCAACCTGGGTAACAACCTATAACCTAGTACCTATTCTAAGAGCTCACAGAACCCCAAAGAGCTAGAACACGGCGGGCGTGCAGCAAGCTGTACTTCACTCCGCTGCTCCCTGCAAGTGTGCTCCCCACACTGTTCTCATCTGACTATGAGGCCTGAGTTTGGCACTGAGAGAGGTACTGGAGGGAACACAGAAGTGAGACATCAGAAAACCTAGAAAGAGCACAACAGCTTTTGAATGGAAAGCAAGGTCAGCGAGTTACTCTGAAGTGAGTGCTGCTGAGAGGGGTGAAGGCCAGGGAGGGTCTGTCCCCACAGGCGGCAAGAAGGGGCCTCTAAGAGCCCAGGCTGTGCTGGGTGCTCAGGAAGGTGAAGGTGGCTAGTGCCCAGCACCTGCAGAGACATGCTGGGTGGGACTTTGCAAACCACACTGCAGATTTTGGGCAGCACAGTGTCTCCATAGTATAATTTTCTCAAAACAATGATTATAGAGTCTGAGGAAAAAAACTATAAAACAAAGCAATGGGAGTACTCTATTTCTAATATCCCTCTAGTTTGAAATCAAAGGAAGGACTAGGAAATTAGGAAAAAGTCACATTAACAGGCCCAAGCAGACACAGGGCCTACTCAGCATGGCACAGCCCTCCATATGCCAGTGTGTGTGGGGTTGACCGCCACAGTGCACAAGGCTCCTGCAGCGCTGAAGGCTGAGCGCTGGCTGAGCACAAGGGCAATCTGGGGTGCTCGAGAGTCTAGAATGGCAGGAATAGCACTGCCTAGAAGCTCCCCTCAGCCTCGTGCCTGCTTCCCTACCTACGAAATAAGAATGCCTGCAGGGCAGCTGCGAGCTTCACCGCGAATACAGGCAAAGCACTAGGAAGAGCACTTGACACTGAGCTGGTGGGTCACTGTACTAAGTTTTGTTCAGGCTGAGAAACGCTGTGGGACACTGTTGCCCGCCACCACAGCTCTTACCCAGCCAAAGAACTTCCCTCCAGTAAGTGCAGCAGATACACAGTGACTGCAGGAGACCATGCAGAAGCCAGCTTGTCCCTTATCCTTACTTACTCTCAGGAGTGCTGATGGCTCGTTTGGTCACGTGGTCAATTGCTCCATTGGACTCTTGCTCTAAGCTGTATGAAGATGCTGGGAGACAATGGGCAAGTTAGTGCTCCAGTCAGGTGTTTTGTAAAGCAGCAGTTCGGAAAGATACAAATAAATGCCAAACTAGAGAAACAACATCCATTTTCATTTAGATTGAAATAGAAATTAAAACCATTACAGTTTTCAGTTTTTAAAGATCAACCAAGAAAACGGGAAATTAAAAAGCCAGTGTTTCTAAGAAGGAGAACAGACCCTCCTGCGTCATGGGGATTCCATGTGGAGGGAACGAGAGGGCAGTTTAATGCATAAAAAATAGAAAAAAAAATTCATGGCCTCCAAGTGCTGAAAATTAAACCTAACCCTCCATGCAACCTATATCTATGCACAAGGATGTTTACTTGTGATATTATTTCAAACACCTGAAAAGCACTTACATGTAAGAACAGAGCACTAATTATTATGGCACTTCCACAAGCTAGACATTCTACAAGCCTCTGGCAGCAAAGTTTTGGAAGAACATTTCATTGCAAAATCACAGTATATTACTGTAATTGTGGGTGAGAAGTAGGTTATAAAACAATGCACACTAAGATCACATTTTGTGAATAAAACCAAACATGTATATGAGGAGTAAGCCTAGAAGAGTAACTTCACTGCTTTGAGTTTTTCTATTTCACTTTATTTTCCAAAGTGTTTGTCATAAATATGCATTCTTTTTATAACCTATAATCGAAAGCCCCCAATTAATGTTAATTTGCTTTAAAGAAAATTGAAACGTGAGAAGAAATGAGGGGGTGTTTTCTGTGTTCTGACCTGTACACTGCGCTGTGTCTAAGATGGAGAACGGAGAAGTTCCATAGCCTCTTGGAACCTTCTCGAGCTTACCACGATTGTGCGCTTTATCTGGGCTTCCAGAACTTAAAGCGAAAGGCAGTACTCCTAAGCTCCGACTCTGGTGCTTGCTCTTTGACTCCACAGCTTTTTTGACAGAATTCAGGATGGCTATGGTACTCAGGGACATGGGTCTGAGGAGAAGAGGCCAAACATGCAGAAACTGTTAGGAGGACAGGATGGCCTGAAAGAACTCTGCACAGTTTTGTGGACTCCACCCCTTACTTCACCCCCTACTCCAGAGACTGGAAACTGTAACTCCCAGCAATACCATGGAGAGAACTGCAAGGACCCAAGGGCAGAGCTAAGTGGGCATTCTGGGACTTTTGGGGAGATATAAGGGAGTGATGTGAGACTTGCTCTCTCTCTGGACCGTGTGGCTGGTTGTTTGACTCTTGACGACCTCTCAGTGTATTGGAGTTCCAAGTCAGTGGAGCTGGTAGGATGTTCTACTTAACTTGTATCTCTCTTTCTCTTTCCCTTTGGTTGTACCTTTTCCTTTCCCCTTTGTAAATAAACCCATTATTGACCCTTTTTGTGTGGGCCTGCAATACAACTGAATTTTAAGTGTGTGTGAGGACCCACAGACAGGTACCCAGTTCTCATTGGGTTGCCCTGTAACGAAAGCAAGGAAATGAAACACTGGAAGGACTAGCCACTTTCTTTCAAGTGTACCCCTCAGCTAACTTGAGTCAGTTCTAGTGGAGAGGATCTTGGAAGGAAGTCTCGGGGGCCCCGTGGGAACATCCTGAGAACAGCCAATGGGAACGGTGCGGATGCCTCTGAGCCCATGGTGGGAGGGTGAGCCTGTTCCTGAGTCAGCGGCCCCATACCTGGCTTTGGGCAGTAACCTCTTCATGGAGCCGGTCTCTAGTGCAGGCGGCACAGTGGGTGCGTGACTGGTGCTGGACCGCGGTGTGGAGGGCAGCCTCATGGCAAGAGGCACTGTGGGGTTTTCGTGGCCAGTAGCTGGTATTATTTCTAAACTTGTAGCACCCTGTCACAGAAGGTACAGTATTATCTTCTAACACTTAATAAAAAGTAGAACTTTCTCTTCAAAAACAGTACTGGTAGCAGACTGCCACATGCAGATGTTAGGTCATTCAAGAAAAAAAGCAGTGAGTTTGTCCTCATTTTTTAATGTAGCTGATCTGTTAGGATTTCTCAGGGCAGTGAGCACACTGGGATTTGAAAAGTAAGCAACAGCTCACCTAGAAACACCCCCAAGTGATGTGTTCTAGAGAGGCATGCTGGGCGGAAGACTGCAAATGAACTAAGGCACCCTCCAGGGAAATGAAGTTGTCTGTCACTACTATACTTGAAGATCAGCTAACCCAGCATACTTCCTGGCGCTCAGTTATGGTGAGGACTTTCAAGATCAGTCACAGGCCATGACCTTCAGGGGGAGGAACACAACAGTGGCCCACACAGCAATCCTAAAGGTTCTATCTCAGACCAACCTCTGGTTACATGCACATTCTGAGGAAGGAGGGCAGACTGGTCTACCTGCACCATGTGGGCCCCGTCGGCGCCTATGGCCACTTTGCTCACATCTGCTTGTTTCGCCAGCTCTTGCTCCTGCGCAAGCTGTTCGTTGTATTTCTTCATATCGTACTCAAGTTCTGATGCCAGCTGTTTGTCAACTGCAAAGAAATCCTTGACTTCATCTCGGTAATCCTGCATCACTTCCTAAAACAGAGCCAGAGGCATCCTTTAATGTTCTCCTGGATAAGTCAGCTCCCCCAACCATACTTGATAAATAACAGGAAGAGTGAGATCCATTTTACTGACAGCAGACTACTACTCTCACATTACCCGACAGATTAACACAGCTATTCTCCCAGGACAGCCCAAATGCATAGTGTTGACCACACCCCTGGGAAGTGTGATTGAGAGTCACTAGTAATTCTCATCCCTGAGGATGTTCATCAGCCAGTTAAGCGGCCTGGGTTCCTGATGGGAAAAAGAGTATGTGGTTGTGCCAGCTTAGCCTAAACCAGAACTTGGAACAGGGAACAAGTGCCACTGTTGCTGCTCCCTTTCCATTCCTAGGTCTGTGGTGGGGAAAGTGATGTGTCTGGGTGACCTAGCTGGCCCTGGACAGTTCAAAGGATCTTGCAGTGCCACTGTGGCAGGTCCCTTGGGAATTCAAGTCAGAGATTAGGTGAGTAACTCATAGCAGTTAGGGCTCAGACACTGGCAGGAAGTAGTGCAGTCTGACAGCGGCCCTGTCTGGATGAGCCAAGACTCACAGACTACAACTTTGGCTCTAAAGATACATGTGTGTCCTCTCTTGAAGAGAAGAGAGAAAAACTCCTGTCATTACAGGGTGAGACTAGTCTCAGCCTTAAAGGCGGCTGCTAGGGAGGCAAATTTCTCTGCTAAGGGACGGGTATTTTACCCCACAGTATTAGAGGGAGAAAAAGACACCACAACCCTGAGTATAGGGAAGTCCCAGCAAAGGGAGTGAGAGTGGGTGGCCCCAGTCAGAGTGAGCCTCGCTGGAGTTCTCTCACAGGGGCGGCCGATGAAGAGGACGATACAGTTCACGCAACTAGGTGAGCACCCTTTGTGCTCGGAAACAGGAGTCAGACTTAAGAGTGTAAGTTGTCTACTGAGATGAAAAAATGCACAAAATGAAGAATGACGTAAAAAAAAAAAAAAGATTATATTTGAGTGTAAGTTGTCTATCCTGAGCTCTTTTGTTTCTTGCCTGAGGTTTAAGATAGGGCAACAGAAGAACAAATGGGATTTCTCTCCTCCCTCCACCCCTCAGACAACAAGACACTATTTTTCCCACCTTGACGTCTTTAGAAAAAAGTCTTTGAAAATTTATATTCAATGTAGTTTTGTTGTTGTCCTTTTCAGAAAAAAAAAGCATTTTTTTGAGGAAGAAAGTGTAAAAAGAGAAAGGAAAAAATGTTGCCTTTATTTCTGAAAGCTATTGCCAGAGAGGCGTAAGCCCGTCTCTCTGGCTGCAAGGGCACAGGTCCTGGCTGAGACTTGCGCACGGCCGCACTTGCGGTTCCCCAAGGCTGCTGCTTACAGGGCATTTCATCCTAATCTTGGCAATCAGAGGTGAACATCTCCCCATTAAACATGCTGGCCAGTCTCCTTCTCCCTCACCAGAATGAACTAAGGTGATGACTTTGTCCTTGACCCAGCTGAGAAAGTTCAAAATTGAATCTAACTGCCATCCAGGATGCCCAGGCTCGGCACCGAGACTCAGCTTTTCACAGTCTTAAACTGCACGGAAAAGGTGTAGGCCAGCTTCGAGTCTGTGGTCACACTAAGTCCTCTTGGAGTCAAGCTGGCTGGCTGGGACAGTGGAAAAAAAAAATGAAATGCTGGTGTGTGTAGCACTGACTGCTAACTGTACCATCATAGTGGTCATGAGCTAGGTAGGAGGCACCACCGACCCCAAAGTATATGGTCATCTTTTACCCTGAGATAGTTCATGAGCTCCCGCAAAGCTGGGACTTTATTCTTCTCTAGCACAGTCTTCAGGGAGATGATAATTGGAATAATATTTTCTATGAAATTCCTCTTCTGAACCTGTAGCAACACAAAGGCATGTTTTAGATGTATCAAGTTCTAAAAGACAAAGATTTGTCCTGACCTCGCTCTTGCAGTGCTGTCAATCCAGAAGATGCTGCTAATGTTGACTTCCGGTTTGGTACTAGGAACTGTACAGGAACCCATCACCTTTGTCCTGAAGACTTTATACGCATTATCTCAAGATACTCAAAGGCTTTGTAAAGTAGGGACGTGAGAAACATTCTTTCACTCTCTAAACAAGGGAAAGGAATTAGGAAAACATTGAGTAACTTGATAGAAAGCTCTAAAACTCACACAAACATCACAGAGCCACTTGGCTCCACATTTAAAATACTTTCCAAATGCTCCATGTGGAATGAAACTGGTTTCTATTCTGGCCACTCAGAGATATTTTGTGTTCGTGTTGGTGAAATGACTATAGCTGAAGATAGCTGATCATGGAGATAGTCAGTTTTCTCTTTGTGTTTATGACTTCACACGTTTAGAAAAAGCACTACATATTTACTTGTACAGGATCTGATGTCATCAAGTCTTCATGTTCTCTACCATAAGTGATCACTAACCACAAATATGTTGTAATAAATATTTTAGAATTAAAAGTAATTCATTACAGAAGCCCACTGTAAGATTAATCCTTTGGAATCAGAAAAGATATTTTCTCTTCTCATTTAAAGCCATCAGTATGCTGCTTCTTTCTTGCTTGTAAACTACTCATTTCTTCAAACAAACAAAAAACTATCATTTCCTGGAGCAGAAGGGTGATTGGTAGAGAAATAAACAATTTAATAAGTATGAGCCTGAGTAGATGGCAAGTTCAGGGACAGACTTAATAAGTGGAACACACACATTCTTCAACACCTCTTTGTCAAACACCTCTGTCCCAGACACAAAACTGTGAGGCAGAGAAATGAAGTCAAACTCTTGCCTCAGTCGCTTGTTGAGCAGAGTGTGTGTTTTGCTAAGTGGCTGATATGATCAGCCCTTAGGGAACAGGGGAGCCTGAGCTGGAAGGGTGGGCAAGATGTGCACTGAGGAGTGCTTCTTTGAAAAGATGCTGTGCAGAAATGAGGCGGTGGAAAGGGGAGCACAGGTGGAACAGAAGAGCCAGCGTGCAACAGCGAAGGAGAGGGACAGGAGTGAACAGTGGTTTGACGGGGGCATGGGAGGAGCAGCGCAGGGGCCAGGTCTTGAAGAGTGGAGATTTTATTCAAAAAGATGACTGGAAGTCACCAACCTAATGATTCAAGTATTGGTGAGGTATAGCATGGTGCCATAAATGTACCCATGTCAGTGAGCAGCTCCACAAGTGTTGACAGGACAGGAGTGGCCATCATTCGCAGTCCCTCACCCCCGAGTCACCCTGCCCACAGGCTGTTTCAGGCAGAGGGATAAAATGATCACATTTGTATTTAAGAAGGTTGTTTGGGCAGCAAGATGGTAGGTGGCCTACAACAGGAAGAAATTAGAGAGGATGCTGGCAACAGCCCAGGCTGAGATAAATCAGAACCAGTGGAAATGTGAGAGGAAGGATTTGCAACATAAAATACACTGGGGACAAACTGGATGGGACCAAAGTCTGTATCTTCGGACTCGGAAGCCTCAGGGCCCAGGCAGCGAACACAAATTAGTCACCCAGCTAGGTAAGACAACAAAGCTGGCCCCTCACATCATCTGAGTCCCAATTTTCACACTCATTGGCCAACAAAGCCTGTGCCTGGCACACCAGACTCTCAACACGGTGGCACCGATTCTCTTTTGGGTAGAGAATGGTTTTGCATATGATATTCCCTTCACTATAACAGAGATTGATGGAGAAGAGAGACCAAAGGACGAATAAGTCTGAGATGCCTGTGGCACGTCTGGGCAGTGGAACTGGTTCAGGCTCACAAGAGAAGCTGGGGTTAGAAACACAGATTGAGAATAATCCCCACCAGGTGCGAATTAAGGCTACTGCTAAAGAACGAATGAATTCCTGGGAAAACCATGGGCATCTACGGGGAGCGGCCCAGTTAGAAGACACTCACTTGGGAGATGAGCTTCTTCTGAGCTTCTTGCATGACTACATTTGCCAAGGCCATGTCATCTTCTTCTATAAGGAGATCCTTATCTGGCTTAGATCTCATCGCCAAGAGCTTGATCTCCTTGGAGCTGAGGATCTCGAACGTGTCAGACAGTAGCTCACTGGCTTCCATATCCAGGGGCAGGATGCCATCGGCAAAACATGCTGAGACAACAAATGGTCACCTGTGAGAAACACTGGGGCGAGAGGCCCTCACAGCAGCATTCTGGACACAACTGAAGCTGAAGGAGGGAAAAGGGGTGTTCCTGCTGTATCAAGAGTTTTATTTGCTATAGATCTATTGGGCCACTTTAAAATACATACTTTATAGCAAATACACCACACCTACCCAAAATACTGAGGCAGATTTTAGAAGTGATATTGAAGCGCTGTTCATCTGTGAAGTGCTCAAGAAGAAACTTGTAGATTTTCATTCGTTTTTCCTTGTTTGTCTTTCCCTTCAGTGAAAACAGCCACTTCTCTCTACGGCAGGCAAAACAGGGCAATTTCAGCACATCATGTTGTCAAGAGTGACCAGGGCTTTAATTTTAATGACAGTATCTGAACAGCTGTCCAGGCTCAAGTACACTGATGAGACAATAATGCTTATCACAGGCATTTCCCTTAGGACTCCATGCACACGAGGCCTGTCCTGTCAAGAGTAGGCCAGCAGCCCAGCAGTACTGACCACTGGCACTGCCAGGTGACCCCTTCCTGCCCCTCACTGCCTCTTCCTGATGGTGTCACTGACCTCTCCGACTGGGGAAACTTGTTATACTTCTCGTGCTTCTCATAGTTATTGAAGTGGAAAATACACTCAATGAAGTGCTGGAAGAACATGATGGGATTCCTCTTCAGTAACAGGTGGGCCAGGCAGAACTCTCCGAAACTGCAAAGGGACAAACCAAAGAAAGAGGCCCATTTGCTACTGGCAGACAGACTCTAAACTTACACCAAGAACTCTGCAATCCAGAGGGGAACTGTGAGCAAGGGTAAGGGAATCTAAAGCTACCCCATTAAATAGCTTCATTCAGATCAAAGCAGGTTACAGATTTAGCTCTTTTTACCCTTGCTCAAGAGACTCCTTTGTGAATACAAGTCAGCATAAAGTGAACTCTACCTGGTTTCCTCCCAAATTCTAACAAGGTGTGACTACTTAACTACACTTCCAGTGCTCAGTCAAGACCCTGTTCATGCACTCAGGCTCCTGACCAGGCCTACAATACACTATAGCTCCAATGAGGGCCAGGGGTTCAGCCCGCAAAGATGCCAGCTTCCTGAGGCAAGTGATTTCCTAATTTGGTTACCCTCAGCCACCACTCCACATCCAGAACGCTAATTCCCTGCGCCTCCTCGTCGCTAGCCCACCCCCATGTTGTTCCATGTCTTTCTTCTCTGGTCCTCTTTCCTCTTTAATCTGTCTATCATCTACTTGGTATTCCAGGTTCCACAATGAGACCAATTATATACTTTCTCTTCCTCACCAAAAGGTGGCTTCCCTCTCAGGGTACCCTCCCTACAAGATGGCTCAAGGTGAGACTCTCAAAAATCACAGTCAAGGTGCAAGGATCACATTTCACTTATGATATTTTCATCACTCATTTACCAAAAATCACTCAGTATGCATTTGGTTTCCAGCTTTTTCAGGTACTAGGGATAAAGTAGTAGACAAGATACAATCTCTACCTACTAGGGAGCTTGTATTCTAGTGGGGAGACTGATGTTACACAAACAAAAACATTATCATAAACGCACTATAGAGTAAGACGACTGGGAAGAGAGACGAAGGGTTAAAAATGAACTACTCCATCTGCTTCATATGACAATACTCAGCCTTTTCTTTGCAAGTTTCTTTGCCATCTGTCTATGTGGCCTCCACTGTTTGGAAATTGCTTCCCAGTTCTCCCAATGCCAATCCTAACATCACTGCTGTGGTCTGAATGTGAACCCCCAACAATTTCTATGTTGGAAACATAAACCCCCAGAGATATCAATTAGAAAGTGGAGCCTTTGGGAGGTGAGCAGGTCATCATGGCAGAGTCCCCATGAATAGGTTAAGTGCCCTTACAGGAAAGATCCCAGGGGGTCCCTTCTACCAGTTGAAGGTACAATGGAGAATCTCTTCCAAGAGCAGGTCTTCACCAGAACCCAGACATACTGGTGCCTTGATCTCAGACTTTCACTGCCAAACTATAAGAAATCAACTTCTGGGGTCCCAAAGCACCCCAGTCTGAAGTGCTTTGGGACAGCAGTCTGAATGGACTAAGAATCACTCCAGGTTATCTTTAGTATCCACACAAATGAGCCCATTTAATGTCTTAACTTTCTATTTTCCTGATCTCATCAACTCCAGTGACTCTCACATCTGTCTGCCACATCTGGACCATGTCACTATGTCTTGTGATGTCAGATAATTCACTTCGTGACCACACTCACCGATCTTGCAGCTTTTTGACTCTCCCCACTGCACTTGTTTGACAAGTTCACTAAACCCTCCAGATCCTCAGTTGCTTCTTTTTCTCCCAAACCAAGCCATTTCTCTCTTTCCTTCCCTTTCCATCCCAATAGTACTTTCTTTCCTCAGACCTCTCTGGCCCTGACTGCTGCCCTTCTGTAGCATTTGCCCAGTTAAGTTGAAACAATATTCGTGTTACCTGGCTAGCATCTTAAGACTGTATCACAAGAGCACCATCTAGTGGGCAAAGGGGAAAATATATCATATAATTTTGCAGTGCTCAAATTTGGGGTTTCAATGACTAATTTAAAATGTCATGCATTGACATACATTTCAGTAACTCATCCCCCAAAGCAAATAAAGTAAAGGAAAAGATAAACAGCTGGGACCATAGCACATTAAAAAGCTTCTGTACAGCAAAAAAGACATTAACGAAAACAAAGAGACTCCCTACTGACTGGGAGAAAATTTTTGCACACACTATTACTGAACAGGGACTGCTCATAAAGATCTACAAAGAGCTGACTCGATTAACAAAACAAAGTAAGCAATCCAGTCAAAAAAAGGGCAGAAGATCTAAAAAGACACTTCTCTAAAGAAGAAATGCAAATGAGCAACAGGTATATGAAAATATGCTCAATATCACTTTTTACCAGGGAGATGCAAATAAAACTACAATGAGAGAACACCTTACTGGCTCATATTAAAAAAAAACAGGAAACAACAAATGTTGGTGAGGATGTAGAGAAAAAGGAACTCTCCTACATTGCTGGTGGGAATGCAACAGGTCCAACCACTATGGAAAACTGTGTTGAAGTTCCTCAACTATTAAAAAGGGAGCTCACATATGACCCCCCCTAATCTACCCAAGGACACAAAAACATTAATTCAAAAGGATACCTACCCCTTGTGTTTATGCTGCACTATTTACAATAGGTAAACTATGGAAACAAGTCAAGTACCCAAAAATAGATGACTGGATCAAGAAGATGTAGGACATATAAACAATGGAATAGTATTCAGTAATCAAGAAAGATAAATATGCCATTTGCAGCAACATGGGTGGAGCTGTAAGGGATTAATTATGCTCAGTGAAATAAGCCAGAAAGAAAAAGAAAAATACTTGATGGCTTCATTCGTAGGAGGAATACAGGAGAACCAAATAAGGGGTCAGGAAAAAAATAACTATAACGAATCAAAAAGCAAAATTAGCAGGCAATTATAAATCAGAGACAATCTGCAAGGGACCAGGAGGTAGGGGGTCAAAACAGGAGAGAAGAGCACAAAGGACTATAGTGATGATGCATGGGTGAATTGGTGGTGGGGATTATATAGGGATTACACCTGAGAGGAAAAAGCAAACACTGTACAAAAAATGAAGAATGATGTAAAAAAAAAAAAAAAAAGTAAAAGTTTAAAAATTTGCTTATGCCAGAATCTTTAGGAAATCTACCTAACCCAAAAAGAAATTCAATAGTTTGTTTTGTTTCTTCAGAAGAGCTAACTTGGAAGATACATACGAAAAAATTAACGTATTTAACGGAAGCAGACAGGTGTGATCTTTGGCCTAAAAACAGAGGAACTAATTTGAACTCGTTACCAAAAGAGTCACCAGCTTTACAAAGCTGAAATCATGACCCACATGTTAACCATGCACGGCTTAAACAAACCCAAAATGTAGATCAGATGACAAGTTTGAAGGGGGAACATGAAAATGTCCAAGAGGCACTGTCTGACTCTAGTGTAAATATGCACCACACCTGCACTCAGTAATTCTTTCTGATTCATGATTTGACCACCTATAGAACTGATCTTGTGCCTCGTTTACATGCAAATCAATGCTCTTTTTTAACCTAAATTGCTCTTTTTATAAAATTATAATATGAATAAGACAGACCATTAAAAAAACCCCAAACTATAGCCATATAGAGGAACTGACAAAAGTGGGGGAAGCTAGGTGGGGGAACTGTAGGTTCAATAACCAACCTCACTACTACTCAGATTTTTCACTGCTTGGAAAGTCTGCCAAGCACTTCTAATTAGGCTGCGCCTGGGCTGCCTGTGGCATAGGGAGTGCCACCAGAAGCAGGCTCTTGGTGGCAGTGGGAAGGTAAGAGGGGGCTGCATAGCTATACTGGTCCCTTCCCTGATTATGTAAATGAAGAAAAAGTAAAAGTCAGAGTCTTTGCTTTTGCTTCTGGCTCTAGACAGTATTAATTAGAATGTTAACCTTCTACTAGTTTATTATGTAGTATGTTCCTCCTTGGAAAATTACACCCGAAGGAAACCGAATAGAAATTCTTCCATGGAACTCAGAGTAAATCATTGGTGACCATATTTAGAACCAGAGGGACCCATTATTATAAGCTATTTATAGTTAATGAACTCTATAAAGACCTTTCCCTAACTGTAGTGGCTTTTACCATGACATCCTATTTTCCAACTGCAGGCTTGCTTTAGACAGAATTATTCATACAACACAATCTAGGTTAGTTAACAAATTTGGTTAGAGCAATTCTCCACCCCTAACAATCAATCTTTAAGAAAGAAGCATACAAGGACAGGATTGACAAGAACATTTCCAAGGAGCCTCTTATTTGTATACTCTAGTTCATACCAGGTGATTCTGTCTTAATTCCTAGATTTTCTTCCTTATAATCTCTGCACTTAAAAAAAAGCACATACTATTCATCACTCTTTTAGGAAAAGGGAACAAGTTAGCAAACATAGTCAATTCTAAGATTAATGAACAGTCTAAACAAGGCTTTATTCTTAACTTTATGCAAAATAAAACTATTAGTGTTTAAAAAAGTACAGCTTAATACTTAAAAAAATCTAACTCTGGCAACTTCTATAAGTTCACTAAATCTCGAATAATTCAGTTCTAATCCAATTTTAAAGAAGTCTAATGCATACCAGAAATTAGGTAAGTCCTTCAGTTGCCTGACATGTGAGGGAAAAGACTTACCTGGCAATATCCGGGTGTGAATCTATCAGAGTACTGACAAATCGAAAAAACAGAGAGCCCTTCCATTTTACAAATTCCTCCTGTACAAAGAGAAACCACATGTTGCAGGATGAACCTTCATGTCTATGCCTTAAATGGACTCAGTTACAACCAAATGTTAACTTCCTTTTGTTTCGTATTTCACCTGTCGTCTATTTTATGGCACACTATTAATAAGGTCAGAATGGCTCAGTCCTGATCATGTTCAAAGCACATACGATTTGTTAGTCACAAAGAAATGTGGAGGAGTAAGTGGGCAGAACAGCATTAAACAAAAACAATTATTCTAGAAAAAAGGCTCAAATAACATGAAGTTTAAAGGGAGGGGGCCACTGGTGCATTCATTAGGCACACAAGGCATAAAAACCCAGCAGACAGAACATATTAGAATAGCTGTACAGCTTAAATGTCTGTCTTAAAAATAAAATATTATTTTCTCTGATAATGGACTAAACATATGCTTTCAATGTAAATACAAACATCTGATGCTCTGTAGATGTTCGCTGTCCACTATGTTCATGTACATACTAAAGTACCTTCCAAGCTGCACAGGGCAAACATCATTTATAATCACCATCTTACAAGTGACAAAGTTGCATTTGTACACACTGACTTGTTCAGTTTTTTTTTTTTTTAAAGATTTATTTATTTATGCATACAGAACCGGGGTTTCAGGTGCAGGGCCAGTGAGAGGATTCACCAGAGATAGAGTAGGGAGAAGAACAGGCAGATTGTCAAAATACACTGCTGAGGGGAGCAGCGGGTGGGTCAGGAGAGGTCTGCCTTGCCATGTGGGATCACTTCTAGGGCAGGTGGGAATCAAACTCGTGTGCAAGTAGCCTCAGCTTCTTAATGCTAAGCTTTAACTCATTGCGCCACCAGGGAGGGCCCTGACTTGTTCAGCTTTAAGGAGAATGACAGACCTGGAACTATTGCTACTTGTCTATTAAATGTGCTTTTCTCCACATGGTGTTTATTTGCAAAAATGAAATTTCATACTGCCTGATAGGATATCTGAACATCCATTCAAAATGTTATTAGGAAGTAATGCTCTGCTTAAAGGCTGGACTGACCACTAGAACAGTAATATTTTTAACCAAAAATGAGGCTCATTATTTGTGGATTCTAATATAAAGCAACATATGTCCTAGGCCACTCAAATTTTCCCCTGCAGAAGCCAACAGCAGCAGAGAAAAGAGAGTAGGCCTAGTTTTCATACGTTACCTGTAAGAGATTGGTAAGCAAGATCAGCGTTTGCTTTCGGATGAATGGATCTGAATCCTTGAGACACATGGAGATGTTGGGGATGTATTTGTCCACCATGGCAGTGTAGCGGATACACAGGTCGCACATGACGATGACGACATTGTTCCGCACAGCCACATCGTCACACACTTCCAGCTCTCGCACAAGGGCCGGGATGCTCTTCTTTGCAAGATCCTCATGCTGTAAGCACAGCTTGCCTGTCACAAAAGAGCGCACAATGCCTTAACTCTATGGTGTCCTAAGCCTAAATTTTCTTTGGCTATATACTGCTATGAATTTTATTTAATTAAAGTGGAAACATTTCAAAAATCACAAACAAACCCATACTAAATATTAGCAAGTTCAAAATACCTCAAGGAAAAGTCCCCTCTCCCTTTTACATCAGCTCGCCCTGAGTTTCAGGAGATAGATAAGGTGGGATGCTCCTTGACTATAGTAAAATTATCTTCCTTATAAAGCTAACATTTGAATTTTGGAGTTATTGACTTATCTGGAAGATCGTCAATAATATCTAACCAGTAACACATTTTACTTCTGATACTCTATAGAAAGTTTTTAAGTTAATGGAATGAAATCAGCAAGCTAAGCAGGAAAGATGATCAGCTTATTAATGTCATTTCACATTCACAGTGTGGAGAAGAAAGGCTGCTGAGGAGGGCTTTTTGTTAGTGTGTGTGGCCTGGGGAATGCTTGGCTCTCATTTATAAACTTTAGCTTTTGCAAAATACCATTATAAAAAAATTCCTCTTACTCAATATGAAATATACAATCTCACTTAAGGAAAAAAAAATTCCATTATAGCAGGGTAGTCAGTGTTTTCAAGATTAACAACAAATTGAATTATGGAGAAATATGCTTAATAGCTCATCTACTAGTTTTGGAAAACACAAAAAAGTAATCTCCTTGTTATTTTTCCATTTCAGAATTCATAGTGATATAGTACTTGATAAACAGACTTCATGGTACTACAAAAGTTGACGAAAAAAAAATCACAAGAGCAGGTATAAGTGGATTCAACATAAAACCCACAAGTCCTCTAGAGGGAGTATCTTGAGCCTGCTGTCAGCGCAGGTACCAGTCCAAGGGCGCTCTTATGCCTGCAAGGCAGGGGACTTCTGCCATGATGAATGGCCGGACTGAATCAAGCTCCGCAGAATACAAGCCATTACTGTGGCTGGCTCAGTAAGACCAGTCTGCATAAACCCTGTTCTTCCCACAGCACTTGTACTTACCCAGGGCAATGATGGCATGAGCTCTGATCACAGAGGGCATGGTAGAACCTCTGGCCTGGGGAAGAGGCTGAGAGGGTGGGCCTTCACTGCTTCCTTGAGATGAGGCTACTATAGGGAAAGGTAACAGAGCTTACTTATAGTAGTTGAGGGGCTAATCCAACTTTAGGATTAGCACACACAGAGGAGAATTTCAAGTGCCTTACCAAAATCCGCATCAGCAGAAGAAGCTAATATAGACTGAATCAAAAGGAAGGCTCGTTTCTCCACTCTGGCTGGACAGAGTTGGGCTATATCTCCTAAAGTAAAAATGTACTTCACCTACAAAGAGAATGGTTTTGTAATGAAAATAAGACAAAAGAAAAATTAATTCTGACTAGATTGAAGGGCATGTCAGTGTAGTATTGTCACCAAATTGAAAGAACATTGTTCCCCCCCCAAAAAAATTATAAAAATCCAGTCCCATCCACTTAATAAAATTCACCCAAAATTAGGGTAACCATATATAATTTTTCACCTACATTTAGGTTATTTCTCCAAGTAGAAGGGGATGCTATTAATAATGACACTGTGATAACAGGTGTAAACCATGACTCACGGCAAACAGGGATATAGAACCACCTACCCCACCTACCTATAATCCTATAACCCAAAGATATTATTGTTTTTGTGAATAACTTTCTTTTCAAAATAACTTTCCGGTTATATGACTTTGTTTGCTTTTCTTATAATTGTTTAACTATGCATGCTATGTTGAAGCTTGCAAGTATTGATTTCAGTATTAAGTATCCTTTCATGTCAATATATACAATAAATGTTTTATCACTTCATGTGTTGAAAACTACCACTTATTCCTCTATTAGTGACCATTTATGTTGTTTCTAACCTTTTGCTGTTTGTATTAGTCTGATGAAGACCTTTGTATCACTGAATGCTGTTTTACTTTCTTAAGTAATGCCCTTAGTAAGAGGGCAGATAAATGGTTTTACACTTTAGAACATAATTCCAAACTGTCCTCCAGATTAGTGACTTCTACTAAAAACTTATGAGAACCTGCTTCCTTACAGATGCCACTATGTGTTTATGTAGGACATTCGGCTTAATAGTTAAGTAATACTGTAATTTTTTTGTACCTCCCAACCCCCATACAAAGGTGATGCTAAATAGTATGTGTTATAGTCTTATTTAGTTAAGAAAGCTGTAGGTGTGTGTAAAAATTACTCAACATACTATATCTCTTATAGAGCAAATAAATAGTTAAATTATATTTAAAGAAGTTTGAAGCAGACAATATATAAATAGGGGCAAAACTTCACGTTTTATGACTAAAGACTAGGTTTTGGTTACAGATTTCTTTAAAGGGGCTTAAATCACTGACCATAACATGCATTTTATTTTTATAAGTTTGGGCAGCGCCTGCCCAGACAAATGAGAAGAACAAGACCTTCTAGATATCCTGGGTTAGGTTCCTTCTGTATTGTGGCCCTCTGAACACAATATGTTAAGGTGCTATTTGATCACTATGTAGTATAAGTGCCACCAACAAAGCAGGAACTAAATACAAAAGAGGTGACCTACTACTTTTCAAAGAGATGAGGAAAATATCAATTCTGGTTAAGTATAGCCGATATCGGAGGGCACCAGAAGGTAGCTCATTGTTTTCATTACTGGACAGTGCAAGATGTGGGATTCCGAATCACCAGAACATACTGGCTATCAACCATGTGGCCAGCCACTTGAACTAGAAAGCTAGCTCCACATGTAAGCTCACAGGGCTCTGCTGTGCTGATACAATTTCTAAAGCATTGATCATGTCTCAAAATCTTGCTGCTCTGACATCACTCAAGTTTTCAATTTTCAAATATCTGATTTTTATTTTAGAACTGTTCAGTTAGCACTACTCTGTCATTCTACTATCTAATATTTCAAACTTAACTCTACCAAGCTTATAACACATTCTGTATTTGCCCTTTTGGAGCAGGTATCTCAGAGGCTCCAACTTGGTGAGGACTATATCAGGTTTTCTCTCTACATCTTATGAGGGGGGAAATAGTTACCAATTAAAAAACCCTTCTAAAACAGAATAAGCCTTAAGCATGGAAAACCTTGTCTTACTCAGACTACTAGATGCACAAATCATAAAGTCATCTTGTACATCTTTCATGTACAAGGAAAAGAACAGTTAAGAAAAGTAGCTACATACCAACAGGTCTTCATCCACATTCCCAGCTCCATCTTCCCTCAGAACTATGTTGGAGAGGTGGTGCACACAGCTGGAGAGCACAGTCCCACACACTTGCTTCAGGAGTTCCTGTGACAAGTCAAGTTCATCTTTAAAGGACCCACACATCGATTATCCATGAACACAATTTTCTCACAAGAAGCTCGATGATCTCCATATGTGTAAACCCTAAATCATGAGCAACCCCAGCCACCATGCTTCTGTGCTTTTGATGCTCTAGCACACTGACAGTGAGAACTGGCTAAGTGGAATTTATGAAAAACTGTCTACGTAACGAGTACAAGTACATATACATATACATATGTGTGAAAATGTATCGTCTGCCTTCCAACATTACAAAGAGCAAAAGGCATGTATTTAAGGAAGCTCTGATGCCCTAATTTATAAGACATTATAGCAGTGCTCCTCTATAAAAGAAAAAAAAATTCCTCTGTAATAAATATATTTTAAAACGAAATTAAAAAGTAGTTATTGTCTGCTGAAATTTATTTGTTCGAGACAAGTTTTCAGTGTCTTTATTGTTAAAATAACCATAAGGGGTCATCACCTCTAGTTCACGTCCAATTACACTTTCATGCCAAGCTAGGGGTGCAGTCACATTTCACAGCTTTGACTTGTTTCCCCAAAGTGGCCACTCCAAACACTTGGGGTTGAGTGACGTGCTCTACCCCAGACTCCAGCTTACCCTATGCAGACTTCTCGGCCAGGCACCCTCTCTTACGGCAATGAGGGGTCTCTCCCACTCTCTTCTAGGTGCCCTTAGCAAGTTACTATGTCTTGACCTTTATCACCACAAAATGGTACTTGACGTTTGTCAAGCTGTTAGTAAATCATCACTATGTCCCAAATGTTTTAGTCTGACTTGGCATAAAATGTTTCAAAACTATTGTCTTTACATTTTTAAAATCTTAACTGACCAACTTCGACTATGCCACTGTCATACAGCTCCTGCTATCTATGTACTTTAATTTAATGAGAACACAAAGGAAAACTTGTTTGAGACCTGAAGACAAGTGGCTGTGTAGTATAATCAGTAACTTTCAGAATCACAGGTTCTGGGAAGAACCATCAAGGTCATTCAAAACTGGGAGTCTCTCTAAACAGTAACTTATGCCAAGCTGTTGTCCGGCTTCTCTGTGAAATCTTCAATGCCCAAGCACCTGTTCTAAGATGAAGTCCCTTCATTTTTGGTAGGTCTCAGTGAGGCCTTTTTTCAGTTGGCCAAAATCTGTGTCCTAATTTCCACTTACTGGTCCAAATCAGACAAACACAATGGCAAATAAATCCTAATTCTTCTTTCATTTGAAAGTCCTTCATATATTAGATTTCATTTAGGCAGCCTAACCCACATAATTTACTTCCGAGCTAAAACCCCAGCTGTTCTATAACAGCCTGCTCCGTAAGTTTCTCATCTACCTGCTCCCCTATGGATACATTCAGTTTACATAGCTCAGAAGAACTGTCACTAACATTGTACTATTAAACACACAACTCAGATTTAACCAGTACAAAGAACAAGACCACCAACCCTCTTATTCTAGTAATTATTTCTATTAAAACTGGTCAAGGTTGCAAAGCTTACTCTCAATGATAGCCACAAAACACTATTAACTCATACCAAATGTAAAGATACCAAAAGTGACCAAAGACCTAAATCTTTGTATGTCAACTGCTGTTAAGCTATATATATCTTCATCACCTATGAGAAGTTAGTTTTTCTCACTAAAATGCAGAATCTTCATATACAGAGAGGAGGAAAAGCAAAGAATCTGGAAAATCTCAGGACCTTAGGCCATTGTTGACCATCAAGGGAGATGCTATTGGAAGGGCTAAAACTGTGGCCTTTTTCCTAACACACTAATAGGTTCTACCTCTCTTTCAGTTCTTAATTTATAAATTCCCAGATAGACTCTAACAATTATAGCACCTAATGTTCCAGTAGGCCATAAACATGAACTCTATGACTTCGTATGGTCCTGATGCCTGTAGTACAGGTCATTCTTTCAGGACTGGAAGAAGACTGGAAATGTATTCTGGTGATTATAAAATTTAATCAGTCATTGTTGAGAGTCATCTATTGACAACGAATAATAATCATTATTAACAGTCCTAAAATTTGTCATTATGACTAGCATTATCTAGTAGTATACTTCATGATAAAAACAGAATACATGGTAATAAAATAATTTATTAGAGATATTGATATGGGTACCTTTTTAGGAAGCCAAAGTAATCCTCTGTCCCACATAGATTACTGGTTTGAATTTTTATTTTATACATGTATATAAAATATTTACTGAGAACTCTAGGCAGCTGTGGGAACATGATACAACAAGAAATAGAGTACTACAGCTTACAGGATAGGCATTTTCCAAGATCATAACTTATCAAATAATCAGAAATCTGGTAGGTGGGAACCCTCTGACTGGTTGAAAAATTGTCTCCTAAGCATCACTGTAAAGAGGGTAGCAAAGAAAGAAGAGAAAAAAAGCTTATCACAAATACCTAGGCTACAGTTCTGAAATGGTAACATGCCCAGCAGGCACACCTTCCTAGAAGCTATTCATATCCAGAGCCAAGACGATGGCTTCCTAAGGGAACTGGATATCTTTTAACATTTCTCAGAAGGCCCCTTGTGGGGAGAGGGGATGTCTAGGGGCACTCCAACATGGAGGTGCCAAATATACCCTCTCCAGTGGCCCATGCTGCCCTGTCCCCCAAACCCCCACCTCCTGACATGGCTCAACTTTGATAAGCACAGGCCTTCAGCAACTAGAGCAGCTTGGAGGCAGTGAATTAACAGCTCTTCAAGTCTGCAATGAAAATGACCTCTAGGGCCCTTCCTGGTGGTGCAATGGGTTAAAACACAGCCCTATGAAGCTATCGCAGCCACTGTAGCACAAGTTCGATCCCCAGCAAGGGAGGTGACCAACACAAGGGGGAGGTCTGCCATGCCTGCTGCTCCCCTCAGCAGTGTATTTCAGTCAATCTGCCTGTTCTTGCTCCCCACTCTGTCTCTGGTGAATCCGCTCACACCACTGTACCTCTGGCCTGTATCCCAGTTTTGTATGTATAAATAAATAAACCTTTAAAACAAAAAGAAAAGAAAAGAAAATGACCTCCAATAAAACTACACTGCAAATAATGGGAAAGAAACAGAATGGCAAGAATAAGAGTTGAAGAGGCAGAACCTGAAGAATTTGTACTAGAAAAATTATTGGACAGAGGTGTAGCAAATGGGAAGACTTTACAAGATGCTGACAATACTTGGGAACCTTAAGAAAATTTAACTTGTCCAGAGTTGATTGATGCATTTCTTAATTCTCAAAACGCTGGTAAAGAAAAGAATGGTGCACAAAGAAAAGAAAATCATTATCTGACAGTGAAACTGATGATAGGAAATCAAAGAGATGCTGCTGAAAAACCAGTTATTAAGAATAACTGCATTCTAATGAGTATCAATTTTGGTATGGTCATTTTAAAATAGTAATGGGAGAGTTGTTCAGAGTTTTTTTTTTTTTGCAACTATAGCACTGTTACTTTGAACAACTAGGAGCTTTCTGTATTTGCTTCCTTTAGCAGAAAAGAACATTTGCTACCATGGCATGTTATTTCCTCTGCATTAGAGAACTGCTTTTCTTAACATTAGGGGAAATCTCTATAGTCATTACTCACTCAGAATTTGTATTTAACTCATAAATGCCTAAGGACCATTCTGGATTTTTTGTTCATTTGTTTGTATTTGCATATATATGTAAAATACATATGTAAACAAAACATTTCTTGGGAAATGCCAATTGCATGTCACATGTTTCCTTACTATATAAAGTACACAAACAGCTTCTGGGGACTACCCACCTTACAGGTTCTCCATAGAGACAAACACTTCTCAAGCTCAAAAAAAAAAACAAGAAAAACCCAGAACCGATTTCAAGAACAAACAAATCACGACCACACCTGGAGAATTTGCAGAATACCTGTTCTTCCAAAGTTGTCTCTGCAGAGGCTCTACAGAGCCTCTGCAAAGTGTCAACAGCTGCGCTTATCAACTCAAGAGACCACTGGAACCCATTCAGTTTACACATGACGACATCTGAAAGAAAGTTAGAACCTTTAGAGTTCAACTGCTCAAAAATAAAAACTGAGAAGCAATGCTTTTTCAAGAAAGTCTCTGCCAGACACACTCACCAGTCACCTTGTCCCGGGTGCTCTTAGGAAGATGTTTTGCAATATGTCCAATCACACACAGAATGTGTCCTAAGGTGTTTGAATTGGGGTTCTTTTGACTAGGAAAGGGCAGAAGAAATATTAATATAGAACCAAAGTAAACATTCTTGCCAACAAAATTTTCTTAATTATTAACACAGAAGGAAGTAGGATAGCAAGGTTTTGGAGTCAAGCCATAGGAACATTATGGTACTTTATGTGCTAAGACAAAGGAGTTTTGGAGTTACAGGAACATTACGGCACTTTATTTACTAGGGCAAAGGAGTTTTGGAGTTAAGTCATAGGAACATGATGGCACTTTATATAAATGGGCAAAGGGTAAAGTCAAAGCTTAAGTACTTCCCATTTTTCTTATGTTTGTTTTTAATGCCAGCATTAAAAAAAAAAAAACCCAGCTACTTGATGCTATAAAATAGCACACTTCTTTAAGTCTCAAACTGTTTTCGAGGATCTTCATGTCTTTCAGTGGCTATGTTATAAACACGCAAACCTGCTGATTTTCTCCCAGGATTCTATTATTTTGGAGTAGTCCAGCTTAGGTGAAGAACAGGCGATCTTGGAAAGCAGCATCCACGCTGGTGCAGAATGTTCTGTGACAGTGTGGGATATCACGTTGTTTATAAAAGCAGATGAGAATTTATCTTTCTTGGACAAGATATGAAAAGCCTTATTTAAATAGCGGCTGGAAAAAAATATGGGAAAGTAGACTTGTAACTATAAATATACAAAGTTGTCTGGCTCAGTCTCTCAGAGAAAGGGCATCAACTTCTGCTGCTCTGGATCCCTCTGGCACTTAAAGCATCCATGTGTAAGTTCTGAGCTAATGCATAATGGACAACACCAAACTAGCTACCTTTTTAATCTGGATTGTATAGAATAAAGTATACTTGCTTTGCCCTTCATAAAGTATTTACTTTTATTTTTTATACCCAAAGGAGAAGTTTTATTACCTAAAAAAAAAGGAAAGGACACTTGCACAGGCATAAGTGGGCAGAAAGAATTTAAGGTTTCTTTATTTATGCATACAAGAACTGGGGTACAGGCCAGAGGTGAAGGGGTTGAGAGGATTCACCAGAGACAGAGTGGAGAGCAGAACAGACAGACTGACTGAATGACTGAAATACACTGCTGAGGGGAGCAGTGGGTGAGACAGGAGAGATCTGCCACACCATGCGGGGCACCTCCCTGGCTGGGGATCAAACTCGTGCTACAGTGGCTTCATAGTGCTGCGCTTTAACCCCTTGTGCCACCAGGGACAGGGAGGGCCCTAAAGAACTTATTTTTAAAGCAAAGAGTAAAACCTCCTAATTTGAGATTTTTCTCATTTCCATCCTCTCTATAAATGTCACATAGATATATGGGACAGGTTACCAGTACCACTTCCACCCAAAATTTACAAATCTAGTGATTAAAAAATGCAGACACTGTCCATTTACTGTGAAAGGTCTATAGAGAAGTGACATCCTAGGATTTAAAGGTGAGCTAAAATTTGGTATAAACTGTCCAATACCACTCAGAAATACATTATGGCAAAACTTTGAAAAATGAAGCTAAAAATGTTTGATGTATTCATCCAAAGTGCTTGTCACATCATTATTTTAAAATCACTTCATATTTTAATTCTTCCCAAAACATTGAATGAGATTTTATGACTTCATGAGACAAATGTACTTTCAAATGAAGAGAAAAATACACTCCCTCACTGAATGTTCCTTGGATTGTTAAGAACACTTATATACAACAGCAACTCTCCTGCCCACCTGTGACCCTGCAGGTGCTTCTTTCCACCAGCCCCACAACTCTGCCTGCCTGACTAATCAGGCCTCTCCTAGCAAACCTATCCTCTTTCAGGGCAGCTCTTTCTGCCCACTGTGTCTGTGTCTGTGCAAACCACCTTCCCTTCCCTTCCCTTTTCATATTGGAACTTGCTGTTTTGAATAAACACTACCCTAAGAATAATAAAACTTTCTCATGAAATGGAAAAAGGTAAATTCTCAAAGCATGAAGAAGGATACTGTAACAAAATAAACATTTATCACCAATCAGCACCACATATAAATCAATGGTTTTATTACTAAGTTAGCTATCAATAAGAAGTCCATCAAAAAATCTATCCAGGTACCTAAAAAAAAAAGAAAAAGACACTAAAAATGGTTACCATGAAACAGAGGGTGAGGAGCTAAGACTGATGGCATCTAAGGGTATAAACTTGCAAACAGTAGTAAGTCACAACAAGCTCATGCATGGCATAGTGAAGAGACACAGTGCTGTGTTACAATTATGTAATGTGTCAAATTCACATATTATTCTTATCTTAAGAGTCAGTAGAATAGGAAAAATCTTCCAAACTTCCAGTTTTGAAATCTCAAATTTGGCTTCTATTTCAAACCCCCTCCCCCCCCATTTTAGTGGAACAGTTCCCCCAACTCCTCCCATTTCAGTGCTCAGTTAGCCCAACTGTTAATCACATACCCCCTACCTGTCCAGTCAGAATGTGATTCAACAAATACAAACCCAATTCTTTTAAAAGGTCCATTGACCTTAACCCTAATCCAAAACCAACATACACACTTCAGGACCCATTTTACATGGCTTCTTCTAAACTACCCTCTTTGCTTTTAATCTCTGGTTTACCTGTTTGATCTCTTGTTTTTCGTCCTTCACTAATTCATTTTCAGTTCTAATCACTGCAGTTGCTTGATTTTGAAAACTCTTGGTCCTCTTCTTTACAACCTAACTGGGTCATCTCATTCATTGCCAAGGGTTCCACTCAGATATGACAAGGCAAAGCAAGCACACTTTTAAAACAGGACTTCTATCTTCCCAACCTGCTCTACACTGTGGCTTTCCCCCACTGACCTTTTAAGTTAGGATTCTACAAGACTGTCTACTGCAATCTCCTGTCCAGTTAATCTTATTTCATCTCTAGGAATTACTTAGTTTATGCCATCAATAGGGAGTCATCCTAAGCTACAAAAACCAAAACCCTCACCCCTCAAAACCCCAAAATTTTCCATTTCCTCCTTTTCCTCTTATGACTCACTTTCTACTAAAATTGTGAATTAATTTTGTCTCTTTCCACTAGACTGTGAGCAACTTGAGAGGAAATTGATTTCCTTTGACCTTCAAAACAAATCTTAATCAACCCTACACTTCCACTTGTTAAAAAGCTCCAAATATATCCTACTTTTCCCATTTCCACTGTCTCATCATGTTTAACTGAGATCATTTCAATGGTGGCTTGCTTTCTCAGACGAGTCTTGCTTCTCGATCACCAATCACAAACTCACTGGCTGCCCTTCCTAATATGTAAAGTCCTGTATTACTCATCCTCTTGAAGTTCATCAACAGCTTCCTCTACCCATTCTGCTTTCCTTCTGAAGTCAAACTTCTCAGCACGCTATACTATGCCTTTGCAGTTCATCCACTGTCCACGAAGAGCTTTAACGATCACCTTGAGCCCTGTGGCTCCTGAACAGCTCTGTAGTGGTGATAATTCCAGCAAATGCCCGTTTCCTTATTAATCTTCAATTCAAAGGTCATCTCTTCTAAGTCTCTCTTCCTGAAACATTTCTTGATGCTTAAGTTGCTTTCTATTTATTAAAGAACCTATACAAAACTTTGTTTATGTTTATGGAACTCTATCCTACTGTAACCACAGTGCTCAACAATCAAAACCAAAAAAAAAAAAAAAAACTGATTCTCTGGCTCAGAAGCTCTCATGCTTTCTCATTTCAACTTTTAAACTCCTAATAATTATTGACCACCTCAAAGAGATTTTACTTTTATCTTTCTGATTATACTGTGGGCCTTATCTGTCAATATTTGTCATATTAAAAATCAACACATTTAAAATATTTATTAATTTTCCTATAAACCAATTACATGTTAACACAAATAATGGATTATTTTACAAATAACAACCTTTCTGAAAATAAAATTTCACCACATATTTCATAAAATATCTGAGCAGCCTCATTTTATATTTGTGTGAATCTCTTTAAGGTTTGGCTTAAACAGAAAGCAGATGGATGTTTGTATCTGCTTCTGCATTCAATTTGTTCCAAGTTATACAACTTTTGTAGACTCTGCAATACTAGTGTGCGAGACTGAAACTAAAAAATAGCATATGACAGCTTAATATGATGATCAAAACATGGTGGCCACATGAACCCACTTTGAGAACCACTGCCACATCCATTTCTTACATATGTGGTCCAAAGTCTAATCTTATCTTCCTAACTTTGAACATCCATCCAGGTTTTTCTTAATTGTTGTAAAATACACATGACAAAATTTACCATTTTAATGATTTTCCAGTGTACAATTCAGTGTATTAAATGCATTCACATTGCTGCGCAGTGACTCCTTTCCAGAACACTTTTATCGTCCCACACTGAAGCTGTGAAACTCACAGTTGAAGTTCATCAAACTCATCACTCCCCCTCCACAGCCTCTGTATAAGTACCATTCTACTGCTTCTATGAATTTGACTATCTGAGGTACCTCACATTCAGTGAAAACAGACAATATTTGTTCTTTTGTGTCTGGCTTATTTCACCTTGTATGCTTTCATAGTTCACTCACATTGTAGTATATACTTGAATTATATTACTGTTTAAGGTGGAATAATGTTCCAATGTATGTATTTATCACAATTTATTTGTTCCTTCATCAGCTGATGGATACTTGGGTTGTTTCCACTTCTTGGTTATTGTGAATGACACTGCGGTGACATTGTACTGAGCAAATACTCTGACTATAACTTTACTGAGAAAAGGCTAGAAAGCTCTAGCATGAACATTAGTTTACTCTTTTGTTCTTTCCCCTATACTTTTTGTTCTCTTTTATTTTTGAAGTTCTCTCCTTTACCTCTATAAGTTGAGCCCTTTCATAATATTGTTCTTTTTCAGACATTTACTATTTGTTTTTTTAAATGTAGAACTGGGGTGCAGGACAGAGATGTGGGGATGAGAGGATTCACCAGAGATAGAATGGGCAGAACAGGAGGATTTACTGAAATACACTAAGGGAAGCAGTGGGCCAGGCAGGAGAGGTCTGCTGTGCACATGGGGGTTAGCTTCCTGTCCAGGGATCAAACTCAGGCGGATGCGGTGACAGTGCTGAGACTTGACCAGGGAGGCCCCTAACTATCATTTTCATTCATCCTCAATATGCACAGGTATTTTCCCTTACCTTAAATGAAAACAAAGTCAGACCCTCCCTGGTGGCACAGTAGGTTAAAGCACAGCACTAAGAAGCTAAAGCTACTTCAGCATGAGTTCGATCCCCGCCCCAGAGGTGGTCCACATGGCGCCGCAGACCTCTCCTAAACCGCCCGCTGCTCCCCTCAGCAGTGTACTACATCAGTCAGCCTGTTCTGTTCCCTACTCTGTTTCTGGTGAATCCTTTCACCACCCCTGCACTTCACCACCTGTACCCCAGCTCTGTATGCATAAATAAATAAACCTTAAAAAAAAAAAGAAAACAAAGTCTGTGAAGGGACATATCTCAATTGAAGGTAAAAGCTAATGGTAAAGGGGAGAAACAAACAAACAAAAAAATCAAACTTCTAGAATGTCTGTATGACCTTGAGGTAGGGGAAAAAAATCTCTCTTAAAAAAACACATTAATCCAGAAATCTAATTAAAAACCAAACTCATCAGAAGATGCCACTGAGAGTAAAAATGCAAATCAGAGTGGGAGAAGATATTTGCAATATGGGTAACAACAGCTTATGCAGGGAATACACAATGAACACTGTCACATAAATAAGCAAAGAGTGACAGTATGGTTTTTTTTTTAAAAAAAAAAAGGTCAAGAGACCTGTGCAGGTAATTTACAAATGTGAATATCTAAGTGTTAATCCACATATGAAAAGAGGCCCAATTTCATTAACCAATCTGCAGTGTAAATTAAAACTGTAATGATACACCAGTTTTGTTCCTCCAAATGGCTCAAAAGGCAAAGACCAATACATAAAATGCAGACCAAGTTACGAAGTAAATGTAATCTCATGCTGAATGCATATAAACTGATACAACTACGGAAAACTGGCAGTTAAACATACTAAACAATACTGTTTCTAGGTGTATGCCCAACAGAAATATCTGCATGCATGTGTAGAAGCATTCATAGCAGTGTTATAAATACAGTGTTGAGAAACTAGAAACAACCCAGTTCTCAAGAGGATAAAGTGTGGTTTAGTCATAAATGTCATATATATATATTCAGCAATGAAAGTGAATGTGATACAGCTAAACACAGTGACTTGAATGAATCTTGTATTACATTAAGTGAAAGGAGTCAGTCAAAAAGAATATATACTATGTAATTCTGTAAATACAAAAGTTGAATAGAGAAAACTATTATCTGGTATTACAAATCTGGTGACACTGAGGAGGAAGTATGGTGAGTTGTGAGGATACTTTTAGGCCTAGCAACATTCTAGTTGTTGAACTGCGCGGTGGTTATACAGGTTTATTTTATTTGTGATATTTATTGATTATAAGGTTTGTATAGTTTTTGCTACACTGTATTTCAAAAAAGCCCTTTGGAAAGTAAAATAAATGAAAGGTATCTCCCTCCCATGGAGTTTCTCAGAGCTATTGTGGCCTCTTCTGCTTTTGTGTGAAGAACAATTACCTTTCATTGCCCTGAAGCTTTAACATGTTGGGTGTGCATAGTGAGATATCCCCAGGAAATGTAAAAACACAGTTGACTCTATTGTTGGCTTAATTCTCCTTCCTTGTAGGATTTACTACAAGGCATATAATTGATAGTGAGAAAATATTTATTGAGTGAAGGCATTTTCAGTCATAGAAAAGGGACTTAAGAGATCACCTAACTGTAAGATCATCCTTATAAATGTGGAAATAAGACCCAGAGAGATGATGTGATTTGCCAGAGTCACAAAATGGTATCTTTATCTACTTTTATCACACCAAATCTAGTTTTTCCTTTTGTATGATTACTTTCTCCATGACTGCATGTAAACAAGTGGGGCGATTCTTAAAAAATAAAGCAAAAATGGGCAGCCAAGTTAGCAAAAAACAAAGTAAACTTCAACTTGTAAAATTATGGCAGTATAGATTAAAATTTATCATTATAGGCGCTAACATCTTTCTATCATGTCCACAGTACATTGTATCCTCAATAAATGTTATAAAATGGGGTAAAATCACTGTTAAGTCAACCAATCTAACAAAGTATGAGAAAAAGTTATCTGTGAAATGATCTTTCATAATAGCTGGTATTGAGAAAAGTGAAAATCAATAAACTATATCTATTAGTATTTTCTACTACATATTTTGTTAAAATATCATTTTGGAACTGGAGGACACTCAGAGGAAAGCAAGGGAAGTAATCAGGGCTTTCACAAAAAACTTCTCCACAAAAATGCTAAGAAATTCAAATTAAGGTTAAGAAAGACCAAATTTGAGTCTTCATATATTCTATCTACCTGTAATCTAGAAAGTGGATTTTCTACAATCAATATCATAGCTTACTAATAAAACACCCTATGGCCTTCTACAAGGAAAACAAGTCATGTAAATAACATACCTCAATTCTTGGCTTTCTGTACTGAGAAGGGCAAGAAGCGCCCAAGCTAGCACCTGGCTGTCGTCTCCGCTGTGAAATTTACTGTAATGCTTAATGTTCTGCAGCAGGAGCTGGTCAAGGCACTCCAGAGCCTTTTCCTGCACAGTGCTCTCACAGTCCATCACAACTGGGACGATCCCCATCAGCCAGGCTTTCTGGATCTGGACACATCTCGGTTGGGCCTTAGGAAATAAAAATCATGAAATCATACAAAACTCTTAACACTATTAGAAATCTAAGTATAAATCAGTTGAGTTGTGATTAATGTGTAGAAGCATGGTAAAAAGTCTACACACAATTAAAAATAAATCATAAAATGAAAATTAACATTTGAAATTTATGTTAAAATAAGAGTTATCCGCCTGTTAACTCTTGGTAAAAATTTCTATGAAAACTCTATGATAAATAACTGTGATGAATTTAGTACATAACTGAAAATTATTATTAACAGTAAACTTACCTACACTTTCTAGCAATTTAAGATAACAAATTTAATTTTCCAAGGAGTGGTGAGAATACATACTGACACAAAAAGTCAAAATATACATTGTTCAATGTCTTTTAAATTCTTCAAAAGTTAATTATTTGACAGAAATAAATTGTATAGACATTACATGTAACACAGTAAATATATGTCAATTAGAAATGGATCTGTTCTCTTGGCATTTCATCTATATAGGTTTTAATGTACAGAACTTGATCTAGGCCTCACTTAACCAAATTATTTTTAAAGTTCGTATTTTTATGTGAGATTTACAGTGAAGTTAAGAAAAGGCTAACCATTAGCATTCTCTAGCATTAATTCACAAATATATTCATAGATTATTGCTTGTAGTTAGAATATACCTTTTTCTCTCTCTTACACTAAATAGCTCTAAATAGTTCCTAATAGAGAACTTAATATTTAGGAACAATTACTATGCTGAATTATTTTTAGTAAAAATTTCATACTTTAGATACATAATGCCTTGCTTCTCACCATAAGAAGTTCAGTAAGAGATTGTAAAGCCTGCTTCCGGACAGATACCGCAGGGTCTCGAGACTGGTCTTGCAGAATTAACAGGTATTCTTTCATACCCGAAATGTCACAGTGTTTCAAAATACTCACTAATACCTAGAGGGGCAGAAGCAGCAAGAAATGATAACTTATACATAGTCTAAATGCACAAAGACAGCTTGTAGAGAAAGGAAGTCGTCCTTTAAGCTTGTGTCCTTAACATTTTTCACATCATGGATCCGTTATTCCCCTAGAAAAAGCCCACCTTTCAGAATCTGCTGAGTTATGGTCTCCCTCCAGAAAATGTATGATGTACATTTTTATATAAACAAGTGTTTATAAACAATTTCAGTAGTTTCATGAATCTTGTCAAAATTCTCCCATGGTTCTCAAGTTAAGAACTCCTATTCTAAACAAAGAAATTAAGGATATAAATATGTGGTTTTTAGAAAAGCCAACAACCCCTCAGGAAAACTTAAAAAACAGAAAATTCTCCCATTCATTTATGTAATTTATATACACCAGCACCAAGGTCAGTTAGTGTTAAGTGAAATCCAAGTTAAGCAATGAATACAGCTAGTGTTTTAAAAATATTCCCTTGCATTGCTATGATTTTAATGCTTAAACAGGGAGCACTAAAAGGATGTTCAGAAAAAACTCAGACCTGAAGTGCAGACTTCCTGACATTGGTCTTCTCATCCCTGATTCTCTTTCTCAGCATTGCCATGACACATCTTTCTGTTGAGAAAAAGCGAAAGAATTATTCTAGTCTGATAAAGTCTAACATTGCACCATGTAAGAAAATAATTGTAATGCTCACTAGTTAGCTTGTGTGAAATATGAGTATAAAAAATTAAAAAAAAATTAACTTTTTATAATGATGCAAAAGGCAGAGTAATATGATTTTAAATAGGCATAAATTCTGAAATACTGAAAATTCAGTTTTAAATCCCAGCTCCTCTCCTATGTCTACAATTTTCAATGAATTATTTAGTGCTTTGAGTTTGTTTAGTTATACATAAAATGTGTTAACATACTTCTTAAAAAAGAGACTAAATAAGATAATATATGACAGCAACTTTAAAATCCTGGTCATATGCATCATAAAAAAATCATTGACGACTCCTACATTTTGATATGGATTTTACCCTTTAATCTGAATTAAAATTGAAATCGAGAATTGTAAAAAAATTCATTTTAAAGCAGAAACATATCGCTATAAACAGCATACATTTTAAATGAAAAGTATATTTTACAAAACCAAAAACATTTAGTAAAAAGAATGGTACTGTTTTACATTTCACAAACTTCAATGTCTGGCTTAATAGAAGACAGCTAGATTCTCATCTCAGTTTCTGCCTGTGATCTGTTTTGATTTCATTTTCCATGAAGCTTCTGGTAAATTTCAATTTATACTGTGAGAAAATCAGAGTGCACAAGGTAAATGATATCTTGATATTATCATGAAAACAGTATTGACGTCAAGGACCTTTTGGAGAAAGTGTAAGGACCTTTTGGAGGAGGTGTAAGGAGGTGCATTACAAAATGAACTATAGAATGGAAAAGCCAATGAAATAAAAATTAGGTTTCTTGAAAAGATTAGCAAAGTTAACAAACTTTCAGCTAGACTGAGAAAATAAAAGAGAAGATTCAGATTGCTAAAACTGGAATGAATGAGGTACTATATGACTCCTGACCTTACAGAAATGAAAAAAAAAAAAAAGATAACAAGAAACAAATACCAGATGTGGAATGTAAAGAAAGAAAAAAGGAACAGACAAAACTAAACCAAAATAAACCCTAGGGAAGGAGGGAGGAGCACGTTGGGGAAGGGGCACCGTGGTGTGGTAACATACCGCTGAAGGGGTGTGAGCTACTATCTCTGAATCATACACAGTGTTGAATAAAAACAATATAATCAAAAGAAAAAAAGATCACAAATACTATAAACAACTTAGGCCAACAACTTAGATGAAATGGACTTACAAAGTTATAAACTATAGGAAATTTAAAAAGTCTGACTATACCTAGAACAAGAGATTGAATTAGTTATCAAAAAACTTCTCATATATGCACAAAAGTTCAAGACCATATGAGTTTACTGGAGAATTCTACTGAATTTTAAGAGGAAATAGTGATACCAATTCTTCATAGACTCAAAATAAAGAAAGGCTTATCTTATTAAGTTAGAATTACACTGAGAGCAAAGTCAAACAAAAACATCTCAAGAAAACATTAGAGTAAAATCCATTATGAATACAGATGTAGAATCCTTAAAATATTAGCAAATCTAATCTAGCAAGAATAAGAATAAGCATATACCATGCTTGGGATTTATCACAGGAATGACAAGCTGGTTCAGCACATAAAATCTACCACAAAGAGCAAAGGACAAAAATGACATGACTGTCTTCAAAGGTGCAGAAAATGCACTTGTAAAACATTAACAACTTTCATGATAAAAACATGCAACAAACTAAAAACAGAAGGAAACCACTTCACAATAGTAGGCCACCCAGAAAAATTCCACAGTTAACAGAAAACAGACAAGGATGTCTACCCTCCCCTTTACTTCTTCCCAACACTGTACTAAAGATCCTAGCCAGAGAAAACAGGTAAGTGGTAAAAGGCATCCAGAATGGAAGGTAACAAATAAAATAAAAATCTCACAGAAGCCACAAAAATCTATTGCCTATAGTAACCAGGTTTAGAACATAGGATCAATCACCACAAGTCAGTTATATAAACTAGCAATGAATAATTCAAAAATGAAATTAAGAAAGCAATTTCACTCATAATAGCATGAAAAGGGAAAAAAAAACCATTTAGGAATAAATTTAAAGCACAAGAGTTGTACACTGTAAACTGTCAAACATCATTGAAACAAACAAGACCAAAATGGAAAGAAAGGCATCTGGTAGTAATAATGGAGGGCTTATTATTTTAAAAATTGAAGTAATACTGGTTTACAACTCCGTATAGAGTTCAGGTATAGTTTCTCCCCTTAGTAATCAAACCCATCATCAAAGCCCAGTCAGCAACCAAAACCAACCAATCAACCTCCTCTTGCTACCCCCCACCCCCAACTACCATTCTGTTGTCAAAATCTAAGGGTTTGTTTTGGTTTGTGCATTTGCTGAGTGAAATCATATGGTATTTGGCTTTCTTCTGGCTAATTTCACTTAGTCTAATCCCCTAAAAATTAATACATATTGCCACAAAATGTATGATTTTACCTTTTTTGTTTAAATGGCTGAGTAGTATTTCATTTTGTGTGTGTGTATGTGAGTGTGTGTGTGTGTACACCACTCTGTTTCTTTAGCCAATCACCTATCATTAGGACTTGTTTTCATATTTTGGCTATTGTGAATAGTGCTACAATTAACACAGGGATACATATATCTTTTTGAATGCTTTCATATTCTTTGGATCACTACCCAGAAGTGGAATTAGTGGATCACACAGTAGTTCTGTTTTGATATTTTGAGGAAGCACCATACTGTTTCCTATGTACTTTCCCATCAACCGTATATAAAGTTTGTCTCAAGATCTTTGACAAGTTGTTTCTTGACTTTTTTTTTTGTAACAGCCAGTGTGAGCTGAAAACTCAGTGGCTCTGATTTGCATTTCCTATTGATAAGCAAATAGAACATCTTTTCATGTGTCTGCTGGCTATCTGTATGTCTTTGGTGAAATGCCTATTTAGATGCTCTGCCTAGTTTGGAAGGCTTAATATTATTAAGATAACAATACTCCCCAAACTGATCTACAGATCTCTATCAAATCCAAACTGGCTACTTTGGAGAAATAGACAGCTGATCCTACAATTCACCTGGAAATGAAAAGAGACACAGAGTGGTCAATCTTGAGAAACAAGAGCAAGGCTGCAGAACCAACACTTCCTGATTTCAAAATTAATGTAAATTCTGTGGTTCACAGTACAGTTCTGACATAAAGAATGGATTATCAATGAAACAGAAATGAGAGGACAGGAAGAAGTCCATATGCCAATCGTTATCTGACTTTTGACAAGGTGCCATGAACATTCACAAGAAAAATATAGTCCTTTAAATAAACAGGGATATATCAACTGGACATTCATAGAAATGGAGCTGGACCTTTCCATTTTACTCTAGGAAATAGTAACTAAAAATTGATCAAAGACAAAGCGCTAAAACTACAAAACTCTTAGAAAGAGAAAATATACATGAAAAATTTGTCCACTGGGGAAATGTAGATCAAAAACTATATTGAGAAACTACTTCACATTCACTAGGCTGGCTAAAAAGGAAAGACATAACAAGTGTTGGTAAGAGTGTGAAGAAACAAGTTGTCATACATGCCAGTGTGACTGAATAACTGTGCTGGCACTCTGAAAAACAGCCTGTCAATTCTGCAAAATGTTGAACAGAGAACTGCCACATAAGTCAGCAGTTGCACTGCTAGGTTTAAATCTAAATGGAATGAAAACATATTTGCGTGGAAAATTTGTACAAGAATGTTCATAGCAGCATTATTTTATAATAGCCAAAAGGTGGAAACAACTTAAATGTCCAACTGAATGAATACACAAATTGTGGTACTGTGGCATATCCATAATCCAGACATAATGAAGTACAGTATCTGCACAAGGCAACATGGATGAACCTTGCAAATGTTATGCTAGGTGAAGGAAGGCGTTCACAAAAGGCCACAAATTGTGCACTTTCATATTGTGGCGTGTCTAGACAAAGCAAACCTATAGCCAAAAAGCAAAAAAATGCTTGACAGGTTAGGAAAAAGGGAGAATGGGGGTGACAGTGTCAGTGATGAAAATGTTCTGGACTTATACAATATTTGTAGGTATACCCAAACCCACTGAATTATAAACTTTTAAATAGTTAATTTTTGGTATGAGTATTAAAAATAAGTGATCAGCATATTTCTGGCATATAGTAACTACAAATTTTATGTAAAATTGATGCAATATATCATTTTAGTTTTCAAAAAATAAAGATGGGACACTGGCTCTTTACATTTGGCAAACTTATAAATTGGAACCATCAATAAACAGTATAACCTGCTGTTGTTTGGAAGTCAGTTCAACAGTAAATGTGTAATTTGCTAAAAAGCCTGGAATCAACACAAGGGTGTGTGTGTGTGCATAAAGGCATATATATATATATTTTAACTTAAAAAACACATACTAATACCCTGCCAAATAAACCTATTTCTAGGCTGCTTTTTTAGGTTGAACTGATAAAAGTATTTCTCCTCATTACACTTTACATATTCCTCAACACTTGTCATAGCTGCACAACTTTATCTACATAAAGCACAGATAACACACACACGTTTTTCTCACTGATCCTTAAGAATTGGACTATGTTTTATTAAAATCTGTATCTACAGATAAATATTATAGACTTAATCAATCACATAAACTCTATACACATTCTCTTTCTTGTTAGCCATCCATCCATCCATCTCCATCTGCCTGTCTTGTAAAATCACTTCTCTAAATATCATTTTCATAGACTTTGGCAATAGCTCTCAATGAAAGAGAAGATGTGAGGATCGGGAAGACAACTAATCAGGGAGTTTTATTGTTATTCAATAGAGTTGGCATGAGAATCCATACTACTTCTCATTCCTAATGAGTGATTTCCCCATTATGCTAATACAATATGTCATTTTATAGAAGAAAAAAAGAGTACAGAGAAGTGAGTTTCTCATGATCATACAGCTAGATAGAAACTGAATCTGAGAGTAGTTTCCAGGTCTATACAGGGCCTAGTCCAGGTCTATGTTTCCTACTGAATCACTTTGACATTTATGCCATCCTAGATTATGCTGGGTCCAGTAAATCAACAAAAGAAACACAGTATCACTTGTGTTCAGAATCCTGTGCTAGATGGAGTTCATGGGAGAAAGGATCCTATACCATTCCAAACAATATATATGGCTCAGTAAAAAAAGAGAAATGAAGAGAAATTATAATCTAAAATTCTAAATTGTGTTTTTCAATAGAAGGTTGTACTCACATGTACAAAGGTGGGCTCTGGGATGGCTTAATCAGAGTCAAGAAGATACGAAACAAAAAGTAACAAGGAACTGAAAAGAGGAATACGATTGGGTACGACAGTAGTTCTCACTCCCCTCAATCGTCAACCTTTCTGACAAATTTTCTTCAAACACAAATGTTATCTCTACTGCACTATCTCTAGTACTTTTCTTTTCTTGGTCAGCAATCCCAAGAATTCATAACTTAACTTTAAAGGAAATGGAGTATTTGTTAATATTCTCTTAGTATTACAGAAGTACTGAGAGTTCAATGTCTGAGGAATGTAGCATATATATCTTAAAATGAAATACATTAATAGTATACTTCTATTGATGTTCTGCAAGGACAGTTAAAGATATAATAGAAATTACTCCACTTTTGATTTAAAAAATAAAAATGATGTTCCAATTCTTAGGGGTGAATTAGAAAAAAAATCCAAGACTTTTAAACTATACTTATAGTTGCCCCAAAATAAAAAGGAGCCCACAGACGTAAAATGATTTACTCAAGATCTTTCAGCTAGATAGAAACAATCTCGTGGTTTCCAGGATTATATATTATTCATCTGATAGCGACAAAATCCAACATACCCGTAGATCCAACTGTTTCACTACTGCTGTCTATATTGATCATCTCTGAGCTCCCAGAAGGATTAGGTGTCTGTCTCTGATAGGAAAATGCTTAAAAATAACATTAAAAAAATAAAGGTTCAGTCATTAAGATACAATTTGTCATCTTTTAATAATAAAAGCATTATACTTTACTCTTTCAAGCTGTTATTACTGAATATAATAGCTTAAAATGAATTTAAACTTATTTAATGAAGAAAAAAGGTACTCGGTCTTTCCCAATGGTACAAAGGTTAATGTCTCAGCACTATCAAGCTATCACCAGCCACTTGGCCATGAGTTCAACCCCCTGAGCTCAATCCCCAGCCAGGGAGGTGACTCACATAGCACAGCAGAGCTCTCCTGCTGCTCCCTTTAGCAGTGTATTTCAGTAGATCTGCCTGTTCTGTTCCCCACTGTCACTGGTGAATCCTCTCACCCCTCCACCCCCTGGCCTACATCCCATTCTTGAACGCATAAATAAATAAAATAAATCTTTAAAAAAAGTATTATATTAAAATAGGTGAATGTGAAGAAAAAAGTTTCAAATATCCAGAAAGCCTTCCAATAAGAAGGCAATAACTCAATATTTGAAAATACAGTGACCTATTACCTGCTGAATTTTTCAGCAAGGTTCCAGGATGGCTCTCTATTCCTGAAACTGCAGGACCTGAAATTAAACAGACAGATAAATAGGGAAAATGTTTATTATCATAAATCCTAACTAAATATTCAGATTTAAGATCAATATAGTCAGGCCTAAAGACAAAACAGATATAAATGATGACAATAATGTTCATGGGCATGCATCTGAAATGGATTTTAAGGCAGCCAATAATCTCAACTATAAAATGTGAACATGTAAAATACTACCTTCAAATTATCAGATTTTTTATTTAAGAGGTATTCAATAATAAAACATACTGAATCATACAGTCCAATTTTTCAACAAGTACAGACAAATTTCACTTCAGTAGTCACTACACTCACTGTTTATCAGAAGTTCTAGAATGCTCTCTGATGCGGTGGTCACAGATAGCTCCAGGCAATGCGCAAAACTGGACAGTGCTTTGCTTCGGACAGTAGGTGCCTTGTCTAAACAACGGTCAAACATGATTTCCTGCACCAAAAACTTATGCTTTAAGAACTTCTGATGCTCTAAGGAGACAGTGTTATCTACCTCTCTTTCAGGCAGTTCCAGTAAAGCTAAGGCAACATCCAGAGTAAAAACCCTGTGTGGGATCTGGTAAAACAAAATGATTAAGAATTGCCATCAGATGGAAGAACACCCAAAGGATCTCTTGTTAGAGCTACAGATCTGGTTGTCAGTAGAAGGTTGCAGAGCCAGGAACCAACATTTTATGCAGATGTTCTCTCCTACCTTGGAACTGCGTGAGTATTTGTAAAGCCAGGCAATGAATGTAGCATATTCCCCAGAAGGAAGTTTGTTGAGCAGCCTGACCAGGGACTGAGCTGCCAAGGTTCGATACTCTGACTTATCTATCACCTGAAACACAAATATCGACAAGTCTTGCAGTCAATATCTACCTGCAGGGCAACTGAAATGCATGTGGTAACAGAAGTAAAAAGTTAGTGAATGAACCAGTTCAGTAATCTTTAAGTGTTTTAGAAATGACTGACAAATCGAGGAACTAGAGCCCCTTGAAAACTAACCTATAAGAAATCTGCAAGTCCCCGCCTCAGAGACAGTATAGATCCTAGGATTCCAGTTAAGAATCAACTGTTTACACCATTAGAAAAATTTAAGAGCTAATCATGGAAATTTGAACACTGATTGGACATTTGATGATATTAAAGAATCTTTTTAAAAATACTTTTAGTACATTGGGGGGGGATGCTAGTATCTTGTGGTTAGGTTTTTAAATAGCTTTTCCTTCAGATATATGGAAGATATTTATACATGAAAGCATATGATGGGGTCTGCTCTAAAAAACATTCAGTGTTCATGTGTTGGGAGCATTATACCTCACTGGGAGAGAAATGACACAAAATTGTTGTTGGGTAGCTCTTTCACCTTGTTATATTTTCTTTATGTTTGAAATTTTCCACAATGAAGGGGGTTTTTTTGTTCCCCCCAAAAGAATATCCTGCCTAAGGGAGCACTAACTGACTAACTGATACATAAAACAGTTAATAATGATATAGACTCATTCCCACGAATACCAACACAAACACATATATTTATTTTCATACATGTTATATACTAATTATTAAGCAAGTGGCACTGTACCTTGGCACAGATATGCTGCAATAAGATACGGAGTACTGGAAATATACTCTCCTTTAGTTCATCAACAAGTGAGCTATTAAAAAACAAAACATGTTCAATGTTGTTTATGATAACCAGAAATTATAATAAAATAGCAACTTTCCTTGATTCTGTTATCATAAGTCTATGATTTAGAAACCTACATATTGAAAATAATCTATCTCCACAATGCAAGCGTTTCAGTGAATCAAGTGTAAAGACAAAGTGTCATAGCATTAAAGTATTCACTCCTTCACATGCATGGTTTTAGGGAGTTGTCGCTGAGCTGACAGTTACAGTCAGGAAAGAACAAATATGCAATCTTCATATGACTCTTTTGGCATTTTAAGTAAATTTCATATGAAGACTCTAAAATATATCCATTCTTTCAGGGTAAGTAGTAAACTAAGGCATAGTACCACCTCGTGGTAACTCAGTGAAATGCTACTGTCTGAATGCACTTGCATACTACCTCTCCAAATTTTCACCCAAGAAATTAAGAAAATGCTTAGATTTGACCCATATTTAATGTTAAGTTTATCTGTATCATTACACAAACACTACCTGTAACTGGCAACATCATAGTGGTTCTCACAGAAGAACCACCAAAGCAAGAGTTTACATTGAAAACATCAGTTTTTTTTAACTTAAAAACTTTAAATGTTATGAAAAGACATTTGCTCAGTTATCAAATAACAGTTTATACCTGAGTTCCACTATCCACAGCCCACATCTCCAGCGACACCACACTCCGTCTATATCTGCATGTGTACCCACTCATAGACACACTTTCTTTCCACTACATCCACACTGTGTTCCAAACAGTCAATAAAGGAGTCAAGGAAAAGTCCATGACATAGCAAATACATCTTTCCCAATAAAACTGAGACATGGAACCTTTGAGAAGTGACTCATGAGGGAAAAATCAGTCTATCAGTTGTTGCTAAAAAAGTAAAACTCAACTTAATTCCTTCCTTTAGGAAGTATCTGTAGAGGGGAGGTGATTAGAGAAATGAGAATATGGAATAAGTGGCAGAGGGCAAAAGGAAAGAAACTTGGAAATGAGAAAAATAGAAAAAGAAAAGAGGCAGACTTCGTGGAGGGATAAACACTGAAGCAGACAATGAGAAAACAGAGGAGAAGCAACTGTCATTGCTCAGAGGCTGACCTCACAGGCAGAAGTTAAGCTGGAGGCTGGGCGGATACACAGACTGCAGATTCCTTCTCCCTTCAACAATGCCCCAATGCCAAGGACACAAATGTGATCCCCACCGCCAGGTGAGCTATGAAGTGCTTGATTTGACCCCCCCAAACCACAAACAGCCAGAAATGTTAGTTTTCATCAGTGTCAGAAATCTTGGTTAATACCCAAAAGAGACTGAGGGAGAGTAATACAGAGAGTAAACATCTGAGCAGTGTGTGCTTCACCTGATGAACTGGACTGCCTGGTTTCTCCTATTGATGACGGGTGAAGTAATAGTAAGAGGAGCACGGTGGGATCCTTCGCCTACTTCTAACATTAATATTACATTGAGCATTTGATGGAAAACACCACCAATAACCTAGAAGAGAAAATTCAAGTTAAGGCATGATAGCGAATCACGGCTTTGAAGATAGTGATCCGGACCACAGTAAAGCATTTCAAGAAGACAGGCTGACAGCCTTGGACAATTACCAGGTATTCAACTAATGCACAATGTAAATCATGTGACAGCATTGCTCAGAGATAATGCTAAAAGTATTAGCTAGTTTATTGCTCTATTCTCATCCTGTAGCCCAGAAAATAGGGCAACAGAGAATAACTTGTCTCAGAATTGTCACAGAATGCTACTGACAATCCTTTACAAGAAAGGGCAAAGACACCTCACACCTGAATTTAATCTAAAGTTTACAGAACAACTTCTAACATATCAGCTCATATAATTTCTTATGCAGTAAATAAAGCATTTATCAAAAACCAAATATGTAGCCAAGTATCACATTAAGCATATCCATATACATTACTAGATATTACTAAACTAAATCTTAAATTTCACAATTCCATGAGATTAGTAAGGTTATTATTTCCACTTTTAAGTAATAAGAGTCTCCAAAGGTAAGTTGTCTAAATGTAAAGTTCTGGTTAAAACCAACACTGGCTAACATAAAGTCAACACTTTCATAATTAAAAATACATTTTCACCACAGTGTACTTAAAATGATGTTTTCCCACCCATTTTATCTTTTATGACATTAAAAAGGGGACAGAAATCAAAAGCATCACTGTGAATTCTATGACACCCATATTTCAAGCACATAGAAATAACGATACAGATGATATAAAAAATGGAATATTTACTAAACAGCTAATATTATCTCTTTAGCCCTTCTGACAAATCTATGAGGAATATACAACTTCTGACTTTGTCCAGATGAGGAAAGTAAAACTTTTATGAAGTTTATTCAGTCAGTAAGTGAGGGAGCCAGAATTTGAACACAAATGACCAGAACCCCAAGTATTCCAGACCTTTTTCTTAACCTACCTGTGGAAATTAAGCATATCATAATTACCAAAAGCCAATGACTTCGGTCTATCACATTTTGAAAAATCTTATTTTATTAATGACATCTACATTTAATAATACTATGAGGCTTGAGTTACCCTATCTTCAATGTTTAGACAAGTGATATTGGTAAGGTCACTTGGTGAGCAAAATCTACATATGAGCACCAATCAGGAGTGATAACCAATAAAATCTCTATAGAATTTATCAATGAAATAATATATTAAAATATATATGCAACCATGAATTGTCAAGGGAAGCTGAAAAATCCCATGACTGTCCACTCACAATTTGGTAAATATTTCTATAGAAGTAGTATTTGTCCATTAGATTATCTATTCTTCCTATTTAATTCACAGTGGATCCATTTATGTCTGAAACCTAACAATAATTTGCTGTGTCCTCTAAGTATCTGGAATTAAGTTTGGTAATAAAAAGAAGGCCACCAATAGAAACAGTGATATTTTCTATTATAGCAATGAAATAAGCTCAGACAATAACAGTATGTGAAAACGGCAGCATATCAACGCTTCTAGCACTTTTCCACTATGAGATTCCAATTTCCAACTAGTAACTAAATTAGAGCCTTGGTTTACCTTATTTTCTTCTCCATGAATTGGGGAGCACAGCAGATACAATCCATGATAGGCCAGTTCTGGAATATATTTTGCTTGGTTAAGGTTTCTAAAGAAGGAGGCAAAAGATTTTTTAATGGATATGATTTTACTTGATATACTTCCTAACCCTATAAACCACATTTAAGTGAATAAATTCTACCTGTTGAAAGGATAAGAAGATATTTACACTGCCATTTGAGCAAAAGTAATCATACTTGATTTCGAGCTCTGGAAAATTTAATGGCTTACCTGGCTTGTGTAGCATGAAATTCATGAAGAACTGGTTCAAAATTAGTTAATGCAATAAAGACCTGGAAAATAGATATCAAAAAAGGTCTGATTTTTTCCTGTTCATTGTGAACCACTGCATATGCTCTTTCAAGCTGTCAAAGAAATTGTCATTCACCTCTATACAATTCTGTACACACTGTGGCTTTTCTTTCAGGGAAAACTTGGGCAGAAGCCTTAAAAAATTCTTCAAGAGGTGAAAGATGGCATTTCGAATTTGAGAAAGGTCTCGAGCAGAAAAACAAATGTTCTCTTCATCTTCTTGTTCCTCCATAATCTCATCCATCTAGATTATGAAAACATGTAAAGATGACTGTGTATTAATAACTACAACTCTGTTCCCATGGTTTTCTATTTACTCAAAGTCCAGAAAACTCCATGTTGCTGCTGGGTTACTGAGGTAACAAGTCCCTGACCAGGTGCCTTGACTGCTTCATGTCTTCAATGGCATCTCATCTGCACTACATGATAGCTACGTAGTTTCCAGCTCTATATTACTGTCATTGAGAATGTTGTGCTTCTCAGAAGTGTTCACATCAACAACCACTACCATCCCTCCTAGTCACATAAGAATTTGGAATTAATGTCTTACTGTTACACCCTTATGGACCTAGCCCTCGGGATACTTCACTATCTTCTTTGATGGCAATATAATTACATAGCAAACATACCAACTAGCATGTTGCCAAGCACATCTAGCAGCAGGATGGAGAGGTTGGAAAGATGGCCAAGTAGAAATGTACTCTCAGTAGTATATGAAACCCAACAGGCAATTTAAAGTCATTCTGTAGTTAATGATACTTTAGGGCCCTTTGGTTATACTTATGAGTCCTGAAGCCACATTATATATTCTTAAATCAAAATCTTAGATTGGTACAGACTTGCTCTATTATTCTATTTATTTCTTACCTCAATATCCTCTTTCCTGGATAGTTTTCCTCTTTTTCTATTACCTCTTGGATTAGCCTGGGAGTTCTTAGGCTGTTCTTTCTTTCTTTTACGATTCAAGTTAGATTCCTGAGGCCAGCTCTTCTTTAGCGTCTGAATACATTTGTCAAACATGACTGGGTGGAATACTTGATTGGCTACACTGCCTGGTCATTAAGAACAAAGATTAAGTAGGTTAAATTTGACTGTTTGAAGTGTGTCTGTAACAACCAATACAAAGTAAACATCAAAGTTTGCTTTTCTTATTAAATTTGAATAGTGTCCCTTTAGTACCATAAAACTTTGGTACTGGCAAAGCAACTAGTATTATGCTTGTTCTCCTGTTGTAAACACATTATAAAACTGACCAAAAAATGTATAAAACAAGCAGTTTGAGAATGTAGCAGCAGATACATAAAAAATGCAATTCCTAAGAAAAGGAAAACAGATGAGGTGTTTTGTCCCAATTCTGTGACTGGCCGCAAGAAAGATGGGAGGCAGAAAGGCTGAGCAAGCAGTTTATTGCTCCTGGACAGCAGCTGAGACGCTGAGAGGGAGCCCCTAGAGTGGGGTGGGCAGCTACTCCCCGCCCTATAGGTCTGGGGAAGGTTTTCTGGGGAAGGGTCTCTTATGTAGATTCTAAACTCAAATTGCAAAAAGGTGACTCATTGCCATGTCCCTTGATGTAAGGCCCAGTTTGTTATCACCTTCTTCTAGTCCCATTCCGGATGCTAGGCCCAGTTGACTATCAGTTTGTTATCCCCTTCAGCTAGTTCCATATCAAGCTTGGATGCAAGGCTCAATTCTTTCCTTGTCAGTAAATCTTTGGTTCCCAACATGAGGTAAACCCTAAAACTGTCCTAGTTTCAAGGCGTAAAGCAATTTCTGCATGAAACAGTAAAGTCAAGCACATTATGGTGGTCTTAATTAAGTCAAGAATATAGAAATCAGAGTCAGGAGGCAAAGCAGCTGGAATTTATGGAGCAGAGTACTAGAGAAGCAGCAGCTAAAATCTGTCAGCTAGTTCCATTATTTGTGCAGGGCTAAATATAAACGAGGCATGCCTGGTATAAAACTCCAGGGAGGTGGGCCAAAAACAATTTCCAAGGAGCGAAAAGATGCACAATTTCCAGAACTCACACAGGGCTGAGACATATGTGGGTTATGACCACCCAGAGCGGTCATAAACCTTGCTAAACACACAGACCTTGCTAAAAGCATCAAAACACCTCAGAAATAAAAACCCACCATATAGGACTGAAGCAAATGGCTACCTTACAACTGCTCACAACAAAACAAGCATCAACAGATAATCTCCACTGACCAAGAGCTGCTGATCAAAACCTACCTGGAAAACTACTTAAAGAAAAACAACAAAATCAAGACACTCAACAAACAACACTCAAAATGCCCAATACCCAATAAAAAGGTACTGAGCATTTGCTGAGAAGCAGGAAACATGCCCCACAAAAAGCAGAAAAATCAGGTAATAGTACCAGTCCAAGAAACAAGAGATAATGGAATTAGCAGATAAGAACCTTAAAGCAAGTATTACAAATACAAGAATTACACATGAAACTGCTGTGAACAAAGAGTGAAATGAAAACAAATTTTTAAAATCCAGTGGAACTTCTTGACCTGAAAAAGAAATACTCATTGGATGAATTCATCTATTCTGAAGTTGATCAGGCATTATGATGCAAGGATAAATAAATTTGAAGAACAGTAGAAGCACAGAAAAAAACAAAAATAGCAATTTGTGGGAGAATATCAAGCAGTCTAACATGAGCAACTGGAGTCCAGGGGGGAAAAAAGGGAGGAAAGAAAATGTTTGAATAATAATAAAAATTTCCATAATTCTTTGACAACCGTAAATTTAGACCCTCAAAATTCAATGAACAAAGGAAACCACACAAAAACATAGATAATCTAAGGCTGAAACAAAGCAACTGAACAGATCTTTAAAGCAGCCAACCCTTGACCACTCAAAATCACACCTAGGAACGATGATTAGAACCTGAGACTTCTCATCAGAAATGCTGTAAATTGGAAGACAATCAAATGCCTTAAAAGCACTGGGGGGTGCGCGCGGGGGGAATCTGCCAACCTAGAATTCTACATTCAGCAAAAACATTCTTGAAGGTGTAACAAAGACATTTTCTGCTACTAAAGTCCAAAGGGCTGTTGAGGATCAGCAAGAACTGCCCCACAACAAATGTCAAAGATAGTTCTTCAGCAGAAGGAAAATTAAAGGAGAAGAAATCTTTCAAGTATAAAAGATCTATTTCTAAAAAAAAAAAAAATTCCTTAAAAGACAGTCAAAAGAAAACATTAATATGAATTCTGGGGTTATGCCAGAATAAAATATAACTACAGTAGCACAAAGAAGAGGAGGAAATATAGTTTAAAGTTTTTTACATTATCTATAAATTGGCAGATAATCCGAAAATAGACAATTGAAAGTATTGACTGTATACTCAAAGCTAGTTAAAATACACACATGTAAAGGAAAACAATTACGCCAAATGGTGATTAACATGGGATACTAAAAAAAAAAAACCTCTCCTCCCAAAAAACGCAAGAGGGAAAAATAGAAAAAGAAAATGGGACAAACAGAAAACATATACCAAGATGGCAGAAACCTAACTATGTTGATAATTATGTTAAGTGTGATGTCACATAATTCCAATAAAAAGGCAAAGGCTGTCAAAATGAATGAAAAGCAAGATTTAGTGACAGGGAGCCTATAACACTTATTAACATATATATACACACACAAATAAAACAAACTTGGGGAAAGTATATACCAGCCAAGGACAAATCATAAAATAACTAGAATGGCTCTTATTAACAGACAAAGTAGACTCTAGGCCAAATACACAAGACAAAGAGGGACATCAAAATACCAAGAGGACCTATTCAGCAGGAAGATTAGTAGTCATAAATATGTTTATGCTAAGCAGCCTTTCAAAATACCTTAAGTTAAAACTTAAAGACTGACAGGAAAAAAACAGATAAATGTACAATTATATTTAGAGATTAATACTCCCCTCTCAGCAACTGATAGAACAAATAAGCAAAACACCAGGCAGACTATAAAAGAATAACCTCAGCAACCAATTACTCCTGACTGCCATTTACAAACTAGTAGGTAAACCAACAGCAAAATACAAATTCAGTTCAAGTGCAAACTAAATCAGACAATGTGCTGGGCTATTAAAAACAAAGAAAAAGCCAATCTCAGAAAACAAAATTCAATAATCTAGAAGTATTGTAATCATACAAAGTGCTCTGATCTCAACACAATCTAGAGAGAAATCAATTTCTGGAAAGTCATCAAAAATTTGGAAATTAAGCACAACACTAAATAACTCAGTAGTAAAAGAAGAAATCACCAAAAAACAAAACAGAACAAAACAAAAAAAAAACACCCAGAAAGTTGTTTTGGCCTGAACAATAATGAAAACAAATGGTCAAATTTTTGAGAAAGTAGTATTCAGAGCAAAACTTTCATTACTTATAAAGTGGGTTCCTTGAAATGATCGATAAAATTAATAAAACCTCTATCTAAATTGTTGACAAAAAGGGAGAAATACTAATTACTAACTGGATTCTATGAACAAAAAACTTCTTCAAAGAAAATTCCAGGCCCAGACAATAAATCCCACTAAGTTTAAGGAGAGAAAAACAATTTTTCACAGCTTCTTAAAATACAGAAGTGAGGCCCTCCCTGGTGGCGCACCAGGCTAAAGCACAGCACTAAGAAGCTTAAGCCACTTCCTCATGAGTTCGATCCAGCCTGCCCTGGAGGAGATCCACATGGCTGGCAGACCTCTCCTGACCCGCTCGCTGCACCCCTCAGCAGTGTACTTCGTCGATCTGCCTGTTCTGCTACCTGCTCTGTCTCTGGTGAATCCTATCACCCTCCACATCTCTGGCCTGTACCCCAGTTCTGTATGAATAAATAAAATAAATCTTTAAAAAAGAAATACAGAAGTGAAAACATTACCCAACTTATTCTATGAGATTAGTGCTACCCTGACACCCAAACCAGACAGCTATCTCCAAAACAGCATACCCCCTATGAATGTTGACATAAAAATCTACAATGAAATATTAACAAACTGAGCTAGCAACATAGAAAAAGGACACTACAATATGACAGAAGGCCATGCAAAATTGGTTTAACATATAAAAAGTAACCATGTAACATATTACTGGAATAAACCATACAATCATTTCATATATGCAGAAAAGCAAAGGACAAAATCTAGCACTCTTCATAAAACACTGGGAAAATAAGCAATAATTTGATAAAGGTCATCCTTAAAATATTCCTAGCAATTGGCATACATAAAAACAAAAGACTGAATGCTACTGTTCCTCCTGAGATCAGGAACAAGACAAGGTTCTCAAGCCCCAACTTCTAGTCAACAATTGTACTGGAGATCCGAACCAGGGCAAATAGGCAAGAAAAAGAAAAGGCATCCAGGCTGGAAGAAAAAAGTAAAACTATTCAGCTATTCATAGTTAACATTAATTTATAAATAGAAAATGCTACTAGAACCAATTCATGAATTCAGAAGGTTGCAGAGGACAAGGTCAAAACAACAACAACAACAACAACACACAAATTACTTTTATACACTACCAGGGAAAAAAATATGAAAATGAGTAAGAAAATAATTTCACTGGGAGTGCAACAGGTTAAAGCCCAACACTGAGAAGCTATCAGCTGCTGCTCTGGCACCCTGCAATCCCCAACCAGGGAGCTGACCCACATGGAGTGGAGACTTCTCCTGAGCTGCCCACAGTGTATTTCACTCGATCCACCTGTTCTGCTCCCCACTCTGTATCTGGTGAATCCTCTCACTAACCCCACACCTCTGACCTGTACCCCACATCTGTAATAAATAAATATTAAAAAAAAAAAACACACACAACTTAACTAAAAAAGAGTTAAATATATTCAATACGTTTGAAGTATATTCAACCAAAGAAGTACAAGAGGTGTACACTGGTAGGGGCAAAAGATCACTGAAACAAATTGAGGACTCAAATAAATAGAAAGACATTTGTGATCACAGATGGTAAAACTTAACATTGTTAAGACGGCCACACTCCCTGGATTGATCTATAGATTCAATACAATCCAGATCAAAATCTCAGCAGCCTTTTTCTTCTTTTTGGCAGAAATTGACATGCAAACCCTAAACTATGCATGAAAATGCGAGGGACCTAGAACAGCCAAAACAATCTGTGACTGAATTGTAAGTATCAATAGCAACTTAGCCATAAACCCAGAAACATTTAAGAAACCCAGAAGGTAACTGGCAAGGATATTATTTGCTGGAAATCTGCAAGTGGCTTTATAATTAGTAACACCCACCTCTTTCTTCACTCTGGCATGAATCTCAACCTTCATCAGAAGGAACTTGTGCTAACAAGTAAAGAATAAAACTGGGTTTCTAGAACTACCACTTTTAAGTGTCTGGCAAGCTCAGTGGATAGCACGAGAGACTCTTAAAACTTCCACTTTCCTGTGAAACCCCAGTTATAACTGAGACACAGCTTTGGCAGGTACTTGTAAGTGGTATTATGGCAGCAACAGCAATAATACAAACCCATGTTCAAGGCTTTATATATCTTTTTTACCAATCCCCAACTATACAGAATAAATCCTTCAAATTTATTACAAATGCATTTATATAAATAATGGCAAGCAGCCAAGCTGACTAATCCTGTAATTTCTTTTCCATATGAACTCAGGGTGCTCCAGCTGCACCTTCCAATATGTTATGGTCTCTCTTGCCTTGGGTTTGGGGAGGGACTCCTGCATTCCTTACAGGAGGTAGAGTCAGCTAAGCGTTCTGATAATGACATCAGTGGAGCAATGCTCACCAGCTGACTCCTTCCCGTACCAAGTATTACTAGCAACTTTCAAGCTTTCTTGACCAACTAGAATGGTTTAAACCATTTTTTCCACATCGACACAGGCGATAGGACACAATGACTCACTTTAGCAGATTTTCCCAATCTTGACAGGGAATCAGAAAAGAAAGCAATCTTAACAATTTTGTACTGGGGGGTGGGGGTGGGGGTGTTGTGGATGGAATTACAGCTTTTATAGCTTGGAAGCACTCCCCCAAGTTCACCTCTTAAATCATTAGTATTCATGAATATCAGAAAATAAAACATTTAAAGAAAAGCGGGAAAGACATTTCTCAAAACATATATGATATGCCATGCACTTCATATACTTATTGCTCCACTTTATATATGAGGAAACAGTACAAGAGCTCAAAACAATATAGGAAAATCAAAATCACAGATTTTTCCTGTTATGTGAAATATACATACCTGGCACTTCTAGTAGTAGAAAATACAGCCCAGCAGCATGAAGGCCATATTCTCGATACTGCACACTGGCATTTTTCTTATGGACTGCTTGAACAAAGTGGTAGAACAGTGCCACCAGTGCATTGTGAGAAATATTGTTTTCAATGAAGAAGGCCCAAATGCTCTGGAGGGAAGGGGTAAATGACAAAAGTCAGTAAATAAGAAAAATGGAAAAACCCCCCATCACCTGATTTTGGTAAATATTTAGTGTCTTATTAAAAAAGAGCTAGACCACTCTGGATCTTAATTATAAAAGCTTACTACCTTCATAGGGACTGAAATAAAAAAAAAATTAAATCCTAAGGTAAATAAGTATTAAGAACTTAAACTTTTGAAAATATTTTTTGGTAAGTTTGAAACAGGTTTCTGAAACTATTATAGCTAAAAATTACACTAAAGACTTTTGGGACATGCTACGGAGTGAGAACTCAGACAACGTACACACCTCCATCTATATCCAGTATACCCAAATCCATTTATCACTCTAATTACTAACTGAGGAAATCAGAGCAATTTTATTTACACTTAAATGTTCTCTAGGCAATGGGAACAGAAAAGGAAATACCTGAATGTTTCTCCCTCAGTAGATTTTACAAGTAGCCTAGGTGAAAAGGAAATAAACCCTAGAAATATAAACCATAAATTTATTAATTTTATCATACCATGTTTTTGCTTATTATACACATGAATAAATTCCTTTTATAAACCAAACAGTGGGGGAAGTAAGTAAGGTTTATCCTGGAGTATCTCAAAAAAACAGGCCCACACAAGTGTAAGAAATCAAATATTCCTGTTTCCCTGAAAAGAATAGGAAAGTGGTAATGCCTTGTCTTAGCCACACTGTTTAGCTTGTGCTACCTTATAGAAGAGATCATTTAAAACCTCTCGGCACGCACCTTTCCTTTACCAGGAAATTTCTGGAAAAAAGTAATCTCCTACCTTGTTACCGATTCCACACTTATTCCTTACTGCCACTTTGCAGCCCTGCTCTACTCACCTCATTAAGGTCTATGGAGGTTACGAGGGACCATACAGATCTCTCTGCTCACTCATCACCTCTAGAGCATTTGCTAACTAGGCCACTTCTCCGTCTTCACATAAGCTCTGCCCACACTCTGCCTCTCCTCCTCAGGTTTCCCTCACTGCCTTTCTCAGTTTCTGCCCTGTGTCTTGCTTCCCTCCTAATCTCAACATCACTGCACTTCAACCATCGCCTTGATTCGAGCATCTCCATTCTATTTTGTTGACTCTTAACATCTCTTCAGTTCTTCTGAAACACATTTCCAACAGCCGATTGTTAGGGGTATGAGGATTCCCTAACAGAATTTCACTTTCAAAAGCCTAAAACTGAACTCATAATTTTTCCATTTGACTTTCTCTTTCTCCCTTAATTCTTTATTTTAGCCAACAATACCCTCCATCTCCTAGCTTTGAAATCTTGTTTGACAAATCCCTTGCTTTGGTCCCCTATGCCCAGCCAATGCAGTACTTCCCACCATATCTTGCAGTCTGATAATGTCTAAGTTCACAAAGCCTTATTAATTCTACTTCAAACAAATGCCCTTCATTTGTAGCCTCTTCCAATACCCATGACCAAAACTCCAGACCATACCACAACACTTACAGATCTGTTATTACTTAGTCTAATGTTCCTAGAGCCCTTTCTGCACCAGCTGGTTGTGAGGATCAATGAATGACTTACCATCTGTATGCCTAGAGATGAGCCTTATACACAGCAAACACTCCATTACAAGTTTGAGGTCCATAGTTGGTGAACCCTATTTAAGCTACCCATGCTTCATTCTCAGTCTAACCTGTTGTCCCGCGTTCCACCAGACATTCTTAAAATTCTGTACATATTGTACTTCTCACAATTCTTTCAGCAGTCCTGCATGTTCCCATTGCTTTGTTCCTTCTCTAGAACTGCCTTAAAATTCTAATTTCTCCCAGTCAACATTCTACCCATTTGTGAAGACTTGCCTCTGACTACTTTCTTTCTTGAACCTTTCCCGTCTCGCCATACTCCCTTTTCCACTATCCTATCAGATGGCATCAGAGTAATGGTGAACACTGCAGTTTACCAAATAGTTCAAGGTCCCCCCTACATCATGGTGGTCCTACAGGTGGATACAGTCTGGGGATTGCTCTGGCCAGTGAAATGCCAACATGTGCAGCGGGGTCCTCTGAAAGCCAGAGCTTACTTCCTCACTGGAAGAGTCCTTGATGTAGGAAAAGCTCTGTATGTAAATCACCACTTTATCTTCTCAAGCACTTAATGCTATGTCGCATTATGTTTTATGGATCTTTAATGAGATGATATAGTTTCTGAACAGTTATGTGAAACTTGTAACTGAAATTATTTTGTTAAATTTCTTAGAGATGTTAATATTTAAAGAGTTTTTGTTTCCAGCATTAGTTTTTATAAAGCAGTTAATGACTGCTTATCTAGGATAAGCACCCTAGATAGAGTTAAATATTTAAAGTAACAAAGGTTTCATTCATAATTCAAATTATCACATTTTTAGTATAATATCAGATTTTCTTAACATTAAGGTAGCCCAAATTGTTTGTGCATGTTCCTTGTCTTCTTTTCATATTTGACTTATCTGGTTTTCTTTCTGATTTTGAACTTTATGTTTTTAATTTGTTGTAAAACATGGTCAGGGCTGATACCCTCTTCTCCCCCAGATTTCTAACTTCAGCCTTCTGAAGGAAAGTTATGAAGACATTCAACAAGTGAACTATATTCTCTATGCTACTCTAATCATCTCCTTATGAACTGAATACTGAAAAGCCTAATCTCTAGATTCTAATGATTTTTGTTTTCTACTCCTTAAGATGGCAAGCTTAAGTTAAAAAAAAAAATTGTTTTACCTCTGTGGATCCACGTTCTTCAGTAGCATAGGGGAGAAGACTTTCATAGAGTTTTGTGAATGCATCCAATCCAGTCTCTATGATATCTGCTTCGATGTTAGGGTCCAAAGGTTCAGTCTCTGTGAAGTCCAGTTCCCATACTGTGTCCACCCATTCTAGTGGGGAAATGAAATTAAATCAATAAATGCTCTCAACAAATAAAAAAACAAACAGTAGTCTTCAAACTCTAAGTGCATTCAAGAAGTTAATTTCACATTTAACTATAGAGTACAGGTGTGCCATAATTAAAAGAAAGCAGAAAAGGTTAAAAAAAAAACCTTTTAAAAAATTATGCATGTCAGCTGTTGTTAGGATGGTGATTCTAAAAATATAAAATAAAAACGCATTTTAGAAATAACAGTTTCCCCAAGAAGTTTGAGGTAGACAAGACAGATTAACGGTCAAAGAAATACATATGACTTTAAATACACTAATATAAAGAATGTATATTAAGAGCATGTGACTTTAATGCAGCATTTTCATTGGATTCCTTGTCAATCTCTCCACTCCCAAAAAACATACTAATGTGTTCCTAACAAACTAATTTTCTTCAGTGATTTTGTTGGTATTCCTTAAAATCTGAAATTAGGAGAGGACATGAAACATGGCTATCACAGAATAGGGTGCCACTTCAAATTAATTGTCTTGAACTATTTGTTCACTATTGACTTGTAAAAGTTGGGTAGGATATGAATAAAGACACCCCAAAGGTTGTGGGCCTCAATCTTTCATAGTTCTGAGCATTTCACTTGATCCAATCTCCTAACACAACAATTTATTCATCATCTTCAGCCACTTAACTTGACCCTAAAGATGATACCTTACTCTGTAGCTTTCTATAGCCATTTGTTCCCAAGGTATGAAATATGTTCCCTTAAAGAAAATATGAAAAAATACCATTGTGTCTCTCTATTTAAAACCCATTTCAGATTATAGCTCGGGTTTCTCTCTCCTTATTTTAGCTTTTCTTATAACAGTTAGCCAACTGTCAGTAGGGGTTAGTGGGAAAGATGACTCTTCTAAACATGAGTCTTTACCACAGAAAGAAAGACAAGTGGATCCCAAACAGAAAAGAATGGCATAACAAAGCACAAAGGGAAAGAAAGTACAACCTGCTCAAAAAAGAACAAAGTAGGTATAGCACTAAGTTTTTTTTTTTTTTTTAAAGATTTATTTATTTATGCATACAGAACTGGGGTACAGGCCAGAGGCTCAGGGGCGGTGAGAGGCTTCACCAGAGACAGAGTGGGGAGCAGAACAGGCAGATGGACGAAGTACACTGCTGAGGGGAGCAGCGGGTGGGTCAGGAGAGGTCTGCCACACCATGTGGTCACCTCCGGGGCAGGCGGGAATCGAACTCATGCGGAAGTGGCTTTAGCTTCTCAGTGCAGTGGCTTTAGCTTCTCAGTGCAGTGCTTTAACCCGCTGCGCCACCAGGGAGGGCCCAGCACTGAGTTTTTATGTATGCAGCAGTTGCCATGTGCCAGGTGCTAAGTTAATTTTCACAAAAGCCCCAAAAGGTAGATAAAATCCTCATTTGACAAACAAGGAAACTGAGGCTTGGCAAAGTTGAACAACTTGCCCACTGATACATGGACACTAAACAGTGGTGCCAAGAACCCATTTCCTGTATCCCCTACTCTAGAGCATGCGTTGTTGGGAAAAACTGCAGTGAATGTTGAAGACTCTCTGCTGGCAGGCCAGAGATCGTGCAACGTATTTAGGAAACAAAGGGGAACAATAAAGGTTTAAACACTTAAAAGATCACTTGATTAGGAAACAAAGGGGAAACATTAAAGGTATAAACACTTGACTCATATCATTTGTTTCCAAAAGTGATCCAGGTAGAGGTGTGGGGGGGTGGGCTGGAAGCATTATCATCAGAAAGCAGCTAAGGTGAAAATTTGCATAATATTACTTAATTATGAAATATGTTTTTAACACACCTCCTAAAAGAGAAAGAGAAAATAAAAAAAAAAGAAAAGAAAGCAGCCAGGGCACTCCTGCATTGAGTAGGCTGGTTATAATGAAGGATTGCACCTGGACGGTAACGCGGAGCAGGATATGTATAAGGACACACAATGGGTAGTAGTGAGTCTGAAGGAAAAAGAGGAAAGTCTCACTCACAGCTCAGGTTCATGGATTAGCTTGGTGACTTTGTGAACCCTGGTTTTATTTGTGATGTTTGGGGTAACACCCATTTGAGCCAATCATCATGAAGTTCAAAACATAAGTCTGGCTGAAAACAGATGTGCTACCCAAAGCCACAAGAATAGAAATGTCTAAGAGGCCATAGATAGATGGCTAACAAGACACATGAAAAGATGCTCATCATCATTTATCATAGAGAAGTGCAAATCAAATGCACAAGAGATTACCTCACACCATTAGAAAGGCTATAAAAAAAAAAAAAAACAACCAAACAAGTATGGGTGAGGCTGTGGAGAAAAGGGAACCCCTGTGCACTGTTGGTGAGAATGCAAATCGGTACAGCCACTATGGAAAACAGTATGGAGATTTCTCAAACAATTAAAATTAAAATGCCATATAGTCCAGCAATTCCACTTGGGATATTTATCCAAAGAATATGTAAACAATAATTCAAAAACCTATGTACCTCTATGTTCACTGTAGCATTTGTCACAATATCGAAGATATGGAAACAATCTGTAATATATCCACAGTTGGAAAAAAAAAAAAGACAAAGATTAAATCTTGTTCTTTTGCAACAACACAGACCCTGAGGGGATGGTGCTATGTGAAAGTCACAAAGAGAAAGACAAATATCAGATAATTTTACACCTATGTAGAAGATAAACAAAACAAACCTTTCAACTCTAACTAAATGGTGATGACCAGAGAAAGTACATGAGAGGTAAAACCAGTAAAGGGTGTCAATTGAACAGCAGTGGATGGAATCTAGACTTTAGGTGATCATGATGTATACACCAAAGTCAAAATATAAAGCTGTACAACTGAAAGTTAAAAAACAAACAGATCATAACCCTTAGATAAGGAGAGCAAAATGGTGGTGGCCAGAGGGAAAGGGGAATGAGGTTTAGACAAATAGGATAATGGGGTCAAAATACTTGATGGAGGGTGGAAAGGAGACTTCTGGTGAGGACCAGAAGTCCAAAATATAGGACATACAGATGTTCAGTCATAATGTTGCAACCTGTAAAAAAAAGAAAAAAAGCCACCAAATGGAGGTCTAATGCAAGCTCACCCAAACAGGACCTAATCTAACGGATTGCCACTTCCCCCAGGTGAGTAAGGTATATTCTGGTCAGCACCAATGAATCAGCTTTCCCTATTCTCCCATCATATGCCAGAAGACCTTTTTCTATACCCCATTCTATTCCCACAGATATGTTACCTCCGCCTGAAATTCACCTGCTCTCTTTCTGTCTATAAAAATTTTTCATTCTGCACGTCTTTCCAGCGTTCTATCCGTATCTGCTGCACGGGATGCTGTCTGATTCGTGAGTGCTTTATTCAGGCCAATCACAGCTTTAAAGTGCACTCGTTTGTTATTTAACACACGTCAAACCTATATGATGTTATAAATCAACGCCAGTCCGATGGGAATTGGAAGGAAAAACCCGCAAAAAGAGATAAGGTTATCCATAAGGATTGGCAGGAAGGCAAGGCCGAGAAAACAGAGGAACGAATGACTTCTGCAACGTAAGTTCTTTTTTAATCGTCACTTGACTGCGGGGAGCCCCCTTCTGGACCTTGCTCCCCCTTAGGCTTAAGGGCAAGCACCTGAAGACCCCACAAGAGCCGAGCGCCCTCCCCCACCCCCCCCCAGGCCGGAGCTGGAAGCGTAGCAGGAGCCAAGCACCACAGCCCGGCCTGCCCCGAGACTCGAAGCCTCGTCTCCTCACCTGGGCTGAGATCCAGCGGGCACCAGGGCTGCAGGCCAGTCTCCAGGCCCCGCAGCGCCATTACCGCCCAGACACCGGCTCGCCTCGGCCGTGGTCAACTTTGAAAGCTCGCTCCCGCGCGCGCTCCGAGACGTTGCTGTGGACCAATCACAGTATGTAGAACACCCGGGCGACCAATCATTCCACCAACCAATCGGCAGGGTCGTCTTCCGCATGCGCAAAGAATGGGGCGGGCCCAGGACTCTGGACTTCGCCGGGGTTGTAGCGTCAAGGTTTCGGGTCGTTTCTTTCAAGTCTCGGTCAAGAACTAGGATAAATTTTAATAGCATCTTTCCCACCTCATGTTCTCCTAAATAGAGGACACTTTAAAGGGGATTTAGAACACGGTACTTCCAGTAATTATCACCTTTACCCCCATGGTCGACATTTCGAGTGCGTGTCAAGGGCCACTTTTACCCCGTCAGACAGCAATCAGACGTTGTACGAATCTGAATATGGGTGGTAGCGTGAAGTTAATAGAAATTTAGAAGCAATAAAAAAAAGAAAGTAAAAAAAAATGCTTCAGGAAAGATCTGCAGTTCTAATTTTGCAGGGTATCTGGGCCCGAACTCCACTGGAAAGAAGCCGCAACAGCCATGTCAACTAAGGGAAAGGCTGTCGGCCCCGCTTCCACTACGCATGCGCACTGAACACACCTCTGGGCGGCCTGGAGGTAAAACCTTCGGAGGCAAAGGCGTGCGCATGCGCCCGGTGGCCCCAGCGCGTGCGGGCTGGAGACCGCCCCCAACTCCTCCGCTCCCCCCTCGGCCCCCCACCCGGAGCCGCCTAGGCACCTTCGGTGCGTTGCACCGCTGGAGGCTTGGGCCGGCTCGCTCTGCTGCTTAGTGCCGCACCCCACCCGGTGGGCGGCAGCGGCCGCGCACCGCCAGGTTCTGCACTGCGGACCCCAGAATTGCATTGCGGGCCCTCGCCCCTCACTGCTGCCAGCCGCTAGGGCTCGCTTGGGATAGGCGAGCCGCGGTACTAGGGGGCTTGGGGCGCCACTACCGGCCCTGCCCCCTCCCCGAGAAGCGCGCGTCGCCCCCGTCGGGCTGCGGAACTGGGGTCCGCATCCCACCCTCCGGCCTTCCCGTAGGGCAGCCCCCGCCCGGAGAGAGGAGCGGTCCTACCGAGACCGGTCCGGCCCGGCGGTGAAATGAGCTTCTTCGGCTTCGGGCAGAGCGTGGAGGTGGAAATCCTGCTGAACGACGCGGAGAGTAGGAAGCGGGCCGAGCACAAGACGGAGGATGGGAAGAAGGAGAAGTATTTCCTCTTCTACGATGGAGAGACGGTCTCTGGGAAGGTGAGCCTCGCACTCAAAAACCCCAATAAGCGGCTAGAACACCAAGGCATCAAGATCGAGTTCATCGGGCAGATCGGTGAGTCGGGGCCTCCCTCCCCCAGATGCGTCGTTCCGACCCGGGCGCCGAATCGGACCGGGGAAGCGGGGTGGTTCCAGGTCCAGTTCCAGCTCCTGTAGGCCTGCCTGAACCCCTTCCCACTGCAATCTGAGGCCCGCCCGCCGGTGCCTATCCCTGCGTGCCTGCCTTCCCAGCCAAAAGTGACAGCGCGCCGCGAGGGCGGTGAGGGTGGCGACTGGGAGCGCCCCTGCCGCGCCTTGCGGTGTGTGCACCGCGCCCGAGCCCCGGGATACCCCCATAGTCCCTTCACCGTGCCGCTCAGCTTTTTACTCATGCTTCGAGGATTTAGAATGAGATGCTCCTGCGATAGCCTGCAGGCGGGTTTGTAAGGGGGAAACCGCTCTTCCAGGACTGCTTTGCCATCAACCACAGCTGGGTGACCAAAGTTAAGCGAGTCCAATGCTCCTCCCTAGGCTGCATTCCCACCGACCTGGTTTTTCTGTTCGGTGTGTTGTAGGAGAGACGCTTACTAGTTTCCCATCTCGCACCCTACCTTTGAACTGACTGTCCTTACACAGTTTGAGAAAAAAGCCCTGCAGCCTTTGACTTGTATCTGTTCCCCTAGCTTATATTTCTCGGGTTTCTACATAAGAATGCTAGTTTTCTGTTGACTTTCTCCTTAAAGACAAAGAAATAATGCTTCTAAAACTATAAGTGATCAAACTTTCTTGATGCTTCGACAGTCTTTACATGTGATTATTGGTAATTAGTGAAAGGCAGTAACAATACAGAAAGCTTTGGGATTTGCTAGTCAAGATGGGATTGTCCCGATTCTACTGCTTGCTGTTTTTTGCTTATTAAAACTCAGGTACTTTTGAAGTGAACTTTCTTTGCCATTGGATCAGGAGTAGATTCCCAGGAAACACCATATAAGCTGAAAACACCTCTAGTAGAGAATCCTGCTTACCACCCACCATACACATAACCCTATTTTTGTGGAACTTCCTGGGAAAGCTGGGTAAACTCTCTTTTCTCACACCCTAAGAGTCAGAGGAGCAACTTGTGCTCCCCACTTACAGAGGCAGGAAGCATGTTAGTTCAGGTAGGAACCCTGAAAGCCTTTGCCTCTGTACTTAAATAGCAAAATCAGGTTGTGGACTGAATGACCCTATAGGAACCATCCTGTTGTTTGAAATGCAACAGATGAGTAGATTTTACATATGAGGGTGGACTGAAGAATGAGTTTCATGCCTTCTGCTTTCCTACTTCTAGCTTAGATGGGGTTTCTCAACAGCAGTGCTAATGACATTTTGGGTCTGATCATTCTTTGTTGCTGTTGGGTCTTTATCTCGGTGTGGGGCTTCTGCCCATCAGAACACCAGAAGCATCCTCTCCTCTTCACTTCAGTTGTAACCACAAAAGTGTCTTGAGATTGCCTATGTCCGCTGGAGAGTAAATCACCCCTAGCCACTGGCTAGCTAGGTCGTGTGAATCCAGAGCATTTTATGCTAAGTGTCCTCTTTGAGATAGTTGAGAAACCCTGACCTACTTAGAATTGGAATTTTCAAGGAGTAGTTTCAAGTTATTGCCCAGATTCTCTGGCTTCATAATAGGAGTATGTATTTATTGTGTCCATACCGTGGTAATATGTGATCGGTGTGTGAAAGAGAGCAAAATGTTCCCTGTCCCAAGAATAGGAAGTGAAACATTTGGGGAAGCTACAGCCCACCTCAGCTGTCTTGTCTGTGAGGCCAGGATAACAAAATCACCCTATGAGAATGTTGAAAATCAAGGGATCACACTTAGTTCAAAATATGATGTATTTGTATCTCACACCTGAGACAATGTGCAAACAGACCCTTGGACACCAAAGTGGAGAGAGTGGTTGACTTTATTTAAGTTGTGGTCATGTGGTTTTCCCCTTCATTGCATTTTTTGACTATGTATTTAGTAGGTGGCACTTTGGTTAAGTTCTGCGGTCTGGCTGGCTGTATCTCACTGATGTGGGTAAAAAAGTTTCTACTGTGCTCTGTTCACTTTCCTCATTGTTTTCTATTGTGAATCAAAGTTTTTCTCCATGTAAACCATAAATCTCTTGAATTTGATTCTTTTTTTTCTCCTTTACCTTCTTTTTCCCTGGGAAATTCCACAAGTTGAAGTAAAGTGATGTATATTATTAATCTTTCTTATCCTTATGGGTAGTTTCCTTTTCTTGCTAATGAAAGTATCTTTTCCACCTTTGTAGTTACTAGAGGAACAGTCTGGTATATGATTTAGGGGCAGACAGACTGGATTACTTCATTAGATACAATGCAGTTTATATTTGCTAAGGTCTTGTGAGGACCAGAGTTAATATATGTGTAGAGGCTTAGGAAACATTAAGATGATCAGTTTAACTTGGTTCCTCAAGAAATTTCTGGGGGCTAGACCTTTAAAACATGCCTCTGTTTCCAGTTGCTTGCTAGACATCTCCACCTGCATGCCCCCCAGTTCTCTCAAAGATGCATTCAAAGCAAATCCTTTCTCTTTCCACTGCAGCCCCAGCCCTCCTGCTTCTCTGATTTTCTCCATTGAGGCCTATGTCAGCCACAGAGATCTGAGGTTCCTCTTAGATTCTAACTTCCTTCTCCTGTACCATCTACCTGGCTTCTAAATCTTGGTCATAATATATCTTAAATTTGTGCTTCCTCTTTCTTTTCAGTGCAACTTACAGTCTTTATTAGTTCTGTTTACATCAGCCTCCTAACTGGTCTCCCTGCCTTTGTTTTCCTCTTCCTTTTTAGGTCACCTTTTGTAAGGATGAACTTCCTAAAAGGCAGTTCTAATGTTTGTTTCTTCTTTAAAACTTTTTTCATTGACTTCCTACTAGTTAGAGGGGAAAAGTATATCTGAATCTCTCATGAGCTAGTCCCTGCCTTTCTCTCCAACCTTACCTCTCCTTTGTCTTCCCCCACACCACTTGTAGTTTCTCAAAATATCACATTCTCCCAGAATCTTGGCATCTTCCTTTTGTATGTGAACAGTTTTCTACAAGGTATGACCTTCCATCTCAGCTCCTACTCATTCTTCAAAACACAGTAAACTTAATATCTATTAGAAAGCCTTCCCTGTGCTCCCTAGCTGATGTGAGCACTTCTTCCATACACCCCACTGGCACTCTTTTCAAGCAAGACATGATAAGCTTATGACTTTGTCTGGCTTGTTTGTCTCCCTTCAGACCCTCAGGAGTCAGACCCTAGTCTCTACTGTCAGTGGCTAGCACATAGTAGATACTCAGTAAATGTTTGCTAACTGGATACATTGGTTAGACCTAAGAAGTTACAGGAGCTATTCTCCGATTGTTTTTCCCATCTTCCTCTTAACACACCAGGGTTATTTTAATGAAAGAAAAGGAGAATGCAGGTTTATTTTGCTAGTCACCGCCGAGAGGCTCAACTTCTGCTCATGGGTGTAGCAGAGGCAAGGATGAGCTAGGTGCAGGCGGCACTCAAGGCTACTGAGAACTACCGTGGCTCAGGATTGACATGTGTGCCTCACATGGCATCTCACTGAGAGAACTGGGCCAAGGAGACAGTTAAGCTGGATGTGGGTTTAATGTGGGCCCATGCATCTGTCACCATATTGTCTTATGCCGAATTGAGGCTGATTTCTCCCTGTATAGAAGAAATACAAAGTTGTCACTTGACATTCTTTTAGTCCTCAGGTGTTGAATGTTGCCCCCGGTGTATAATCAGATCTTACCTGCTCTGTACAAATTGTCCTTGCCCAAAGTAAGTTTTTGAGCTGTGCTGGAAATCTTTTGCACTTAGTGTATTTTTTTTTTAAGATTTATTTATTTGTGCATACAAAACTGGGGTACAGGCCAGAGGCTCAGGGGCGGCGAGAGGCTTCACCAGAGACAGAGTGGGGAGCAGAACAGGCAGATCGCAGATCGACGAAGTACACTGCTAGGGGAGCAGCGGGCTGGTCAGGAGAGGTCTGCCACGCCATGTGGTCACCTCTGGGACAGGTGGGAATTGAACTCATGCTGAAGTGGCTTTAGCTTCTAAGTGCTGTGCTTTAACCCGCTGCACCACCAGGGAGCGCCTGTACCTAATATATTTTTTCTGATGCCTTGGTATTCTAACAAAGCCAACAAGTGTGTGGGAGGGCATCACCATGTCACTGTACCAGCTTATGGCCACACCTTTAGAAGATGCAATGTGATATAAAAGAGACACTAGGGAAAATTCTGGAGAGACCATTTCTCAGTTGGAATCATTTGGGGAGTACTAACAGATGATGGAAGGCAGAGCTGGGCCATCTTGGAGGCTAGTGGGATGGAATAAACCAAATGTAACTAGAAGGCCAAATGTATTGACAGTATATTAGAGATTTTACAACCAGTGTATAAGATTTTTAATGTAGTCCCTCAAGGTGAATCCTATGTAATACATATTTCATAACTTGCAGTGGCGGACAGATTCAAATGCCCTCATACTCCAAGGCCAAGTAGATACTATCTTTGAATTCTTAAAGTAATGCTGCTGAAGTATCTGAATCCATCAGCATTAATCAAGCCTGTACTTCTAAAAACTCTTGAGACTTCCTGTAGTAACCCATGAAATACTAAGTAAAAGGCAAATAGAGATTAAATGGATTGAGCCTGACCTATTAATAAGTAGTTGCAGAGTCAGGGTAGAGCTCTGTCTGGGCTGGGGAGCCCAGAGGCACCACTGCACCAGCAGATTTATAGGGCTCGGAGGTCTGAGTGGGCAGGATGAGCTTAAATCTCAGGAGCACAAGTTCCAGCACACAGTGGCTGGGAAAACCCCAATGAAGAGGCTCTTTGGAGGTCCTTTTGCCCTGACTGACTTGCAGTGCTTCTAAGACTATCCTGAGGCCTGGAATAGACGTGGCCCTAGCCCAGCAACAAGTATCAGGGTGTCTTTCACAGGGTGGCTCTGTGACACAAAGCTGGCTCAATTTCCTTCCAAAATGGCAAATTCATTTCTCAGCCGTTGGTGGCAAGTTTCACCATGAAAACTTCCTGACAGAATGACAAGATGTCATTTCTTCTTATTGGACTGTCAAGGAGGAGGCAAAATACAGGGGAATTACCTTAACCAAAGACAGAGTTAGTTAATATTTAGCCTGGAATAACTGGCCCTTGAGGACTCGGGAAGTTGAGGAGCAGTAGAATTGACTTATGGCTGTTTGTTGGGACAGAATAAAGGCATTTTATAAGTCTTTAGGGCTCAAACCTCTTGCCACAACAGCTTTAGGTTTTCTCCTTTAATTTATACAAGAGAAAACCAGACTTTCAGAGTCTGGCTGCCTCTGCCCTTGTGCCCCACAGTGTTGCAGGAGCTCTGCAAATGGCTTATGAACTCTCAGCTACGAAGCCTGGCCCAGGTACACCTACACTACACCCTGGCTGCTTGATGTAGGAGCCTGTGTTAGCCTGCATCCTGGAGGAGCACCACGGAGAACGTGACCCTGCAGGAAAGGCCCTCTCCTGCCAGAGGTGCCAGCTGCACCCAGGTTTCCCCACTTGGTTGGGCGCACCGTTGCCCAGATGCTGGGATGCTGGCAGTCTGAGTGCACTCTAGTATGTGCTCCCATCCTTCTGTTTTGTTGCTCATGTTACCTTTGAGCTGTATGATCACACTTGTGTATTTTTCCATCCTTCTCTTCCAATCCTCTTGACTGGGATTGCTTGCTCATGAAAGTTCGTGGAAATTGGGGCTTTGCTCTGCCTGCCTCTGCCGCCTGAAATTATGGCCAGAATTCGGTGCTTGGGTAGGTTCCCAGTTAAGAGGTCAATTCCCAGGTGGGATCCAGGACCATTCATAAGGTCTCAAGGGGAAGCTAGGGACCAGCAGAGGTAGGAGAGGAGCGCTTGTCTGGGGCTGGCGAGGGGCTCTGTTCTACCTGCTGGTGCACTTCCCCTTACTTTCGTGGGAGGGCACAGTTCCCGGACTGTAAGAGGAGCAATGCGTTGTCCACCTTTCCCCGTTCCTCTCTCATCCCCAATTTATAGCTGCCATCTCTCGTTTAGTGACTTCATGGATTACCTCTTACTATCCAGAGTGCTGCCTGCTTCTGAAACCATTTGTGTTTGGAAGAGAAGTTGGATTGTTTCTAAATCAAGATTGATTAAACTAACCGCAGTGGAAACGGGCAACAGGCCATAATCATGGGGTGTGTTGTAAGTTCATACAGAAATGGCAGCACTCCTTTGGGAGGAACCACCCGCAGCCACCTGCACCAGTTGGCTGGTTCTGATGACAGAGCCTGCCTGCGTTTGGTTGCCTCCCATCTGTACCGGAAGGCTTGTCTGTCGGAGGGGCCCATCCAGGGCAACAGGTGGTTGATTGTGTGCTTAGACGAGATGCACCTCTGATCTCAGACCCAGCATGGTTCAGCCTTAGGCAGTACTGGATTCCTTTGGCTCTCAAGAGGCAAAAGATCTGGTTTGTGGGTCCAGAAACACTTTGGTCCTGATTTGGGTTCAGGCCATGTTGTCTCAGGTAGGCCTACAGCATATCAGCTGTGCCCTGTGGCTCAGGTTATCCCCAAGAGAGTGCCTGCTGTGCTCCAGAGAGATGGGAGCAGGCCGACTGGATGGTTGTCCCAGACACTTCTCTCTGTGGACCTGTCTTCTTGTCCCTGAGCAGCTGTTGGCAGAAGTGGCAAGAGCACTGTTGGCCCTGTTCCCTCTGGTCTGTCTCCTGCTGGTTGCAGCCTCTTAGAGGCGGGAGGTCAGAAATGCCCCGAGTGATACCAGCCTAGAATGTGATCAGTAGCATGGGTCCTCACTGTTCAGCCGGTTCTGGGGGTGTCAGGAAGCTGGGGTTATAGGCTGTATCACAGAAGACCATACAGAGAGCAAAAAGTTAGCACTTAAATAGCAGAGTGCAAGATAGATGGCATGAAGAAATTCCAGAGCTATTTTTAGAGAAGAGGATGGACTTCAAGCAATGCTCTTCAAAGTGTGGTCCCGGGACCAGCAGAACGAGCAGCACCCTCTGCGAGCTTGTTAGCCGTGTCAACTCTCTGGCTCTACCCCACACTACCTGATTAAAAAGCACTAGGAGTGCGGTCGGGCAGTCTTTGCTTCAACAAAACTTTCAAGTGATTTCCATATATACCGATTGGAGACCCACTGATCTAGATGTGGGAAATAACATCAACATTGCAGATTGGCGACAGGAATCCTTTTGAGAATTAGTGGCAGCAGGCTACATTTTTTAAGTGTCTACTGTCTCTGTTACTACTCTAAATCCTTTACCGGCATTTTCCCTGATTCTCAAGCTTCCTGAAGTCATTATCACCCCACTTTACCAGTTCATGGAACTAGGCCCAGTCCACAGGGGGCCTCCTCCAGTCTCAAGCTTTGCTCCAACACTGACTCTGACCACCGCCTTTAGTTTCCTTACCTGTTCAGTGGTAGCTCCTGCCTGTCCTAGCTCTCTCCCAAGATACAGTAAGGCTGATCTGACTAGATAAACTATGAGAATGCTTTCAAAAATTAGAAATGCTAAAAAAAGAAGTTAAATACATACATCATATATATATATACACACACACACACATAAATGATTTATTTATGCATACAGAACTGGGTTACAGACCAGAGGTGCAGGGACAGTGAGAGGCTTCACTGGAGACAGCGGGGAGCAGAATAGGCAGATCAACAAAGTACACTGCTGAGGGAAGCTGCAGGCGGGTCAGGAGATTTCTGCCGCATGTGGGTCGCCTCCAGGGCGGGAACTGAACTGATGCTGAATGGCTTTAGCTTCTTAGTGCTGTGCTTTAACCTGCTGCGCCTCCAGGGAGGGCCTAAATAAATATATTTTTTCAAGATTTTATTTATTTCTCCATAGAAGAACCTAGGTATAGTCCAAAGGTGTGGGAGGTGAGAGGATTCACCAGGGACAGAGTGGGGGTGCAGAATAGGCAGATTGACTGAAATACTCTGCTGAGGGAAGTAGTGAGCAAGACAGGAGAGGTCTGCTGTGCCATGTGGGTCAGTTCCCTGGCCTGGGATCAAACTCAGGCCATTGAAGTGAGCCCATACAGTGATAGTACTGAGACTTAACCCCTAGGCCACCAGGAAGACCCAAGAAATGTGGTTTTAATAGCTGTTCCCTAGATATGCCCCTCACGAAGGTTCTGCCATGAAGTCCTGGAGCAGGATTATACTGGGTTCCTCTGCTTTTTAAATGGAAGTTTGGAAAGAGGGGTAGGAGGGAGACTAGCATGTGGGGATATGGCCAAGGAGTGGGGTCATGATGAAAGGAGTCAGAAACACAGCTGGTAGAGGCAGGTCTTTCAGAAGGGGGGTTTCTGCAGCCTGGCATTCCTTGGCTCGATGGGAGATCAATGCTGTCTTTTCAGAGCTCTACTATGACCGTGGGAACCACCATGAGTTTGTGTCCCTGGTGAAGGACTTGGCCCGGCCTGGAGAAATTACCCAGTCACAGGCCTTCGACTTCGAATTCACGCATGTGGAGAAGCCCTATGAATCCTATACGGGGCAGAACGTGAAGCTCCGGTAAGTATGGTCTGCCCCTCCCCACCTTGCTTTGCCCAAGGCTCTTGACGGAGGTGCAAAGACAGGGAACCCAGGTGAGCTGTGAAAGTTTAACAATGGACTCTCAAAAGGAAAAACCCCTGGTTTGTAGTGTTTGTTCATTTTTATGATATAGATATTTCCACCACAGTCAGTTTCCAGCTACCAGCCTGGTGTTCCCTGTGCAGGGCTGGGGAGAGAGGCACATGGCCACTCTGATGTAGCCTAACTGGCATGCGGAGACACCAGATAGCAATTTCCCCAAGTGCAAAGAAAACTAGAGTGTAGTATTCCCATAATTAGAAGGCCGTGATTTTTTTAGTACAATATATTACATTGCCTTTAAATATATATTTTATTTTCAATTCAATTCATTTACTTCTAAGTGTATATAATTTAAAATTTTAAATAATTGCTGTGTTTAACGCCCAGTTCATAAAATTCTCAACAATTTCATAGCTGGCTCTTGTACACTTGAGCCAGCCCCAGCCCCACGTCTACATTACGACATCCTGCTCTGGGTTACCCTGCAGCAGGAGGGTGATCGGTGTCACTCAGCTTTCTCATTTGAAAAGTGGGTAATGGATTTGGATTTTGATTCTCTATATTTAGCATGATGAGAGAGTAAAACATAATACAGTGTGGCAAGGCCTTAATAAACACATTTAAACACATCTTGCTGCTCCATTTTGGAAATTCTGAGGATAGGGACTGAATTCGAAACTCTGGAATAAAATAAAAATCCACAGTAGCTATAGATACTTGGATGCACTGTGAAACTGTTAGGTTACTGGGGCAAAGCACACTTCTTACAGCTCTGAACACCTAGTTCCAGATCTTGACACTGTCACAAATACTCAGCTGGATTCGTCCCCTGGAGACCTGGTGCAGGATGGAACAGATTTTGCAGCAAGAGCTGTCCTCTCCTTTTCTCTCCCAGTCCTGTCTTCCACTAGAAGAGTGATTGTAGGCCCTTCATTTGTGGTCCTTACAGAGGGGTGTAAGTAGCAACCATATTCCACTAAAGACAGTGTTTTATCACTGCACTCAGCAGCGACCCGTCAAAGGGTTGCTGAATGTTAGTTGGGCATCATCAAGCTTGGCTAAGGGAGTTAATTGTGATTTTATTTTTTGCAGTACATTTCTCCTAAATATTTTTATATCAGAAAGAAAGGTGTTATAAACAGTACGGTAGTTCCTCAAAAGAATTAAAAATAGAGTTACCATGTGATCCAGCAATTCTGCTTCTGGGTATAGATCTGAAGAAATGAAAGCAAGGATGCAAACAGATTCATGCCAGCATTTGTTATAGTAGCCAAAAGGTGGATGCAACCTAAGTGTTCCCCAACAAATGCACAGATTAACAAATTATGTATATACACAATCCTTTCTAATTCAGTCTTAGAAAGGAAGAAAAATCTATAATCTGTTACATCATGGAGAACTGTTAACAACATTATGCTAAGTGCAGTGGCCAGTCGTGAGAAGACAAACATTATGTGATTTCACTTACATGAGGCACTTGTCAAAATCAGAGACTGGAAGGAGAGAGGTGGTTGCCAGAGGTTGTGGGAAGGTGGGATGGAGAGTGGGGGTCAACTGGGGCAAAGTTTAAGTTGGGAAAGCTGAACAAGGTCTAGAGATGGATGATGGTGACTGCCCGGTGACTTTGACCAGGCTGCACACTGATGTGATTTCAGCGGTAAGTCACGTGTTACGTAGGGGATGAAAAACACCTCTTTCTCATTTTAGGTTTATTAACTGGCCATTCTCATTTGGCTGATGAAAGACAGATTGGCAAGAGAAAAACAAAGAAGTTTATTCATATGTACATTGTGTAGACTAATACCAAGATCACTAATATACACTGGTGGTTAGAATTTACACAGAGCTGGGTGAGAGCCTAGAGCTTATACAGCATCTTAGCGGAAGAAAAGTCATTTCTAGAGAAGTGACAAGACAAGGGGAAGTCAGATTGTGGGCAGATAAATATATGGGAAACGGGCGATGAGCTATTTTAGATGGTCTGTTAGATGCATCCTCCTGGAGTCTTTGGGTTGACAGGAGTCTAGACCTATCACTAGTCATTAAAAAAAAATACATATATATGTATGTATACAAGAGCTGGGGTGTAGGCAGAGGTGGGGGGGATGGCAAGAAGATTCATCAGAGTCAGAGTGGGGAGCAGAACAGGTAGATCTACTGAAATAAACTGCTGAGGGGAGCAGCGGGCGAGGAGAGGTCTGCTGTGACATCTCCCTGGCCGGGGTTCAAGCTCATGTTGCAATGACTGCGATAGCTTATAGTACTGAGATGTAAATCCTTACACCACCAGGGAGGCTCCTGTCTCTGGGCATTAAGAAAAACATGTCCTTCCTAGTTAGAGAGGGACTGCAGAGAGTTTTTGTGCATGTCTATCCTGTTGCTTTCAGCTCAGTATAATCCTTACACCAGAGTAGCCTGCTATGGATAGCTATATAAAGAAAGGTGATGCTGTCCACATTAATTTAGGATTAACGTTGAAGGATGAGTAAAAGAATGGAAAATTAGGTAAGGGCAATTAGGTAAGATGTAAATTCCAGATTAAGGGCTTGTATCTTTTATTACGTGGAAAGAGGAAAGACATGGAAAGATCATTTTGGACTTCTTTTTGTTTTTAAGTAGGGTAGGGGATTGCTTTAAGTTTACCTTTAGTATTTGATGAGTGGGTAGAGTGTGGAGACAAAGCTGTTAGAAGGGTCATATGAGGTCCTGAGTGTTTGATTTTAGTGAACACAGTGGGAGCAAGCAGAAATGTGAGGATTTTAGCAGACACCAACAGAATTTACCAATGACAGGGGATGCAGACAGAGGAATTGAGGAGGAAGAGATGGATCATCCCATTCTAGTGAGGAGTTTGAAGCACCAGCAGAACAGAGTGGTGTGAAATGACCAGCCAGTTGTCCCCACTGCAGCTGTCCCTTCCCACAGGTCCTAGGTTAGTCAGACTTTCCTTCTTCAAACAAACCAGGTCTTTCCCTGCCAATGTTGCTTTATGTGCAGAGTTTACACTTCCTGAATGCCCTTTTTTTCTCTCCCCACAGCACTGATCCCTGTATCTGAGTTAGTACTTCCCATATGTTCTAATTTTTCTGTTTATTTACTTGCCTGTCTTCCCCACTGGGCCATGAGCTCCCCATGAGACGTGTCTTCCTCAGCCTATGCCTAGCAATAAAATGTTTGTTGAATACACTACATTCCTATCCCTCTCTTAACTGTGAGGGGCTTGAAAAGTACTTACTGATTCAGTACTTTTCAATGAGTGGACACGCAGATAGACATGTGTGAGACAGCTCCCTGTGCCTGAAGAGCCAGGAGCTACTTCAGGAAATAAAACCTGTACACAGATACACGACTGATGGTAGGGAGGACCATAAAAGGCATACAAATAATACATCCTTGGGGTCCGGAGCAGAGAAATCACTGTTACTTAGAGCAGCATGCTGAAGCTAGGAATGGAATCATGATGGGATTTGGGGGACAGGTCTTTGCACTCCCTGGAATTGTAATTACAAAACTGTGTGTCTAAGTGCACATATGTATTTTTATGGGAGGTGGGTACACAGGGGTAAGTTCTTGAAGGAATACAAAGCTCCAGAGTGGTTATGAGCTGTGTAAGGATTCTCTCAGGTGGGTTGCTTTGCTGGGTCTGCAGACTGAGTGTTCCTTTACAGCATGTCTACCTTTTACAGGTATTTTCTTCGAGCCACCATTAGCCGCCGTCTCAATGATGTTGTCAAGGAAATGGACATTGTGGTCCACACACTCAGCACATACCCAGAGCTGAATTCCTCCATCAAGATGGAAGTGGGCATTGAGGACTGTCTACACATTGAATTTGAGTACAATAAATCCAAGTAAGTCTCCAGGGCTCAAGGTGACGGGAGAACTCCAGGGAGGTTAAGATAGGGCTTAATCAGAACAAACTGCTGGAACCCTTGCCTTGCTGGTTCACGGTGACCTACTGTGAGGAAGTCACAGGAAAAATACAGTGGATACATGTACCACCTGGCTGAAGCTAGACCAACCAGGAAATAGACATTTTACCAAATTTATAAGTTTAAGTTAAATAGCCTATGATGCCTTTCAAAGTCAAGCTAAACTAATTTTAAGGTTATTTGATTTGGATTCTAGGTATAGCTATTCCCTTCTCATGAGAATTGGCTCATGATAGTCATTCATTTTCATCTGTATCCTGTGTACAGTATGTCTATGTAGAAATCATTGGTCTGACACTAAACACCAGGCACACTCTCCCTTAACTAAAATGAATTGAAACCAAAAATATCTAATGTCTTTTTATAAAAGTCTTGAAATTATTTTAACTGGCAAGATGAGAAGCCATGCGTATTTTAAACAGTGTTTGCTTTTAGAATATCAAAATATTTAACTGCTTGGAAATCATAAAACTTAACTGATAGTCAAAAATATACCACACATACCTTGTTTTTCAATATGATACATTTCTGGAAATGTTTCATAATCAAATATGCAAGACCAAAGGTATTCTACTCATAGAGACTTAAAGAAAATGGCAGTATCTCTACCATGTATTTTCTCTACCTCAGACTTGAGCTGGAGCTAGGCCAGATGACTATCATGTAAAGGAACAGAAGCAGGGATTTTTTTTTTTTAAGGTTTATTTATGTGTGCATACAGAACTGGGGTACAGGCCAGAGGCTCAGAGGAAGCGAGAGGCTTCACCAGAGACAGAGTGGGGAGCAGAATAGGCAGATCAACAAAGTACACTGCTGAGGGGAGCAGCGGGCGGGTCAGGAGAGGTCTGCCACGCCTTGTGGTCACCTCCAGGACAGGCGGGAATCGAACTCATGAGGAAGTGGCTTTAGCTTCTTAGTGCTGTGCTCTAACCTGCTGCACCACCAGGGAGGGCCAGGGATTTTTTTTTTAAAGTAGGAACATAAATGCTTCCTATAAGAGGAGTGAGGAATATGTATATTTTTTTCCCCACCTCCTTCCTGGAACCAAGTGTTGGGGTAGGAGGGTAGACACTTCTTGACCTGGAGCCCTCCTATGGAATGGACTGGGGTGGGGTGAGGTGGGAATGTGGCTGACCTGGGCCTGACATATATGGGAACCATTTTAGGGCTCAGTGGGCCTTCCTAGGAAGGAGCCATTAAAAGGGTCTTCCCACTGATAGCCTGGCCACCTGATTAAAGGTTACCTGAGAGGATGTGACAGGAGCTTACATTATATTACTCTTCAAAATGATACATGTAGGAGCTCAAAATAGCCACTAGTCAGTGGTGTGTTCAAGACCAAAGGTAGTATGTAAAGGGCCCTAGTGAGAGTTGGTTACCTGAAGTCAGCGACCGGATACTTGCAGACGTTGGCCCTGCCCTCAGAGTAGGCTGTACTGTGTGAGTGCACCTCTGTCATGTAACCAAGTCAGCTCCTGTTTGGCCACCAAGGAGTGGGGCTGAGGTTAGCTGGGAATAGAGTTTTTGTATCTCGAGTTTCTCATCTGAAAAATGATGGGGCTTAGGCAAGGTTGGGAGGTCTCACAGAGAGAGTGAAGTAAAGGAGGAGCCAGGCCAAGACCCTAGGCCCCTCCCTAAGAGCAGCTCTTCTAGGTTTCTGACTTGCCATGCTTCTGTGTAAGATTTCACTTTGAATAAAAGGTTGTTCAGCATATATACAGCTTCGCAAACTAGACTGTATGCTGTCCAAGCATCCCTTCTAAAATGCTGTGAATGGCCTACATTCTGCTTCTTTCTGTAAGCGCTCTTACATATTTGTTTAGCATGTCTGCAGGTTAGACTATAAGGCGAAAGGTGGCATGAAATCATTGGGGGAAATTAGGAGCCTGGAGTCATTTCTACCTTTTCCCTACTGGTTATCTTCTTTGAACTCCCTTCACCTGTAATATAATGAGATTAAATCTAAAATCCCTGCCAACACTCATATATCATGATTCTGAGCTTGAAGAATTGCTGTCTTTTTGCCATGCCAGATAAAGGGCTTTGTACATACAGGCCAGATGACTTAGAGTATGAAGCTAGGGAGGGGAGATGGTGACCAGAAAACATTATGCAGCAAGGCTCAGAGCCCCACTCCTGGGAACAGAGACCAGAGCAAAGGTCTGATGGACAGCAGTTCATGCATCTGCTGCTCCTACATGACCCACGAGGTCCACAGTAGACAAAATTGTTTGCTGTGGGCCATTGAGGCCCAGTTCCCAGACAGTTTGTGAAGCTCAGGGAGGAAGAGGAAGACCTGGTTTCTCCATTTATAGGAGTGTCCTCTCTCACATTCAGATGCCTAAAGCAAACACACAAATACAGAAACTATAAAAGGGAAGTCACAGTACTGTGGAAATACGGCAGACGAGCAATTATGAACATAGGATGAAACAATTGGGAAAATCCTTTAAGTCACAGATTTGCAAGTGGGAGAGGCTGCTTTGACTCAAGTAGAGAACATATTGGGAGATCATTCTACATAGCAGAGGGTGGCGGGGTGGGGGTGGGTGGAAGTACACCAGAACTCTATCCTCAGCCAACAGGCAACCTGCCTGGGTGTGTGCAGGGCCAGCTGCTGCACATACATCTTATTTTCTCTCTCCCAGATACCATTTGAAGGATGTTATTGTAGGAAAGATATATTTCCTGCTGGTGAGGATCAAAATCAAGCACATGGAGATAGACATCATCAAGCGGGAAACAACGGGTACAGGCCCCAACGTGTACCACGAGAATGACACCATAGCCAAGTATGAGATCATGGATGGAGCACCAGTGAGAGGTGAGCATTCTGGTCTGCGAGGCTCCCAGCCAGCTCACCTTTCTCCCAGTCCCTGCACAGAATTTTGGAGGTTGAAGGATTATACTGTTAAAGTAAAATCTCCTACTCACCTATGATTTCTTCATCTCTAAATGAATAACTTGGGTCCCAATGAGGAGGGAAAGGAGGGCCGAGCATGGGGACGTTCATGCTCCAGCCATTTTGTATGTGGAGCTTGTGCTGCATCAGACCTCAGGAGTTACAACTGTTGAAAAACCAAGGAAAGTTCAAAAAAAGTACTATTTAACAGTCCAGCTTGAACATACTCTTTTTTTCTGTTGACATTTTGGCATCTTTATTGCTAGGGAGTAATAGATCAATGCAGAATAGTCATTTTTGTTACTTAGTTCCAGCTCTGATCCAATGAGCCCTGCTCTGAGTTCACTCAGCAAGGACAGATGCCACGGTCAGCAGTCGGGCTACGGACAGCACCGAGAACTGATGGAAACGGCCCCTCCCCCTCCATGGACCCAGGTCCCTGGGAGTAGGATTTCACTGTCCTGACTCTTGTGGGTCCATATTTTTTTCACCTGCTATACAAGTAGAGCCAGTTGTCACTTTCCCTGCACAAATGAAACGGGCACTGAGAAACAGTATACACAGCCGCCAATTAAAAGATCATTTAGATTTAGCTCTAGGCTTCATTCTAGGTTTGGCCTTTCTCAGTAGAATTACTGCCCTCATTTTGTTTCAGTTGTGCCGGGAAGAGCACTGTGTTAGAACTGGGAGGAATCTTAACTGTTATGTTGTCTGATTCTATAATTTTCCATATGAGAAAAATAAAAGTTCAGAGAAAGCAACAGATTTAGAAGTGATCAACTGGTCAGAAGAGAATGGGGAAAGAAGTCTCTAGTCTTCACCTCAGCCTGTCAGTCCAGCTTCAAGTGGGGATTTTGTTGAAGGAAGGGAGAAGCTCCGCAAATTAGGATGGAGGGAGGTGGCATCAAAATGATGAAGACCCAGTAACTGCACACATTACATGGAAACAGAAGATGCTTATGAGTCCCATCCAGTGCTGTTCACACTTGCTGCTTCTCACTCATCTCTGCGTTGAGATGGAGGACACGCAGATGGCCTGGAATGGTGGTAACAGGCATGTTTTCGCTTCAGCCTCTCATTAGGCAGCAGCACATGAACTTCCCCAAAGCAAAGCACTGCTTGAGTATTCCATGCTGTGCTCAGGGTCACAGAGAGTTGCTATTTTCGGAGAGTGGTTTGCTGCAAGGGAGAGTGGGCCGCTCTGATTCCTGCCTGACCCTTACAGGAGAGTCTATCCCCATCCGGCTCTTCCTGGCGGGCTACGAGCTCACCCCCACCATGCGGGACATCAACAAGAAGTTCTCTGTGCGCTATTACCTCAACCTGGTGCTGATAGATGAAGAAGAACGGCGTTACTTCAAACAGCAGGTGAGGTGAACAGTGGTCCCTAGGCCACTGACGGCCCTGGAGATGGCGCAAGAAGGGCATCATTCCTGTGGAGAGCAGCCTCTGTTTCTCACATGGGATGCGAACAGTATAGGGCAGAGAGCTCGTTAGTCTCTGTGTTGCATGTTGGTTTACCAACAAGTGGAAACACGAGGTGATCCAGAGGCCCACAGCCAACGTTACCACTTGGTACCTAGAGGCTTGCTGTCTAGAGGCTGCTCTGCTCTTCCAGGCTGCCTTAGCCACAGGAGCCCCAGGGATGGGTCTGGGAGTGTGAACAGCTGCTGCTGTCTTTGGTGAGAAAGGCAGAAGGGGGATTTTGCTCCGGATTCCCCAGAAGCGGGAGCTCTGGGAGACCCACTCCCATGAGTCCCTCTCATCGTGTCATGTTGTGCCTTCTCCCAATTTTGCAGGAAGTGGTATTGTGGCGGAAGGGTGACATCGTACGGAAGAGCATGTCGCACCAAGCAGCCATCGCCTCACAGCGCTTTGAGGGCACAACCTCCCTGGGCGAGGTGCGGACCCCCAGCCAACTGTCTGACAACAACAGCAGGCAGTAGGCCCCCGGGGCCAAGCAGCAGCTGGGTTGGCACCCAGCACCCCGTCTACCAAACACCAGCGGCTGGGGAGGGGGAGGACGGTGTGAAGCTCGGCTGACCCGTCACTTGCAACCTGAAAACAAATCATGTTTTGACTTAAAATTCTTTTCTCTGAAGACCCTAAGGGGCTTGGGCTGGGAAGCAGTCTCCCTTGGGATTCTGCAGCTGATGTGGGCATAGGGAGAGGAGGGAGCATCCTGGAAGCTCTGAGAAAGAGCCTTCTTTTGAGGCCTTCCATGTGGGGCTGCCTCACATCTTACAGGAGAGCAGAGAGCAGGCATCCTTGGCTCCTAGCTCTCTGAGCTTCCTGATACAGGAGCTGCATGTCCTTTGAGTCTGAGCTGCCAACAGGGCCCTGGACTGTCACATCTTATACTCCCTCTACTGTCCTGAGGTAGTGGCAAAAGGAGTTGAGCCTGCCCCATCCTAAATTGCAGGAGACTTAAGATCAGGAAGCTACCTCTTTGGAGTCTTGGATGTGGTGCTTCAAAGTCTCCACAGGCCACCACCTTGCTGGCTTTTCTCACTGCTGGAACGTAGGCACCTACTGTCTCCATTTTCTGTGGTTTCTTCTCAGTAATATCCTGAGCAGAAACCTGTAGACAGGCCTTTGCCTCACTGTCCCCTCACCTCTGAGAAACCCTGGGCAGAGATACCTCAGGTTCAGTGACATGTATGGATGGCAGCAGTTTTGATCACAGGAGGCCAAGCCAGGCCCGTTGAGGAAGAAGTGCGGTGACAGCATGTACCATGTGACTGTCCTCGTCAGCCCTGAGGTCTGGCCGGTTGTAAGGTATTGCTCTCTGTGCCCCACAAGCCTAAATAAGAGCAGCTGTTTCCTTTAAGAAGAGATCTGGGGAAGGGGCCTTGACCTATTGCTTCCCCAAGAATTGATCCTCATCACTCCTAGCTCCCCATTTAATTTCTGGGAATTGGGGCTTGGTTTCAAACAGATGGAAATTCTGTTCCAATGCCCAAGCTCCTTAACTCCCTACCTACAAGATAAAAGATGAGGGAGGGTATATGAGGGCCTCAGAAAACCCTACTACACAACTTCAGAGTACTTATGCTTGCCAAATTATGTCTTCGTCTTCACCAGTGACTGACCAGAATTTAGGACCATGATGTTTCGTTTAAAACACATACAAAGACTCTTGTGCATATTCTTGTTTGGCTGGAGGAGAGGGCCATTCCTTCTGTTGTGTGTGTTTGGGCCTATTACAGTAAAGTTGATGACATCCTTTTTTTTTTTTTTTTTTGGTCATCTGGAAATACAAGAAATCATTATCAGTAGGCCTCCTCTCCCTTCTAGAAAAACCAAGGAGGCTCCACTGGTCAACAGGTACCATACTTGATAGTCTCAGTTTTTTGTGGTTTGGAAAGCAGAGGAGTTGGTTCCTGTGGCATCTTCCAGTTAGTAAGGAAGATAGGGACTGAGTGGCTTTGACTGGTCAAGGATCCTGCAGTGCAGTGGAGCTAAGGCTGGAAAGACTTGAAGGTGACAGGGTTGGGGATCAGGGAAGGTAGACAGCAAAGTAAGGAGAGGTTTTCCTCCTGCTCTACACCTGAGTTCAGGTGCAATGGACAGTCCCCACAGGAACGAGCAGGATCTCCTATTCAGCTGTCCCTGAGGTTGGAGTTGAATTATGGGGGAGGCAGGTTCTGTGTTCATAATTTTTTTCAGAGCACAAGATTAGGAGCTGATGTGCTAACTAGAAAGCATCTGTCAATTCCTCTACCTTCCAGCTGACAACATAAATTCATTTCCCAACCTCCTAACATCTTAAATCTTGTGGGAGAACTAGAAGATAGAATTTGCTTTTATTCTCTCAGAAGCTGTGCACAAGCCAGGTCTTCTGTTTTCTTATACCCTGTCCCCATTTCTCCACTCCAGCTATGGAAGAGGGGAAGATCCTGTGTCTCTCCATACAGGTCCCACACCTGGGAGTGCATAGGTACTAAACCAAGCAGTGCAACTTGTAATTAAGCAGCTGCAGTGTTTACATGTTTCTTAATGTGTCGTCTTTTCAATGGCTGTATTTTAAAAAAAAAAAAAAACCAACAACACTTGTTCCGTCGTCTCTGATTAAAGGAAGCCCTGTGGCTTAGAGGCACTGTGCCTGTGGCCCACCAACTGCTGTGGTCTCTTGTCTTACACTGCCCACCTCACACACCAGGAAGTGTCCCCCACACCAGTCCCATACGGTGCCTGTGCTCCCCATGTCCATGGCCCTGGTGAAGAGTGGAAAGTGCTTTAACACCATCTGGCAACTTGGCCTGAAGCTGCTGATGGTTTAAAACCCAGCCTGAACCACACTGCTTCAAGGGCAGGTGAGAAAACTGGTGTAGAAAGACACAAGTCCCTTTTAGGGATATTACCAGATTGAGCCCTCCGTCCACCCTAGGGTTTGCCACAGTAAAGGCAGATGGTAGAGGAAGCCTCCTATGTTGCTAAAGAGCAAAAAGAGCCAGCCCTGAGGTAAAAGATCTGCAGTGGCATATTCTCTACACGCACAGCTATTGTAATGAAAAGCTTTCCAACTTTCACATTAATGTTTATTGAAAAAGTACACAAAAAACACCTATGTACATAGCCAGTGAACAGAACAAGCAATCCCCTTTGCACCTTCTTTTGTCTTGTTAACACTTGACTTCTTTGGAATAATGCCTTGTTCAGTCTGGATACAGTGTCTCAACTAACTTGGTTCCTTTTCCTCCAGGCTCAAAACAAAGTCAAACTCTTCTGTCAAAAAATGGGGAATGAATGAATTAGGTCTGTGTTTCCGCTGAAGAGGGATTATATGAGGCACTTACCAAGGCGGGCATTCACAAACTAAGTGTGTGTGCTATGTGCCAGCCACGGCTGGGTACTGGGTACATAAGATTGGGGAACTCAGGATATACTCCCTCCCTTGGGGCATGACAGGTAAGGAGACAGACTTGGGTCAAAAACCATACCCAGCTCTAATAAACTGGAATGTTGATGATGCAGGCCCATTCTTACCTTGGGTCAGGGGCTGAATTGAGAGTCTCTGCCGAGTGAAGAGAGCCATACTTTTTAAGGGGCCACCAGAGGCTTTATGAGCTTGATGATAGGTTTTGAGCTCAGCCAGGGGAATGAAACGCTTCATCATCCGAACAAACTGGACATCCACCTACACGAAGACGGGATGAGACAGAGAGACACTTGTAGCCAGACTGTCCACTGTGAGTTTCAGCTGTTTGGAGGTGCCTTTGAGCAGGGCTGCTAGCGCTGTTTTTATCTCCAAGGTCAGAGTAACTTCATCTGCGAAAAAGCTGGGCTCTGCACCTTGACCTAAAAACACCCCACACTATTTTTCTTCCTCCCTTTGTCCATCCTTCCCCCTCTATAAAATAGGAAAAACAGTTTTACCATGGACCATTTGGGGTTGTCTTCTTTGCTGGATGGATCGTAATGGGGATTATTTTTCTCAAACTGTGTGTGGTCTGGGTAAGCCTCCTTCACAATCTGAAACCAAAACCAAGTTTCCAACTGCTTGCCTAAGTAGTAACACAGCCAATCTTTCATCCAGGTTCAACATTCATTTCTGACTCTGCCTACCTGGCTATAATGCCAAGGAGGGCTCAAATAGCTGTAAATACAGTCTAAAGCAAGCATAGATGAGCAATTTTGTTGTGAACAAAGTATTCAAAGCATATTCTAAAACCAGATATTAGTGGCTATTACTGGTGGCATAGTTTTACCCATGTACACAGTTAAAACTAATACAATTGTATCCTTTTAGTTCCTGACTTGGAGGAAGTCAGTTTTGGAGTGAAAGACTCACATAGAAATGGTGATGAGACTTTAACAGGCCTGTCCTGTTAGGAGTCACAGAAAGGGGCCAGGGCAGTTTTTCCACATTCCTATGTCAAGGGTAGAGAGGAAGATACTTCTGTTCTGTTACCTATTTAAGACGGGTGTCTTTACATCCACATGATTAAATCTTCCAGAAGAGAAGAGGAATTCAGACCACAGCCTATACAACTCACCTTCATAAGTCCTGCGATACCTGGCTCTTTGCAGTTGCTATGGTAGAAGAAGGCTTTTTCCTCTAGCCTCATGGCTCTAAGAAAGTTCCGGGCCTGTTAGAGGGAGAAGACACAAGAACTATTCTACTGACTGGAAAACACTACTTTTTAGCAGAAATCAAGAGTCTACTTTTATCAGGGTTTTCCTTTTGTGAAACATTCCAATTCAATTTAATTCTTGCCTTTGCCAAAATATCCATACTTGTACCAGAACAATCAACCTTGGCCAAGAGGTTTGATACTAAGTCAAAAGAAGGTAGCCAGCATTTACCCCACCTTGGCGTCCTGCTCTCACCTGGTAGTTGCGGACACCATCCCAACATGCTGTCTGTCTGGGCTGTGCTTTGAGATCCTCGATGCTGAACTAGACAAGAGGAAGTAAAGTCATTGTGCAATCCTAGGCCGGCTGGTACTACCAAGTACTATGGAAGTATGTAGTTTACTTGGGAAGTGCCTGTGTGGAGCCACTTGAATGAAAGTAAGCCTGTCTTTGCCAGTAAGAGGATTAGTTGAATAGATAATTCAGATGACAAAATAATCTGCAGGCTATCTGCAGCTCATTAAAATATTTGTTCTACAATATTTCTAATTATATTTTCTCCAAATTATTCGCTGGATATATGCCAATTGTTGACATGGAGATATCTAGGAGCATGGAAAGAGAAAGACAAGCTAAGACTGAAATGTTGCCTACATCACAGAATGCAAACTACAGACTTTGGGCCAAATAAATCTAGCACCCTGCTGATTTTGTACACCAAGTTTTATTAGAACACCACCACACAATTTATTTACATATTACAATAGCCTCTTGCTTGGTTACAACAATAGAGTTGCAATAGCAACTGTAACCCCCAGAACTTAAAAGATTTACTATGTAGCCCTTATAGGTTTGTTGACCTCTGCCCTAGGTGGAGTATTCACAAAATAGTTGATGTTAGTAAGCCCCAATTTTATTCATAATTACCTTTCTCCTATCCTTCAAAAATAAGGAGCAGGTGATAGAACCTTGTGGTGTCCCATATTTTAAGAAAACAGTTTGAAGGAACTGGAGACAGGTATGTCTCACCTCACCTTCACATCTACACCTTTCTCTATTCGGCTTTCTGGCTCTGACTTCATCAGCCAGTAGCTGCTTAGACTCTTCTCATCATTTTCAGAGGCTGCAATTTTCTGAGGGCTGGCGTTCTCCACTTTAGCTGATGCCTCACCTATACTCTTAGCTTTTGTACGTTTTCCTGCTGGTCCCTTGTCTGCAATAGGAAAAGCAAGAAGAGACATCTTATGATTGCTAGAACTAACCTTCCAATAGGAGGAAAACATATGCTTTAGAGTCAGAACTGCATTCAAACATCGGATCTCTTGGTTACCAGTAGTAGCTTAACTGCTTAACTTATTACCTATGAAACTGAGAAACAATGCCTGTTGTATGCTTCTGGATTATGCATTCAATGGCAATGGGATAAGAATGCTTTACACGAATGTGACCTGGGATTAAAGGTCTTGCCATTTGTTAAGTATACATGTTCAGTTGTCAATGTTTCCTTTGCTTCACTTTGTATACCTTTGCTGAGGCTATTCTCTCTGATGAGGAAACTGAGCACCATTCTGGGTTTGTTTCGAAGATTAAATAATATCTAAGTCTTAAGAAAGACTTTAGATAGTGCCTTTTATTATAATAAATGTTCATAAACATTGCTTATGTACTTTGTGGCCTGTCTCCCGCTCCTTGCAAGTTAGGAAAAAAACAGCTCATTTGTAGAATAGTAAAGACTGGATTTTATCCTACGAGAATTAAGAGAAAAATGTCGCTAGGACATAGATGATCAATAGCTAACCGTTATTAAATTATAACTATATGCAACCTTAAGCTCTTTATCCAACCCCCTAACTCAATTAATTTATGAGATACTCCGTTTATTTGGAAAATGTGTGAGCGGAATCAGGACCTGTTACTCTGGTCTAATTCTGAGAAGGGGAACTATATATTCTATATATTCTTGACCTTATTACACACCAACATGTTACAGTTCCTACCCCCTCCACCTCACCCTCCCCCTTACCAAACAGTTGAATGAACAAACGAACAGGAGGGATTCTGGGCATAAATCTGATGGAAAAAGTAATGGAAAAGTTGGAAGGCGACTAGGGAGAATGTAAAGGATTCTCCTCACAAGGAACAGAAATTGAACAGTTTAAAACAGACCCTCGAGAAACGTTCTTTACAGAATTGCCTTCTTGCGGTCTAGGTACAACTTACCTGACCCAGCAGCCCCAGCCAATCGCTTTCGGGGTCTTGGCATGTTCTTCCTGCAGGGGGGCTGAAGAGCGAAGATTCTGGAAATCAACAGAGGACTACAAGAGGCAACGCTGTATTTGAGCCCAGTAACCTGCACAGAGCAAGATCTAGACAATGAGAGAAGCTTAGACCCCCAGAGTCACAAAGGTTTTATCGCGAAGACAACTGTAGCTGAGCATCGCAAACATTCTCCCACTTAGCTACTCCTTTCCTTTCCAACTCGCATAACCTGTCCTAAAACTCTCCTCTGTTCTTTTCTTTGCCTTTTGGCGCATTCATCTACCAGTCTCTCACTGCACTGGGGGTCCCTCACCCACCTCGGCAACGCTCAAACGTAAATGCTACGAGCTCACCAAAGCGCCAGGGTCGTGTAATGCCCTCGCCGGCGGGTTGATGACGTCTCACTTTCTCGGAGCTTCCAGGGATCTCTGGGAGTTGTAGTCCTCTTTCCTAGCACAGGCTCGCCTGAACCCGGCAGTGAGAGTAGTTGGGTGCACTACAACTCCCAGGGCGCAGTGCGAGATGGGTTGGAGGACCGTGCTAGAGTGCGCGCCACCGAGGTCAAGGGCTCGCAGACCCTAAGGAAGCTGGAGCGAGTATGCTGCGAAGTGGTTACCTGCTCTTGGGAGCGCAACTGGGCCGCCTGCGCGGTGGTCTCCTGGCCCCAGCCGAGAGTGGCCGCCGGAGCTTGACCTCCTGCATCGATCGTAAGGCTTGCCCCGAGGGTGCACGTGTCCGGAATAAGCCTGCGGGTCTCGGTCTGCGCCCACGGAGTGCACCGTCCCTTTTCGGTGGTTGGCACCGCTGTCACCTCCAGACCGGCCCCCTTACTCCAGCCTGTTACCCCGGCCTTCGCCTCACCCTGGCCCTACCTCCCACTCGAGATAGGCTTCTCGCGCGATCCCGTTACTCCTTATTGGTTACCCCCAATCTGTCTACGTAGCTGACCGTTCCGGGTTAGGTGTCTCTCCAGCCTCGCCTGCCACTCTTTCACTCCCACACCGTCTTTCGGCCGGGGATCTTGTGTTTGAGCTCCTGGCTCTTAAGCTTTGTCCTCCCTCCTGCCAGCCAGATAAGGAAGTTTACTCAGTGTCTAGTGCGACCCCTCATTTTTCAATGGGGATACGGAAACAGGTACACATAAGAGGTGTCTGACTTACTGTAAGTTGTACCACTAATTATCTTAGAACCAGAGTTTCAACTCCGTATTCCTTGTCTGTTCTCAAGTAGGACTGCTGACTCTCTAATAAAGTTTCTAGGTTAGAGTTTTTGGGATTTTTGCTTTTTATACTTGTGCTGCTAAATAGGATTTCCTTATCTCGTTTGGACCCTTTTCCAATTTTTGCTTTCCCATGTTAGTATGTGTGGTTGGTTTCTTGAACTTAATCAGTAACTCGAACAAACTTAGTGATGGGTGGCTTTTGTTTTATTTTCTTTTGTTATTATAGTTGATGTGTTTTGGAAACCTCGAGATTTTTATTTAGTGACCATGGTTTCTTGTGTATAATTTAACTTGCTTTTCCCACATTATTTTCTCCAAACAATGACTTTGTTAGCAGTCCCTTTTCTAAAATTGATTTGTTTATCTGCCTTTAAAAAATGTGAAATTGTGATGTATTTAGTTATCCATATAATTTGCACACAACTATTCCCTGTTATTTTCTTAGGATGCAATTAAAATCTTTTTTCTTAAACCTTTTGTTCTTTGCACTACTTGTTTTAAGAAATAACCATGTACTTGTCAAATCATAATAACTGTATACATTGATTGAGCTTTTGCTAGGACTGAAATTATGTAGCACTTCTCTAAGACAGTAAGATGTTTACTCTATGTCATCCTCTGTAACCCCCAGCACTGCTCCATAGTAAATATTCAATAAATATTCTTTTGTGAATGATCTTTGAGTTATGATCTACAGGAGCAAATTTGTGCAGACAAGTGACCTGATTCCTGGTCCTGGGTACCGTGAAATTTTTTTTAAAGATTTAATTATTTATGCATACAGAACTGGGGTACAGGCAGGAGGTACAGGGGCAGTGAGAGGATTCACCAGAGACAGAGTGGGGAGCAGAATAGGCCGACTGACAAAGTACACTGCTGAGGGGGAGCAGCAGGTGGGTCAGGAGAGGTCTGCTGCGCCCTGTGGATCACCTCTGGGGCTGGGGAATCAAACTCATGCTGAAGTGGCTTTAGCTTCTTAGTGCTGTGCTTTAACCCATTGTGCCACCAGGGAGGGCCCACCATGAATTATTAATCCCTATTCTTGAGAGTAACAACCAACATGGGTTTTGGTCTGTGCTTCTCATTTCTGAGTTTCCTATTTTAATGAGAGTCCTGATACAGGTAATCTTTTGTCCTGGTTCATATACTCAGTGAGTATTGATGCCCAGGTCTGTCCCACAAAAACAGATTGTGCAACCTATCCTTGTTCTTGCCTGGAAGCCATGTGCCTTTTCCACATTATTTTCTCCAAATAATGCCCTCTTGTTCACTCTCAGACACTGAGATAGATTTTTGTTCAGTGTGCTTTCAGTCTTTTATTGTTCATTAGCTTCACCTCACTCATAATGATCATATGTTTAGCACTGAAGGATAAAGTCTTAGGAGGTAATATAGAGCCCTACATTTCCTTTATTCTCCTCTTAACACTTATATGAGGCACTATGTACCTCAGTGTTTTCACCACCATTAAGACAGTTATGATGTTTTTTTTTTTTTTTTCCTTAGCAGCGTACCTGAGGCAGGTGGTCCTTTCAAAATGGCAGTACAAAGACAACAAAAGAGAAATATATGCAAAAAATACAAATCTTATTCATCTTGTCCACATTGCTGAACATGTAGTTGGGTGCTAGTTCCCAAGATTTATGTTTTTAATATTTTCTAAATTCTTTATCCTCAAGCAGTTGTTTTTCATAGTTTTACTTAGGTGGTTTACTTCTAGCTGTCTCTCACTTGAAATCTGTTATTAATCTTCGCAAACATTAAACATATTTTAGACCTCAGTTAATTACATATTTGACTTACAGCTCTGTTTTCCAATATATCTTTGTTTCTTTGTAGTTTTTGAAAAAATATGTTAAAAAAAAGTGTTCATGCCATTAAGATGACAGGCTATTTAAAGAAAATTTGTAAAGTGATGATACAGGTTTCTCCCACCATCCTAACAAAGGGAAGAGTGTTCCAATTAAACTGTCATAAGCTAAAAAGAAGCAGTTACCACTAATTTATATGAAAAAAAAATTAGCACTCCCAATAGCAATCTTCCTAATAGCAACTAACACAAAACCCCTAAACTCATCCTAACATATAGTGAAAGCAGGGATAATATGACAAATATCTGAGTTCCTGTGGTGCTGGGGAATTTGTGGCACTTGGTAGGGTCACATTGCCAGCCTGGGGTGCACACTGCCTCGGCAGTAGCTGCTGCAAGACCAACACTGATATGTAAACCAATGTTATTTTCACTTTTTTGCCTTCTGTCATAAAAGTAAAGCTCCTACTCTGATTTCTTGGGTTATGGAAAACAGGTACGAATACAGGTCTTTAGTAAAAGTGAAAGGGCATACGGTGAACTTGCAAAAAGCAGGGGATAACTAAATTGTGAATTGGATAATCGCTCTGTTTCATGAGGAGATTATAGACATTTTTCTCCTAAGGAATATTACCTCTGATAATGTACCTTTATAATGTAGTTTTTTTCTTCATAAGATGTATTAGAATCTAGAGAAACTTCAGTAAATCTTCACTATCTCCCTGCTGGTGTCATTAAAGCCATTCATTGTTCTTAGCTTTTTTTTTAAAAGATTTATTTGTTCATACAGAACTGGGGGTACAGGCCAGAGAATCGGAGGGTGAGAGGGTTCACCAGAGACAGAGTGGGGAGCAGAACAGGCAGATCGAGAAATACACTGCTGAGGGGAGCAGTGGGCGGGCCAGGAGAGGTCTGCCACGCCATGTGGATCTCCTCCGCCATGTGGATCTCCTCCGGGGCAGGTGGGGATCGAACTCATGCGGAAGTGGCTTAAGCTTCTTAGTGCAGTGATTTAACCCACTGCGCCACCAGGGAGGGCCCGTTCTTAGCTTTTTAGTATTCTAGGCCCAGAAGTATAGGAATTACCAAAGTCAACTGTTAGGTATTAGAATAGAAAACAGATTAACAAGACCTGGGAAACTTCGCTTTATCATCTGTGTTGTAAAGGAATGTCTGAGCTTGCCAAATAAATGACCTTATTATAGGATCTTTTCCTTAATTTGGAAGGTAAGTAAAAGTACACTTAGCTTCCTTTCCCAATTGATTTTTTTTTTTTAAATGAACGTGTTGACGGACAACCACTAGTAGGTTGACTTAGATAGGGCAAGGATTGTCCAGAATATCAATACAGAAAAGGTAGGACATCATACAGAAAACAGCAACAGCAAAACATTTACCATTATATGATGGTCAATGGTGTGTTTATTTATTTTAAAAGATTGATGTATATATGCATACAAGAACTGGGGTACAGGCCAGAGGTGCGGGGATGACAGGATTCACCAGAGACAGAGTGGGGAGCAGAACAGGCAGATTGACTGAAATACACTGCTGAGGGGAGCAGCCAGTGAGACAGAGGAGCTCCCAGGCCAGGGATTAAACTTGCTACCGAGGCTGTGGATAACTTCATAGTGCTGCGCTTAAACCTGTTACGCCACAAGGAGGGTCTTATGTGTCTATATTTAATGTGGATTTATGAGGAAGAGATAAAATGTATTGAAAAGAGCATAAATAACGCTAGCCAGTTCCCTTGGCCATAACGGAGAAGAGGAAGAGGTGTACCGCAGCTTCTTACTGGTGGATGTGGCCATTCTCTGGGCTTTCAAGGCTGCACTGTGTCCTGGTGTGTGGTGTCTCCTGTTTGCAGTGTTATTTCTTGTGCCCTGTCCTGGAACTGAACACACATCATTTTGACCCACGGCTTTTTTTTTTTTTTTTTGCATTGATTTTTTTCTTACGTGTTATAGCCCCCATAGTTCTCAATGCCACTGTATCACCCATGAACCACCACCCTATTTCCTTATGTTCCCTACCCTATTTTGCCCCCCACCCCTTGCTGTGCGCTTCAGCCTGCTAGTTTTGACTTTTCTTGACCTTTTGTTTGGTTTCTCTATCTCCCACCTATAAGTGAGACATCTGATATGTGTCGTTTTCTTTCTGACTTATTTTGGCTAGCATAATCCCTTCCATCTCTATCTGTGTTGCCACAAATGGCATGTTTTTTTTTATTGCTGAGTAAATACTCCATTGTATAAATATACCATAACTTTTTGATTCATCTGTTGACCTACAGCTTCCATAGGTCTAAATGAAGAGCAGAAAGAATTTCAGAAAGTGGCCTTTGCCTTTGCTGCCCAGGAGATGGCGCCAAATATGGCAGAGTGGGACCAGAAGGTAGGAGTTTTCCTGTGCCTCATTTGATGATCCTTCTATCTCCTAATTTCCAGATTCTTCAGTGTTTAATCTCCACTTAACAACCCTTCCTGCAAATGAGCATATTGGTAATTGCCTGATTTCGTTTTATAGGAAGCATCCTCATTATCTTGTAAATACCTTTAAAAAAAATTGCACAAAGATTTGGACATTTGAGGGCCCTCCCTGGTGGTGCAGCAGGTTAACAGAAGCCACTGTACTACAAGTTTGACCCCCAGCCAGGGAGGTGACCCACATGGCATGGCAGACCTCTCCTGACATGCCCACTGCTCCCCTCAGGATTGGATTTCAGTAGATTTGCCTGTTCCATTCCCCACTCTGGTGAATCCTCTCACCCACCACACCTCTGGCTTGTACCCCAATTCTGTAAGCAAAAATAAATAAATCTTAAAAAAAAAAAAAACAAAAAACTGGACACTTGAAACCAAGAAAGCTCTTTGATATACAAAAAAAAAAAAAAAAAAAAAAATTCAATGCCAAAAAACTAGTCTTTGGAGAATGTATGTAAACTACTACCACATAGATGACAAGCATATTAAGAAACTTCCTACACCCTCCCAAATGCAAGCATCTCAAGCTTTCACTGTACCTCTAAAAAAAGAGTCCATCTGTGACTGGTGTCCCTACTCTCTTTGGTACATAGGAGCTCTTCCCAGTGGATGTGATGCGGAAGGCAGCCCAGCTAGGCTTTGGGGGTGTCTACGTACGAACCGACGTAGGTGGTGCTGGACTGTCACGGCTTGATACCTCTGTCATCTTTGAAGCCTTGGCTACAGGCTGTACCAGCACCACAGCCTACATAAGCATCCACAAGTAAGTGCCCAAGCCAGAATGCACAATCAAGTGCTCTTGTGGGTTGATTGGGAAATTTCAGATAAATAGGGAACTTGTCTTCCAGGTTTAATTATCCTTGAAGAGCTAGACTATTTTGAAGCAGGCCTTTCCTTTAATGTTAATTCTTCTCAATGGTGACTTTTCCCTTTCACTCTCTCAATGCTTCACTCAGCTTGACTGCCTTTGCTCTCTTTCTTTCTCCTCCTCACTCAAATTTCCTTTTCTTTTTTGTCTTTATGTCTGTCAATGTTTTTTCTTCTTGGTGTACCTGTCAGCATGTGTGCCTGGATGATTGATACCTTTGGAAATGAGGAACAGAGACACAAATTTTGCCCACCACTTTGTACCATGGAGAAGTTTGCTTCCTACTGCCTTACTGAACCAGGTGAGTTTGCCAGTCCACAGGCAAGAGTGGTTACTCTGTATTCACTGATCACTTCCTCGTCTGTTGAAATACACAATGGCTCACCGAGAAGTTTGCTTATGGTGTAAGAGTCTGTGGCCTGATGACACAGGCTTTAGAGGCCTGTATGGCAGAGGCTTTTTGAGCACAAACCAAACCCTCTTTGCAGGTGCTCACTGCAGGCTGACATATGATGTGCTTGCTTTTAAGTGTTTTTCACCAAGTACAAAGAATCCTTTTTAAGATTTATTTATTTGTGCATACAGAACTGGGGTACAGGCCAGAGGTTCAGGGGCGGTGAGAGGATTCACTAGAGACAGATTGGGGGAACAGAACAGGCAGATCGACGAAGTACACTGCTGAAGGGGGCAGCAGGCAGGTTAGGAGAGGTCTGCCGTGCCATGTGGATCACCTCCGGGTCTGGGATTGAACTCTTGCGGAAGTGGCTTTAGCTTCTTAGTGCTTTGCTTTAACCCACTGCACCACCAGGGAGGGCCCCCATTTGGATTTTTATTGGCTCAAACGGAACAGTTGTTAATTTAGGCAAGACTTCCTAACTTAAACCTTCAATTTCTCTGGCTTTCTCCCCTTCTGCTCCCTTCTGATCGTGCCTTAGGAAGTGGAAGTGACGCTGCATCCCTTCTGACATCAGCTAAACGACAAGGAGATCATTATGTCCTCAATGGCTCCAAGGTACTGGCATATTTCCCTCCCAGAAATACAGGGAGGTTGTTCCTGTCTTCTTGATGTTGTTGCCTACCTACATCCTCTCTATTGACAAGTTGATATCCTCATAGGATTTGTACACACAGGGAAGAGAACCTTTAACCCATTTCACTTGGTTCATTGTCACTGTTTTTATCTCTCTTGATCTGATTCCAGATAGTTTCATTCATTTTTGTCTATGGCTCTTACAGTCTCATCATCTAGACCCCAGATGCCCCAGTCAATGTAGATGCTTCCCTGACCCAGCCCCACTTAGTATTCCTATGCCCTTATACTTCCACTGTCCTGTAATTGGGAAGAATCAGTTATTTTCCCAGATGTCAGGCTCTGCGAATTGATACATCCCTGATCACTATGCACTTCCTTTCTGTCCCCTCAGGCCTTCATCAGTGGTGGAGGTGAGTCAGACACCTATGTGGTCATGTGCCGAACAGGGGGACCTGGCCCCAAAGGCATCTCATGCATAGTTGTTGAGAAGGGAACCCCTGGCCTCACCTTTGGCAAGAAGGAAAAAAAGGTAAGTGGTTATTAGATGAAGCAATTTAAGTTCTGAGACTCTGCCACCTACCAGACCAGCCCCTGCTCTATTTCAAGAAATAGGCTTGCCTTGGGAGTAATTGCTTCTGTGAGGATTTCAGCAGAAGCATATGACATAGGATAGTAGATTTTGTGAATCAGTTCCACAAGTGGCCTGTGGTTTATTGTAAGGGATTTCTCTGCCATCTCTTCTGTCTTCCCTTAGGGCCTGTATTTCTTATTTAGCTTCTAATTTTGATGTACTCTGTTATCTCAGGAAGATATACTTTTGGAAGACCGACTATTGACCAAAAGTCTCAGTAATAAAAGCATACAGGCCATTTTTCTCCTTTAAATAAAAACAACGTAAACTCATTGTAGGTGATTGTGGGTATTTTGGTAAAGTAAAAGGGAGAGTGTTTCCCTAGGGACCTTCAGTAAGACATTTCTAGAAATAAGACATTCCACAGCCATACTGTTACCAGCAGAACTATAACTGGTGATAATGTAACTGTAACTGGTGACAAGGGTGAGACCGATCAGATTTGTTAGGACAAATGAGCAGGACAGTCATCTCCCCCTAAAGTGCAGTGATAGTTGAGACTTTGGGGTAGAAGTTAAGTAATGACATGACCTTTAAATGTACTTCTCTTTTCATAGCTTCTAGGGCTTTCCTGCACAACCTTAGTGATCCTTTGGAACTCCTTTGCCTAGAAGTGATAAGTTTTAGTGCTACCTTTTATAGCACAGTAGGTATTTACTAGGCACCTACTGTGTACAGAACCTCATGCAGCTCCTGGAGGTTATATAAGTTACTCCTAGCCTTGTTTGGAATTCTAAGACATCTTCTGTCTTATATAAATAAGACATATAGGCCTTGTATGTAATCTGCAAGATAATATAGCTCTAGGGTTTTTTAATCCTAGGAATGGCTGTTTGAAGTAATAAAACATAAACTGATTTAAGTAGTCTGAGACCTGATTTTACAGGGTGAAATTACACTGATTCAGTTGTTTGTGCTAAAGAAAGTGGTGATTGTCTTAGCACACATTGGTAGAATCCATCTCAATATTAGAGTCTGTTGACAGAACAATAAGCTTAGTGCCTGGCATATAATAGCAAATAAGTTCTATAAACAACTTTAACTCATTTTCTCTTTCTCTGCTCTCACTTCTAAACATGCGTATTTTTTTATTCACATCTTTGTTTTCTTTTTTTATAGTTTTGCTTTAGGCATTTTTTAATGAAAGAGAAATTTGAAACATCTGTCTCATCATTCATTACATAGCTAATGAGTGCCCTCTGTGTACCAGAAACTTCTGGGTAATGGGATTGGGCAGTGACCAAGAAAGACTATCCTCTGGTATTTGCACTTTATTGTCAGGGAGTACTGACACATGAGTAAGGAGGACCTTCTGTTAGTATCTCGGTGCTAAGATGGATATTAAAGGGGCTATGATTTGACACTAATTAGGAGAGTTTCATCAGATGGGGATGAACTCTCAGGTCATGGTGCCTGAAAGGAAATCTGAAGTATTAGAAACCAACTGTGAAAAGAATTCTGGGCAGAGATAATAGTAGATCACCAGGGTTTAAAGAAAAAAAGGTCATTCTTACCTGAGGCATGTGATGACTAGAGAGGCAGGTGACTGCAGGCCAGGTGAGGAGTTACACATTGGTCCTCAGAGGAGTTGTGGCTTCTGTGGTCTCTCAGGCAGCTGGCCTGTCTCCTGCTCCAAGGCACCATTTCCTCCAGGCCTGGGCTTTGACTTGGCATATTTCACACATTATTTAACTGAAAGTTTTAAGTCCCTGGTTATACATTAACTTTATGAGAAAGTAATGAGGACTTGCTTTGTCCTGGGCTTAGTTACTCAATGTTTTGTATACAATGAATTTTTTTCATGAAAGGAGTAGAAGTGAGAACATATGGAAGGGAGTGTGGAGATAAGGAGGGTTGGAAGACGAGACTGGTGGAAGGCATGGGCTCTGGTAGTGGTCAGTGATGCAGGGCCTTCAGACAGGACAGGGGTCAGTTATCTGTTCTCAGTGGCTGGGCTTTCCCCTAGGGACTCTGACAGGATCAGAGAAAGAATCCTCTCTGCATTGGGGACGATGGTAATTTTCACATACTGGATGAGATGGTAGAAATTAAGAGGTAGCAACTCTTTGCATTTGGTTCTTTTATAATTAGATATTGTTAACAACTTCATTCCATTCTTGCTTTCAGGTGTCCATATTCTAGTTGGAGAGGTAAGTTCCCAGGCCAGTACAGTTGACCCTTGAACAATGCTGGGGGGTTCCAAGTGCCAAACACCCATTCCCCCCGATCCCCAACCCCCCGCCCACTTAGTGGGAAATACATGTATAACTAAACTTGGCCCTCTGTATCTGTGGGTTCGACATCTGGGAATTCAACTGCTGAAATCTGAGGTGGGTTGAATCTGTGATTGTTGAACCTGTAGGTAGAAAAAAATATCATCACCTCACAGTAGACCCCTACAGTCAAACTCATTTTGTTCAAGGGCCAACAATGTTGGGAAGTTTTAGACTTATGGTAGAGACTATGGGTGTCTAGAAGAGAACAAGAGCAGTGTTGGCTCAAGTGACCAGGGACATCTCTGGGCATTTCATCTGAGATGTTGATGGAGGCTGGGCGCTGGGCAGTGTTGCCCCTGGAAGGAGAAGAATAAACAAAGTTAAAAATCTCAGCGGCAAAGCATGCAGATCATTTTGACTAAAGTTGAGAATGCTTACTGGTGATTGATAGGCGAGAAGACTGTGGGGAGATGTGGGCTAAATATTTAGAACTTAAAAGGTCAGAGAATCAAATTTCTCTTACCACCCGAAGGGAATGATTGAAAGTGATGTATTGGGAAATGGTAGCGATGTGAACTCAGTAGTGTTTCCAGAGCTTTAGGCAACTGGGAGTTTTCAGATAGTCTTGAGGTTTTAAAGTCTGGCCCACCAAGCATCAAAGTTCTTTGAAGCCTTGGAATATTTGGAAGGAAAAGTGAAGTGAGTCTGAATGTACTTGTAGGAAACCTGGAATAAGACTATTTAAAGACACTGTCTATGGTTTTTAGTGCAGCTCCCTTTTATACAGCCGCCTGTATAAAAAGACAAAGGTTACAGTTATTAGGTCAGTATGGACTTGTGAATGACATGTTCAAGGCAAAACCCTCATGTGTAGTGTTGGCCTATTTATAAAACAAGCAATCTTTCTATTGTATGCATTTTCTGTCAAAAAAAAAAAAAAAAGTACTCATAGGCATCAGTTCTAGACATCAAGACTGTCCTAGTCCTAAAACAATGCGAAAAACATTTTTGGATAGGTTTGTCTGTGTACTGACAAATACTCACATCTGAACTTTTCATTTTTTCCCTCACTTTAAGTTCTCAGGGTCTCAGTCCCAGGCTGAGGGAACATCTGTGCTTCATAGGCTCTTGGGCCCCAAGCGCGCCCCAAATGGTGAAGGCACAGTCACTCAATCCATGATTTTTGCCAGGTCGGGTGGAACTCACAGCCAACCCGAGCTGTGATCTTCGAAGACTGTGCTGTCCCTGTGACCAACAGAATTGGGAATGAGGGGCAGGGCTTCCTCATTGCCATGAAAGGATTGAACGGAGGCCGGATCAATGTTGGTGAGGACGCAAAGGGGTAGGTGAGGGAGGTGGTGGGCCCAGGTGGTGGAGGGCCCTAGCTTGGCTGAGTTGACATGTTGACACTCTTCCTTTCTAGCTTCCTGCTCTCTGGGGGCTGCGCACGCCTCCGTTGTCCTCACCAGAGACCACCTAAATGTCCGGAAGCAGTTTGGAGAGCCTCTGGCTAGTAACCAGGTAACTGCCCCAGGTGGCTGCATTCACCCACTGTGACCCCTGAACTGCCTGGAGTAGGGCTGCATTCACCCAGTGTGACGCCTGCTGTGTGGACCCATTCTCTGAAAGTGAGGTTATGGGACTCAGCCAGAAGCTCTGCTCTGTTTCTCTGAGAGTCTTTTAGGGAGGCAAATTATATTGAAGTGCAGAACAAGCAGAGTGGATTTCGAACATGAGGACGATACACCTTCTCAGTAGACCAGGCAAGGGCTTTAGAGCTTCGGGTCAGGTGGGCAAGGTGCCTTAGCTGCGCTCTTATGGGAGGCCCATGTCAGGTGCTGGTGTAAACCAGGCGGTTGAGTCTGCTCTCTTCTGCCCTCTTGCAGTACCTGCAATTCAAACTGGCTGACATGGCAACAAGGCTGGTGGCCTCACGGCTGATGATCCGCCACGCAGCAGTGGCTCTGCAGGAGGAGCGGGAGGATGCAGTGGCGCTGTGCTCCATGGCTAAACTTTTTGCTACGGATGAATGCTTTACTGTAAGTGATGGCGCCCTCGGCCTGCCAGACGGCACCTATTAGGTCTAGGGTGTCAAAAGTCAACTGGAAGTCACTAGGAATTTCCTCAGGTTAAAGGTTATTAACTTTTTTTTTTTTTTTAAGATTTATTTATTTATGCGTACAGAACTGGGGTACAGGTCAGAGATGCAGGGGCGGTGAGAGGATTCACCAGAGACAGAGTGGGGTACAGAACAGGCAGATCGACAAAGTACACTGCTGAGGGGAGCAGCAGGTGGGTCAGGAGAGGTCTGCCTCGCCATGTGGTCACCTCCGGGACAGGCGGGAATCGAACTCATGCGGAAGTGGTTTAAGCTTCTTTGTGTTGTGCTTTAACCTGCTGCGCCACCAGGGAGGGCCCTATTAACTTTTTTTTTTAAGATTATTATTGCATATAGAAGACCCACATGGACACTCCGACAGCTGGCTTTTTACCTGCTCCAGCCCACTCTACACTTCATTCTGTCAGAGGTTTGGTTGGGTTCTAATGAAACTCTTGTTTTCAGAGGCTTAGAGAAGCTTTGACTTTTCCTCAAATTTAGCATTCTGTGTGCAGATCAGGGCCATGTCTGCCTTTGGGCCCCTTCACCACTAGATGGCAGCTTAGCTTCATATAATCCCAGCCGACATGGCTGTGAGCAGCTTCTCCCCTGAAGGAAATAAGCAAGAAATGACAGCTTTCTGACCACATTAAACACAGAGCCCCTCTTTGGAATTGGATGGTTATCTGTAGGATTTTGGCATCTGATAGGTTGGGGGCTGGGGTGGAGAGAAGCTACTTGTTATTTCTGAAATCAAAGCAGTCCAGTTGCTGTCTCCCTGCAGATCTGCAACCAGGCCTTACAGATGCATGGAGGCTACGGCTATCTGAAGGACTATGCTGTTCAGCAGTACGTGCGGGACTCTCGGGTCCATCAAATCCTGGAAGGTAAAAATTGCCACAGGTGATGTCTTCTTTTCAGAGCCGTTACCACTTGCCCAGCCTGCTTGTCCCCATGCTGACTGGGTCTCAGGGTCGCAGCAGGCCCAGCAGTCTCTGGCTGCCTCCTTCTGACCCTGCTCTGGGAGAGCTTGTTGGCCTTGTCCAGAGAGCTTGAGCCTGGGAGTCAATGGCTCTTCTTGGTCTCCCTGGGCAAGTCACTGAATCACTCTGCTTCTGCTCTTTCACTCATAAATTTTAGAGAAGGCTCAGACTGAGATAATATACGAGAAGACATTTTGAAGATGACATTAGTGATTATTCCTTACCACTCTAAAATGTTTGGACCTCAGGGATCCCTGAAATTCTGTGAAGTAATTCAAGGGCAAATTTGAGGCAATTCAATCACTAGCAACTCCACAACTTATCAGCTGGATGTTCTAAATGGCATCTCTGTCAATACTGCTAATGAATTTTCAGCACAGCAAACCAGCACCAGCTAAGGCGTGTCCAACTCGGACCAGAAAGTATGTAAATGCCTAGAGTTGAACTCCAGCCAACGCTCCTCTACTTCCCACTCCAGCACGGACTTCTGCTCCAGCTAGTGAAACCCACTGGCGCTCTGGCACTGCAGGAAAAGCAGGTGGCGTGGAGGCTTGTCTCGGTGACTTCTGGTGGAGTAATGTGGGGCTGCTTTAAGAGCAGAGGAAGGCCTGTGAGCAGTGAGCAGGCCTTGTTTCATCATGGACTTTGTTATTGGATAGATCTAAAATGTTAGGTTTGATTTTGAGATATGTGACTTCTCCTTCCTCACAGGGAAGGGGGTGTCATAATTCTTTTGACTTTAAAGACCACTGTAAAATTGAAGCAAAACAGCTGACCCCCTTCTTTCAAGTTGTTATTCTTTTAAAATTCCAGTTTTTGGTTACCAAGGAAATGTGGCATATTGATTGTTGAAAACTTATAAGGCATTTAAAAAAGTAAGAAAAATCACTTGTGTCTATACTGAGAATTAATATTTTGTTTTACTTTTTAAAGATTTTGCTTATTTTTATTTAGAAGAACTGTGTGTAGGAGGTGAGAGGATTCACTAGAGACAGTATGGGGAGCAGAACAGGCAGATCTGAAATACACTGCTGAGGGGAGCAGTGGGCAAGACAGGAGAGGCCTGCTGCGCCATGTGGGTCACCTCCTTGGCAAGGTATCAAACTCAGGCCCTTGTGGGGCCCCACCAGGGAGGCCCTAGAAGTAACATTTTGTATGCCTTTTCTATTTAAGTCTAAAATTGTCTCCTCTTGGAAATTTTTTTTCTGTGTTGTTGTAGGTACATCTTCGTAATGCCTTATATTCTACTTTTTAAAAACCTATAATAAACATCTTCTTAAGTAATATATTAACATATATCCAATATATCCAAAACATTTTTATTTGAAAATATAATCAATATAAAAAATGTATCAATGAGCTATTTATCTTTTTTTAAGGTAGTATTTGACATTTAATGTGAAAAAGAAGTTTTTCAAACAATAAATTAATTTCTTACTTCCTGATGTCTTTCTGCGTGTTAGAGTGTTCTGTGAAAATCCTTACTCTTGAAGGGGTGGAAGCAGTGGCTTGACCGCCACAGCTGCCCTGAGCCAGGCCGGGAGCACCTTGGACTAGTGTTTGACTGAAGTCTTGGTGTGGCAGATAATAAACCTTCACTCTTTCTCCTTCTTGCAGGTAGCAATGAAGTGATGAGGATGTTGATCTCTCGAAGCCTGCTTCAGGAGTAGCCCACACATCTCATGTTCCCACTTGCTGCTCCATGTGCAGCTCCAGTAGGTATGAGTGGTTCCACCTGCACTGTTCTGTGACATGTGGATCATGGATGAGGTGGAAGAGGTGAACTCTTCCCTCTGTGTCTTTGCAGCAGCATAAGCTTGGGGACAGGACAGAGTCCTCCGTAGAACTGGGGGAACTGCCTGGCTGATATCACACGAAGGCACACTACTTGTTTTCCTGCTTCAGAAAGGCCACAGTGAAGATTCACCACCAAAACCAAGTCCTGTTTTGGCTATAGATTGTCTTGATTTGTCTGCATTTTCTTGGTTCACCAAGTCCCTCTTCCAGAGGTTGGGGTACTTCCTTTGTGGGCTGTAAAGCAAAAGTACGGGACAAGAGAGCGGAGGCCATTCTGTCTTTCTCTGTCCTCTGTTCCTTAGCTAGCACTGCAGAATTTGTCAACCACACTTCCGCTAGAACACTCCTCAGACTGAAATCATGATAAAATTAGTCTTTGGGAAACCTCCACTCTTACACAGTGATGTGGGATGTATCTCCATTTCTGGACCACCTGGGTATCAAGGGCTGAGATTATTTGGAACTTTGAATATTTATTGTTGTTTTATTTGTGGAAGCTGTGGCCTGGGAATGGTGTTCAGAGTTTCTATGCAATTCTTCATGATCAGAACTTTGAGTATATTTTCTTCTGAGTTTTTGTTTTCTGTTTTGAAGTTCTCTTTTTAAAGATTTTTAATCATAACATTGATAAATAAAATCTATTCTCTGCAATGTCAACTAACGTTTTTTTATTTTATCTTTCTAACTAAACCTTTATATCAATTAAAATATTTTTCATTAAACATTTGACTAGATTTTGGAAAAACAAAAATTTCTCCTTCACACTGACTTTTAAAAAAGTTCCTTTAAGTTACTAATCACTTTGCAAACTAAGCGGTGTTTATGATTTATGGAAGCAGACTTGAAGTAATGAGAACGTTTTGGATAACCCTGTTACAAATGATGGTTACATTACTCCCCCTCAGCTCTAGAGACAAAATTATCCAAGATACTTTGTGAACTACAAGTCATTGTTTAGAGAGACCAAGATATGCATCTTTAGCTACAAGACATTTTTTTTTTTTTTTAATGCATGCTCTTATGTGGGGAATTGTGTGGGGCATTTCAGGGGACAGGGTATGAGTACCCTACAAAACCTAAGATGTTTCTTTCTTCCAAGCCTCATTTGAATAGCTGTAGTGGAAGGTGTATTCCTGGTGCAGCTCTATTTGACATTGTTGTTCTTTCCAGCCAGCTGTAATGAGGGCATTGGAGCTTTCTCAAGCGTTTGTATAGCGCTATAAAACAGTATCCCCCAAGACAGCCTCCTGACTCTTACCCAGCCCTACCATACTAACATCTCAAGCCTCTCTCACAAATTCTGGTCATTTTACAGAAAATCTGGAAGTACCAGTGTTTTCCATTTTCTTTGTAAGCCAGTCTAAAGGGATGTAAAATTCTTCCATCAGACTTTAAGGTTGGCAGAGTCATAAGTATGTCTGATTTATCTCTTTGTCCTTGGTGCCTTCCCGATATTTAGTAGAACCTCAACAATTACTGGACAAATAAAGAAAGATAGTAAAAATGCCATTATCATCAATGTGAAACTAATGGTAGCTGCTGGCAAATCTCATGCAGGAACAGGCAAGACACATGGTCAAAAGCCAACCTAGTGGACACAAATACTCACAGAGACCTGAGGGATACATGGTTTGTGAAAAGGCAAACAGGTCTTACTCTGTAAGCCCATGTACTCTGTAGCATTCCTGAAATAAAGCCATGTTAAGGGTGGAAAATGGGTTAGTGGTGACTGAGGATTAGTTTGGGGGGAAGAAAGAGTGTGGGTAAAGGAAGCGTGTGGTGAGGGGGCAGTTCTGCATTGTGATTATGGTGCAAGTTACGAGAAGCCACAAATAGGATATAACTGCATCAAACTGCACGCAGATGTGCAAATGGGTGTGTGTAGAACCCGTGGGATCAGACCAATCCCATGAAGAGCACCACTGTCAGACTTGTGTGAAATCGTGCACTTGGCAAGGTTCTAATAGTGGGGAAGGAGGGATGAGGGGTGCTCTGGACCTCGATGCACATTTCTTTGTATAACTTTCCTGTGAATCTGTGATTACATCAAAAAAAATATGAAGTAATCCTTTGCAGACCTAGAGCCTACCACGGACAATACCAGAGTAGTCTTTAGTCCCTGCACTCCTCCAGCTTGTTTAGGTGATGGCGCCTTGGGTGTGGGGGTGAGGATAGACATGGGGATGGGAGATGAGGCAGGGGAGAGAAGTGTTGAGAGGACATAGGGCAGCAGTGGGTCAGGTGCTTTCGACTGGACATTAACTTTCAGGCCCAAGGTCATACCTGAAATTCAAATCCAAGAGTAGAGTGCAGAAAACCCAGCTCACAGATAGCTCTCAGGAGATGGCGAGATGGCTAGGAGTCAGAGAACCACAAATCTCTGAGATTTTTGTCCTTCCCTACAAGCAGTGTTAACTCTCACAGTGGTGTGTGCCAAGGAACTGGAGTGTGTTCTTTCCCCTACATCTCTGCAGGATTCAACTTTTAAAAAAATAATATATTTTTTCACATATATATATGACATCATTGTTCAGTTTCATATGTTTGCTTTTTTTTCCACAGGTGTAGTCCCCATAGAATTTCCATTACCCAGCACCTTCCCTGGTGATGCAAGAGGTTGAAGCACAGCATTATGGAGCTATCTATCCACAGCCAGTGCAGCATGAGTTCAATCCCCAGCCAGGGAGGTCATCCATATGGCGTGTCAGACCTCTCCTGACCTGCCTGTAGTGTATTTCAGTCAATCTGCCTGTTTTGCCCCCCAGTCTGTCTCTGGTGAGTCCTCTCAATGCGCCCTCCCCCTTGCCTCTGGTCTGTACCCCAGTTCTTGTATGCATAAATAAATAAATCTTTTTTTTTTTTAAGGTTTATTTATTTGTGCATACAGAACTGGGGTACAGGCCAGAGGCTCAGGGGCGGCGAGAGGCTTCACCAGAGACAGAGTGGGGAGCAGAACAGGCAGATCGACGAAGTACACGGCTGAGGGGAGCAGCGGGCGGGTCAGGAGAGGTCTGCCACGCCATGTGGTCTCCTCCGGGGCAGGCGGGAATCGAACTCATGCGGAAGCGGCTTTAGATTCTCAGTGCTGTGCTTTAACCCGCTGCGCCACCAGGGAGGGCCCAATCTTTTTTTTAAAAGAAAGAATTTCCATCACCAAGTCACCCATGCACTATTACCACAGTCCTTTATGCTCTTCCCACCCCTGCTTTGATCCTTCCCCTCCCTACTTCCCTGCAGAATGTCTGATTTATAGTTGCCTGTTAAATTTTTTGTTATAAATTTTTGCATGTTGATCACTGCACTTGTTCCTCTTCATTCAGGAGGGCTCCACCTGCAGGAAGTGGTTTCCTTTCTTATATATTCACTCAACAAATACTCTGGAGAGCCTAGAGTGTTCTGGGTGATATACTAAATGATGAATACTGTCCCTCTTAGGGATAGATGTGAAAATATAAACTAACCAGTCACTTCAATTTTGATAAGTACCATGAAGGAAACAGACATGGGCCTGGAAAACAGACAGTGTGTGTGTGTGGGGGGGAGGCTGGGTATGAGTTTAGGAAAAGAACAATTTAGGGATGAGAACCTAGGAGGCAACACTTTGTGGGGTGGGGTGGGGGAGAGAAAATTCCATATGTACTAACCTCAAATCAGCAGAGACTGATGTGAGTGAGGCAGTGAAAGCAGAGTGGAAAGACTGCAGGGCAATAATGAGAGGGGGGTTAGGAGAAGGATAGGAAGGGGTTGAGGGTGAGAGGGGCCAGTGGACCAGATCGCTGGGACCTGCCGGCCAGAGTGCGGCCCAGGCTCAGCCATGGTGACTATTAAACAAGTGAGTCATTTGGGTTTTTTTTTTAATTGAAGGCCAAATAAGTGCTTGGTGGTCCTCCAGAGGGCCAAGGAACTCTTGAGAAAGGATTTATTCTATTCATTTGGATTTTTATTTTCAGTGTTCAGAGAACCCCTCAGATGGAATTTTGTAGGGGAAAGAGTAAGGTGATTTGACCATTGTCTTTTAAGATGATTGTTTTGTGGAGGCAAGACTGGAGGAGGACAGGAATGGGGTTAGGAGAGTAAAAGCAGTGTCACCCACTTTCCCTATGTTTCGATATTCTGCTTCTTAAGGGAAGTTGGCTTTCCCATTTTGTGTTTTGGATAGCAAGGAAAAGGAGAAAGGAGAACATGCCCCTGGTTTCCCTAGCACTGTCTCCCTTCTCTCTCCTCCGCTTGAGTAGTAGCTGTTGGCCTCACTCACACTTGCCAGCTTACTTGGTAGCTAACACTCCCCTGATTTGTAAGCTAACGTGAACATCTAGGAGACTTTGTTCCTAAATTACCATTTACTGTGAATAATCCAAATATTAAGAGGATGAGATTTTATTCACTTATTGACTAGATTGCATTTTTACTTTGTTTTTTAAAAGTATGAGGTGTACATGTAGAAGTCAAATTGTGAAAAGACACAGAAGAAACTTAAATGCATATTAAGCAAAGAAGTCAACCCCCAAAGGACACACACTGTATAATTTCAACTGTAGGACACTCTGGAGAAGGCAGAAAGACAAACAGTGAAAGACCAGGGGTTGCCTGGAGTTAGGGGTGGTGGGTGGGGTGAAGGGTGGAGCACAGAGGCTTTTAGGGCACTGAATATAGCGTGGGTGGTACTATAATGGTCATTATATCTTTGGCCAGTGTTCACCAGTAAGAGCAAATCCTGACACAGACTGCAGATGTAGGAGATGGGGGTGGGGGTGGGGGCTCAAAGCAGGGTCTTGGATTATAACAAATGTGACATTCTGTGTGGGGGACGCTGGTAGTGGAGAACACTGGGGTGTGGATGTTTGTCAAACGTCTATCTCCCTCTCAATTTTGCTGTGAATGTAAAACTGCTCCAGAAATTGTCTTTGAAATAGAAAGTGTGTTGTGAGAAAGGTACTAGGGAGCATGGGGCCTGCAACTCTTCCTGATGAACACTTTCGAAATGTCTTGTGTCTCTGATTTTTTTCTTGAGTTGTTGAATTTTTTCAGCTATTTATAGCTGCTACATAGTGGATAAAATCTACTCTCAAGGTAAATCTGGTTTTTAAGTTTTTAAACACTTAATCTTAGATATTTGTTAAATTTGTTGTTAGATTAAACTATTTCCTGAAAGAAAATTAAATCTTTCCCTTGCACATGTGAACTCCAGGAATAGGTCTCTTCTTTATTATGAAGGATTTGGCAGATTTAGTAACTCCGGAAATTAATAGAACTCAAATTTTTATGATAAATGATTTTTATAGAGAATAATTACTTTTTAACAAGCATTTACTGTTCCCGGTTGGAGGAAGATGGTTGAGAATAGAAGACTTCTTGATACATACAAATGGTTATTCTGAACACTAACACTTGTATTTTCAACTGGAAAGAATAATTATTTCTTGCAAAAGTATTGCCTGGAGGGAATATATCCACTTGTCATGAAGAAAAGCTGGGTTAGAAACCCCAAACCCTGAACATATGGTTTCTTCCCTGAAGGAACATACTACATCAGGTAGGACTAGCCTCGCATCTGGCATCAGAGTCCTTGGGTCCTGCGTGCCTGGTGCTACCTACCCCCAGTGATGGCAG